TTTGGGGACACGGGGGGGGGTTTGGGGGGACACGAGGGACACGCGGGGGGGGTTGGGGGGACACGAGGGACACGCGGGGGGGTTTGGGGGGACACAAGAGGGGGGGTTTGGGGACACGGGGGGGGTGGGGGGGCACTGGTGGGGGATTTTGGGGACACTGGGGGGGGATTCTGGGGACACTGGGGGGGGATTTTGGGGACACTGGGGGGGGATTCTGGGGACACTGGGGGGGGATTTTGGGGACACGGGGGGTTTGGGGGGACACGAGGGGGGGTTTGGGGACACGGGGGGGGATTTTGGGGACACTGGGTGGGATTTTGGGGACACTGGGGGGGTTTGGGGGGACACGAGGGACACGCGGGGGGGGTTTGGGGGGATTTTGGGGACACGGGGGGGATTTTGGGGACACACGGGGGGGTTTGGGGACACGGGGGGGGGTTGGGGACACTGGGTGGGGATTTTGGGGACACGGGGGGGGTTTGGGGGGACACAAGGGACACGCGGGGGGATCTAGGCCAGGCTGGGGGGGGATTTTGGGGACACGCGGGGGGGGTTTAGGGGACACGGGGGGGGGTTCGGGGGGACACGAGGGACACGCGGGGGGATCTAGGCCAGGTGGGGGGGGGGATTTAGGCCAGGCGGGGGGAGGGGGGGTGACACGGAGGGAGGGGGGGCCCCAGGGGGGGGGAGGGGATGTAGGACAGGCCTGGGGGGGGGAGGGGGCACCGCAGTGCGGTCCTGCTCCCCCCACCCCCCCCGGCCCCGCTGCGGCAGGATCGGGGCCAGCGGTGCGGGGGGGGGACACCGAGGGGACATCGGGGGGGGAGGGGGCGTTGGGGACACGGGGGGGACACGAGGGGGGGACACAGAGAGGATCGGACCCCCCCACACCGCGTTCTCCCATCCCCCCCCTCCCCCCGTGTCCCCATCCCCCCCCCCCCACCCCCGCGCTGTCCCCTCAAAGCCACCCCCGATGTCCCCTCGATGTCCCCTCGGGGTCCCCGCAGTGTCCCCCCACAAATATTTCTGACCCCCCCGAGTGGCCTCAAAGCCCCCCCAAATCAGCACAGAGACCCCCAAAGCCCCTCTGACCACCCTAAACCTCCTCACAGACCCCCAAATCCCCCCTGACCACCCTAAACCTTCTCACAGACCCCCAAAGTCCCTCACAGACCCCCCAAAAACCACTCAGAGACCCCCAAATCTCCTCACAGAACCCCCAAAACTCACTCAGAGACCCCCAAATCCCCCCTGACCACCCTAAACCTCCTCAGAGACCCCCAAAGTCCCTCACAGACCCCAAATCTCCTCACAGAACCCCCAAAACTCACTCAGAGACCCCCAAACCTCCTCACAGACCCCCAAATTCCCCCTGACCACCCTAAACCTCCTCACAGACCCCCCAAAAACCACTCAGAGACCCCCAAATCCCCCCTGACCACCCTAAACCTCCTCACAGACCCCCAAAGTCCCTCACAGACCCCAAATCTCCTCACAGAACCCCCAAAACTCACTCAGAGACCCCCAAATCCCCCCTGACCACCTTAAACCTCCTCACAGACCCCCAAAGTCCCTCACAGAACCCCCAAAACTCACTCAGAGACCCCCAAATTTCCTCACAGATCCCCAAATCTCACTCAAGAGACCCCCAAACCTCCTGGCAGACCCCAAAACTCACTTGGAGACCCTCAAATCTCCTCACAGAACCCCCAAAACTCACTCAGAGACCCCCAAATCCCCTCTCAGACCCCCCAAAATCCACTCAGAGCCCCACTAAACACCCTCAGAGCCCTTCAAGACCCCCTGAAACCCCCCTGAACCCCCTCAAAGATGCTCTAAAACCCCTCAGACACCCCCAAAAGCTCCTCTAAACCCCTCACAGTGCCCCTAAACCCCCCCAGACCCCTCAGAGACCCCCTAAATCCCCTCAAAGATCCCTTAAATCCCCTCAAAGACCCCCTAAATCCCCTCAGAGACCCCCTAAATCCCCTCAAAGACCCCTTAAATCCCCTCAAGGACCCCCTAAATCCCCTCAGAGATCCCTTAAAACCCTCACAGACCCCCAAATCCCCCTCAGAGATGTTCTAACCCCTCTCAGAGCCCCCCCCAAATCCCTCCAGAGCTGCCTAAGACCCCACCAGAGCCCCCCGAGACCCCCTCAAAGACCCCCTAAACTTCTTGGGAAGTGTCCTAATCCCCTCACAGACCCCCTAAACCCCCTCAAAAAAATGCCCTAAACCCCCTCAGAGCACCCCAAGACCCTCTCAGAGCCTTCTTAAAGCTGAGAGATTCCCACAAAATCCATTTAACCCTCTCAGAATTGCCCTAAACCCCCTCAGAGACCCCCGAGACCCCCTCAGAGAGGCCCTAAACCCTCTCACATCCCCCCTAACTCTGTTTGCGCCCCCAAAATCACTTTAACATCCCCCCAAACTCCCTCAGGGATGTCCTTAACTCCCTCAGACATCCCCAACTCTCCTCTGGAACATCCTCAACCTTCTCAGGACCCCCCAAAACTCCCTCAGAGTCCCCCAAGACCCTCTCAGAACCCCTCTAAACCCCCTCAGAGCCGCCTCAAACTCACATTTCCCCCTAAACCACCTCAGAGCCCCCCAAGACCCTCACAGAGATGCCCTGAACCCCTCTAGAATTCACTTTAATTCCCTTAAAACTCCCCCTAAAACCCTTCAGTTGCCTTAACCCCCCCTCAGACCCCTCACATCTCCCCTCAGAGCCCCCCAAACCCTCTCACCGCGCTACTAAACCCCCTAAATGCCCTCCGAGGTGTCCTAAACCCCCTCAGACGCCCTTAAACCCTCTCACAACCCCTCAGAGATGTCCTAAACTCCTCTGGAGCTCCCCCAACCTCCATAAACCTCCTCAGAGCCCCCCAAAATTCCCTCAGAGATGCCTTAAATCCCTCACAGCCCCTCAGGACTCCTTCAGAGATGCTCTAAACCCCTTTAGAATCTCTAAAACCCCCTCACAGCCCCCCAAACCCCCTCAGAAATGGCCTAAATCCCCTCAGAGGTGCCCTAAACCGCTCTAGAGCCCCCTCAGAAATGCCCTAAACCCCATCAGGGCTGCTCTAAACCCTTCTAGAATCCCCTAAAGCCCCCAAGACCCCTTCAGAGCTGCTCTAAACATCTCTAAAGCACCTCAAACCCCCTCAGAAATGCCCTAAACCCCATCAGGGCTGCTCTAAACCCTTCTAGAATCCCCTAAAGCCCCCAAGACCCTCTCAGAGTTGCCCTAAACCCTTCCAAAACCCACCCAAACCCCCTAGGAAATGTCCTAAACCCCTCTAGAGGCCCCATAAAGCCCCCAAGACTCCTTCAGAGCTGCCCTAAACCCCTCTAAAGCCCCCAAAACCCCCTCAGAGTTGCCCTAAACCTCCTCAGAGCTGCCCTAAACCCATTTAGAGCCCACAAGACCCCCTCAGATCTGCTCTAAAGCCCCCAAAACCCCCTCAGAGTTGCCCTAAACCCCCTCAGAGCCCACAAGACCCCTTCAGATCTGCTCTAAAGCCCCTCTAAACCCCTCAGATCTGCCCTAAACCCCCCCAGATCTGCCCTAAACGCCTCTAAAGCCCCCAAAACCCACTCAGAGCTGCCCTAAACCCCCTCAGAGCTGCCCTAAACCCCCTCAGAGCTGCCCTAAACCCCTCTAGAGCCCCACAAACCGCCTCAGAGCTGCCCTAAACCCCCTCAGATCTGCCCTAAACCCCCTCAGAGCTGCCCTAAACCCCCTCAGATCTGCCCTAAACCCCCTCAGAGCTGCTCTAAACCCTCTCTAAACCCCCTCAGATCTGCCCTAAACCCCCTCAGAGCTGCCCTAAACGCCTCTAAAGCCCCCAAACCCCCTCAGATCTGCCCTAACCCCCCAACAACCTCTCTAGAACCCCACCCCAGACCCTTTTTCCCTCACAAACCCCTCACCCTGGCCATCCGCGACGAGTAGGGATCCTCGAAGAGCGCCCAGAGCCGCGGCCGCCAGCGCCGCCACCAGCCGGCGGGCCGGCCCTCCTCCAGGCACAGCCGCTTGGGCTCGGCGGGCTCGGGCGGCCCGGGCCCCTCGGGGCTCTCGAAGCTGTCCAGGGCCTCCTCGGCATCGCGGTGCTGCCGGTAGTTCATCCAGCAGCAAGCCTCCACGTCCGTCTCGTCGATGCCCCAGAAGGCGAGCTCCTCCTCGAACAGCGGCCCGCACACATCGGCCGGGCAGTGCAGCTTGCCGGTGCGGTAGTAGTTGAGCACGTAGGCGAAGACGGCGGGGTGGCGGTCGAAGAAGAATTCGCCGGCGCCGGCATCGTAATCGAAGCGGGCGGCGGCGCCCGGTTCGGCCAGCCCGGCCAGGCGGGTGCCGGGCAGCGTCTGCAGGGTGCTGCGGTAGGTCTCATGGCGGACGCCGCCGACGTTGATCACCACTTTGTCGCGCTCGGCTTGCCAGCCCATGGTGAGAGTCGCGACAGGAGGAGGGGGCGAGAGTCGCGATAGGAGGAGGAGGGGGCGAGGGGAGGGAGCGGGGACGGCGGGTGCCGCATCCCGGCGCGGCGGGGAGGGCGCGGGGGGCGCAGGCGCGGCGGGGCCACGCCCACAGCGAGCGGGGACACGCCCACATTGAGGAGAGGCCACGCCCACACTGAGGGGAAAACCGCGCCTTTATTGAAGCCACGCCCATTCTGAGGGTGGCCACGCCCATTCTGAGGGGTGGCCACGCCCATTCTGAGGGGGAACCCGACATTTATTAAAACCACGCCCACCGAGAGGATAGACCACGCCCACTCATCGAAAGCCACGCCCACATCGCTGGAGCCCCGCCCCCAGCGGTGAAGCCACGCCCATTCAGAGCGGGGGGATGGGGGCGCGGGGGGAACTGGGGGTTACTGGGAGCACTGGGAGCAAAAAGCCAAATGGGTCTGGGGGCTTCTGGGCTGAACTGGGACTGGGGAGGGGTCTCCACCTCCTGGGGGGGCGCCCAAGGGAGGAGCCAGGACCAGGAGCCCCCAAACCAGCAGCTTTATTGGAGCCCCCCCCCAAAAAAAAAGGGGACCCCGACACCCAGGGGGTCCCAGAGAGGATCCAGGTGACCCAAGGGTGACCCAAGGGTGACCCCAGAAGGGTCCCAGGTGTCCCCAGGATGGGTGACCTTGAAGGCCGCAGGTGTCCAGGAGGGTCACCTGAGGGAGGGGGGGGTGACATGCAGGGGGGGGGGTCCCCAAGGTCCTCGTGGGTTGGGTGGTCCCAGGGAGGACTCAGAGGTCTGGGGGTCACCAAGGTGTCCCTGGGGTGGGTGTCACTTGGGGGACCCCAAAAAGGTGGTCCCCAAAGGGAGCGGGGGGTCCCTGAGGGGTCTGGGGGTGTCCCTGGGGTGGTCCCAGGGACACCCAAGGGTCACCAAGGTGTGCCTGGTGTAGGTGACACTTGGTGACACCCGGGTGTTGGGTGGTCCCAGGAAGGACCTGGGTGTCCTGGGGTGTCCCCGGGGTGTCCTGGGGTGCCTCAGGGGTCCCCGGGGTGTCCTGGGGGTGTCCCCAGGTTGTCCCCAGGGTGTCCCCAGATGTCCTGGGTGCCTCAGGAGTCCCTGGGGATGTCCTGGGGGTGTCCCTGGGGTGACTCAGGTGTCCTGGGGATGTCCCCAGGGTGTCCTGGGGTGCCTCAGGGGTCCCCGGGGTGTCCTGGGGGTGTGCTCAGGGTGTCCTGGGTGCCTCAGGTGTCCTGGGGGTATCCCAGGGGTGTCCCCAGTGTGTCCCCAGAGTGTCCCCAGGGGTGTCCCAGGTGACTCAGGTGTCCTGGGGATGTCCTGGGGGTGTCCCTGGGGTGTCGCAGGTGACTCAGGGGTCCCTGGGGTGTCATTGGGGTATCCTGGGGGTGTCCTTGGGATGTCCTGGGGGTGTCCCTGGGGTGTCCCAGGTGATTCAGGTGTCCTGGGGATGTCCCGGGGGGTGTCCTGGCGGTGTCCCCAGATGTCCCCAGGGTCCCCAGGGTGCCTCAGGGGTCCCTGGGGTGCTGGCGGCTGCGGGCCAGCCCCAGGCGGTCGCGGTCGCGGTCGAAGACGGCGTAGTGCCGCGCCAGGAACACGTCCCCGAGGATCCAGAGCGGCCCCGCGGGACGGGGAATGTCCAGAGCCATGAACCCGCTGATGCACGTCAGGGACCCCGGCTGCGACACCTGGGGACACGGGGGGACACGGGGTGGCATGGGGACATGGGGGTGATGGGGGGACATGGGGACACGGGGGTGGTACAGGGACATGGGGACACGGTGGTGACACGGAGACACGGGGACACAGCGGTGACATGGGGACATGGGGACACAGCGGTGACGGGGGTGGCACAGGGACATGGGGACACGGTGGTGACAGGGGGACACAGGGACCTAGCAGTGACACAGGGACATGGGGACATGGCGGTGACATGGGGACACGGGGACACAGCGGTAACAGGGGGACATGGGGACATGGGGACATGGGGACATGGGGACACGGCGGTGACATGGGGACATGGGGACACAGTGGTGACATGGGGACATGGTGGTGACACAGGGACATGGCAGTGACAGGGGGACATGGGGACATGGGGACATGGGGGGACACGGGGACACGGCAGTGACACGGGGACATGGGGACATGGCGACACGGGGGTGGCACTGGGACATGGGGACACGATGGGGACATGGGGACACGGCAGTGACATGGGGACACAGCGGTGATGGGGGACATGGGGACACGGGGACACAGCGGTGATGGGGGACATGGGGACATGGGGACACGGCAGGGACACGGGGACACAGGGTTGACACAGGGACACGGGGACACGGGGACATGGCAGTGATGGGGAACACGAGGACATGGTGGTAATGGCGGACATGGAGACATGGGGGTGGCACAGGGACATGGGGACACAGGGACACAGCGGGGACATGGGGACATGGCAGTGACAGGGGGACAGGGGGACACGGGGGTGACACGGGGACATGGTGACAGAGGGACATGGGGACATGGCGGTGATGGGGGGACATAGGGACATGGGGACATGGGGACAAAGCTGGGAACAGGAGGGACACGGGGACATGGCGGTGACATGGGGACACGATGGGGACACAGCGGTGACAGGGGGACATGGGGACATGGGGACCTGGCGGTGATTGGGGACATGGGGACAGGGGGACACGGGGACACAGGGGTGACACGGGAACATGGGGACACAGGGGTGGTACGGGGACATGGGGACATGGGGACACAGGGACATGGGGACACAGCAGTGACAGGGGGACACAGGGACAGAGGTGACACAGGTGACACAGGTGACAGAGAGGTGACACAGGTGACACAGGTGACACACAGGTGACACAGGTGTGACACAGATGACACAGGTGACACTCAGGTGACACACAGGTGACACACAGATGACACAGGTGACACAGAGGTGACACAGATGACACAGATGACACTCAGGTGACACAGGTGACAGATGACAGGTGACACAGGTGACACACAGATGACACAGGTGACAGGTGACACACAGGTGACACACAGGTGACACAGATGACACAGGTGTGACACAGGTGACACACAGGTGACAGGTGACACAGGTGACACAGGTTACACAGATGACACAGATGACACAGGTGACACACAGGTGACACAGGTGTGACACAGGTGGCACACAGGTGACACAGGTGACACACAGGTGACACAGAGGTGACACAGGTGACACACAGGGTGACACAGATGACACGGATGTGACACACAGGTGACACAGGTGACACAGGTGACACAGGTGACACACAGATGACACACAGGTGACACAGGTGTGACACAGGTGACACACAGGTGACAGAGGTGACACAGGTGACACAGAGGTGACACAGATGACACACAGGTGACAGGTGACACACAGGTGACACGGGGACACACAGGTGACACAGGTGACACAGGTGACACAGGTGACACTCAGGTGACACAGGTGTGACACAGGTGTGACACAGGTGACACTCAGGTGACACACAGGTGACACAGGTGTGACACAGATGTGACACAGGTGTGACACAGGTGACAGGTGACACACAGGTGACACAGAGGTGTGACACAGGTGACACAGGTGACACAGGTGACAGAGGTGACACAGGTGACACAGGTGTGACACAGGTGACACAGGTGACAGGTGTGACACAGGTGACACACAGGTGACACTGAGGTGACACACAGATGACACAGGTGACACAGGTGACACAGGTGACACAGGTGACACACAGGTGACACAGGTGCCAGCCCCACCTGCAGCACGTACTCCTCAGCGCTGAGTGTGAACTCGGCCCCCGACAGCGCGAAGGTGACGTTGGGCAGTGACCGCACCTTGTCACACTCGGTCACGTACTGCGGGGACACCGGGTGAGGGAGCGGCACCCTTGGGTGTCACCCACCCACCCCTGAGGGGACCCCTGGGTGTCACCCACCCCCCATGAGGGCACCCTTGGGTGTCACCCACCCCCACCGAGGGCACCCCTGGGTGTCACCCACCCACCCTGGAAGGGACATGGGGACCCCTGGGTGTCATCCACCCCCCATGAGGGCACCCCTGGGTGCCACCCACCCACCTTAAGGGGACAGGAGGGACCCCTGGGTGTCACCACCCCCCCTGAGGGGACCGCAGCACTCCTGGGGTGTCACCCACCCACCCTGAGGGGACAGGGGCACCCTTGGGTGGCACCCACCCCCACCGAGGGCACCCCTGGGTGTCACCCACCCACCCTGAGGGGACATGGGGACCCCTGGGTGTCACCCACCCCCCCGTGAGGGCACCCCTGGGTGTCACCCACCCCACCCCGAGGGGACAGGAGGGACCCCTGGGTGTCACCCACCCACCCCCAAGGGGACCGCGGCACCCTTGGGTGTCACCCACCCACCCCCTTGAGGGGACCCCTGGGTGTCACCCAACCCCCCCGAGGACACTCAGAGACCCCCACCCATGGGTCGGGGGGTCAGTGGGGGTCCGTGGGGGTCCCTGGGGGTTTTAGGGGCTCCCGGGGGGGTTTTTTGGGGGTCCCGGGGGTATTTGGGGGTCCCGGGGGTTTTTAGGGGTCCCTGGGGGTTTTTAGGGGTCCCTGTGGGTTTTTAGGGGGCCCCGGTGGTTTTTAGGGGTCCTGGGGGTTTTTAGGTGGTCCCGGGGGTCCGTGTGGGTTTTAGGGGGTCCCGGGGGATTTTAGGGGGTCCCGGGGATTTTTAGGGGTCCCTGGTGGTTTTTAGGGGGCCCCGGGGGTCGGTGGGTGTTTTTTGGGGGTTCCGGGGGTCCCTGCTGATCCCTGAGGGTCCCGGGGGTTTTGTGGGGTTTTAGGGGATCCCGGGGGATTTCGGGGGGTCCGTGGTGATTTTTGGGGGTCCCGGGAGATTTTGGGGGTCCCGGGGGTCCCGGGGGTCGGTGGGTGTTTTTAGGGGTCCCGGGGGTATTTAGGGGGTCCCGGGGGTTTTTAAGGGGTCCCTGCAGATCCCTGGTGGTCCCTGGTGGTCCCTGGGGTTTTTGGGGTCCCGGGGGTATTTAGGGGGTCCCGGGTGATTTTGGGGGTCCCGGGGGATTTTGGGGGGTCCGTAGGGGTTTTTAGGTGTCCCGGGGGTCCCTGCGGATCCCTGGGGGTCCCGGGTGTCTCTGGGGGTTTTAGGGGGTCCGTGGTGATTTTAGGGGGTCCTGGTGGTTTTTAGGGGGTCCGTGGGGGTATTTAGGGGGTCCCGGGTGATTTGGGGGGTCCGTACCTGTCCCTGCAGGGCGCGGAACCCCCCCAGGGCGCGGTGCAGCGCGGTGACCTCGGCGCTGGGCCCGGTGATCAGCGACGTCCCCGTGTCCACGATGGCCTCACAGCCCCCCCGGCACAGGGGGGGGTCCCGGCACCCCGCGACCCCCGGGGACCCCACCGACACCCTGGGGGGGGGCGGGGGGCGGTAAAGGGGGGGTTGGGGGGAGTTTGAGGGGTCAGGGGGCACTTAGGGGGGCTTTGGGGTCACTCAGAGGGGGTGGGGGGCAGTTAAAGGGGGAATTTTGGGGTAGTTTGAGGGGTCAGGGGCAGTTTAAGCAGTTTAAGGGGGGCTTTGGGGGCAGTTTGAGGGGTCAGGGGGTCACTCAGAGGGGGTGGGGGGCAGTTAAAGGGGGAATTTTGGGGTATTTTGAAGGGTCAGGGGGCACTTAGGGGGGTTTTGGGGGCACTCAGAGGGGTCAGGGAGACACTCAGAGGGGTCAGGGGGCACTTAGGGGAAGTTCAGGGGGTCAGGGGGTTTTTAGGGGGGCTGTGGGGGCAGTTTGAGGGGTCAGGGGGCACTTAGGGGGGATTTTAGGGGCAATTCGAGGGGTCCAGGGGGTTTTGGGGTCACTCAGAGGGGCCAGGGGCAGTTTAAGGGGGTATTTTGAGGGGTCAGGGGGCTTTTAGGGGGATTTTGGGGTCACTCAGAGGGGTCAGGGAGACACTCAGAGGGGTCAGGGGGCTTTTAGGGGGGATTTTGGGGTAGTTTGTGGGGTCAGGGGCAGTTAAGGGGGGTATTTTGAGGGTATTTTGAAGGGTCAGGGCGCACTTAGGGGAAGTTCAGGGGGTCAGGGGGCAGTTAAAGGGGGGTTTTGGGGGCATTTTGAGGGGTCAGGGGGCACTTAGGGATAGTTCAGGGGGTCAGGGGGCTTTTAGGGTGGATTTTGGGGTAGTTTGAGGGGTCAGGGGCAGTTAAAGGGGGGTTTTGGGGTCACTCAGAGGGGTCAGGGGCAGTTAAAGGGGGGTTTTGGGGTCACTCAGAGGGGTCAGGGGCAGTTAAAGGGGGGTTTTGGGGTCACTCAGAGGGGTCACGGGGCACTTAGGGGGGATTTTGGGGTAGTTTGAGGGGTCAGGAGGCATTTGGGGGGTGGTCTCGGGGAATTTGGATTGGAGGACTTTGGGGTAATTCAGAGGGAATTTTGGGGGGGTCTTTGGGAATTTCGAGGGGGGATTTTGAGAGGGTCCAGGGGGGATTTGGGGAAGCCTTTAGGAATTTCGAGGGGGGATTTTGGGACAGTCCAGGGAGGAATTTTGGGGGGGGTCTTGGGGAATTTCGGGTGGGGATTTTGGGATGGTCCAGGGCTGATTTGGGGGGCGGATTTTGGGGTAATTCAGAGGGAATTTGGGGAAGTCTTTGGGAATTTTGAGGGGGGATTTTGGGATGGTTCAGGGGGAATTTGGGGAAGTCTTTAGGAATTTTGAGGGGGGATTTTGGGAGGGTTCAGGGGGGATTTGGGGGGCGGATTTTGGGGTAATTCAGGGGGAATTTGGGGAAGTCTTTGGGAATTTTGAGGGGGGGGATTTTGGGACGGTGCAGGGAGGAATTTTGGGGAAGTCTTTGGGAATTTTGAGGGGAGATTTTGGGAGGGTCCAGGGCTGATTTGGGGGCGGATTTGGGGGTAATTCAGAGGGAATTTGGGGAGGTCTTTGGGAATTTCGAGGGGGGATTTTGGGAGGGTCCTGGGAGGAATTTTGGGGGGGTCTTTGGGAATCTGGGGGAGGGGATTTTGGGGGGATTTTGGGGGGATTTGGGGGGCGGATTTTGGGGTAATTCAGGGGGAATTTGGGGAAGTCTTTAAGAATTTTGAGGCGGGATTTTGGGACGGTGCAGGGAGGAATTTTGGGAGGGTCTTTGGGAATCTGGGGGAGGGGATTTTGGGGGGATTTTGGGGGGATTTTGGGGTGCCTCACCTGTCCATGTGCACCTGCCAGTAGCTCTTTCGGGTGACGGGGACGTAGTGCAGGGGTCCCTCGAAGAGCCGCTCGTCGATGCCCCCCAAAAGCAGCTCCCCCCCGTCGCCCTCCGACGCCCCGCTGCACCCATGGGTGAAATGGGGGTGTCAGGGGGGGCTCGGGGGTCCCAGAGGGGATTTGGGGGTCCCAGGGGGGTCCCAGAGGGGATTTGGGGGTCCCATGGGTGTCCCGGAGGGGATTTGGGGAGTCCCAGGGGTGTCCCAGAGGGGATTTGGGGGTCCCATGGGTGTCCCAGAGGGGATTTCAGGGGGGATTTGGGGTCCCAGGGGGGTCCCAGAGGGGATTTGGGGTTAGTCCAGGTGTAGTTTGGGTGTATTTGGGGTTATTTTGAGTGTATTTGGGGTAATTTTTGGTGTATTTGGGTGTATTTGGAGTTATTTTGGGTGTATTTGGGGTTATTTTGGGTGTATTTGGGGTTTATTTGGGTTATTTTGGGTGTATTTGTGATTTGTTTTGGGTGTATTTGTACATTATTTTAGGTGTAGTTGTGCGTTATTTTGGGTGTATTTGGGGTTATTTTGGGTGTATTTGGGGTTAGTTAAAGGGTTAGTTTTGGTGTATTTCGGGGTTATTTGGGGTGTATTTGGGGTTAGTTTTGGGGTGTATTTGTGCATTATTTTGGGTGTACTTGGGGTTAGTTTGGGTGTATTTGGGGTTAGTTTGGGGGTTATTTAGGGTGTATTTTGGGCATATTTGGGGTTAGTTTGGGGGTGTATTTGTGCATTATTTGGTATGTATTTGTGCATTATTTTGGGTGTATTTAGGGGTTATTTGGGTGTGTTTGGGATTCGTTTTGGGCTGTATTTGGGGTGTACTTGGAGTTAGTTTGGGGGTGTATTTGGGGGTTATTTTGGGGTGTACTTGGGGTTAGTTTGGGTGTTATTTTGGGTGTATTTAGGGTGTATTTGGGGTTAGTTTGGGTGTATTTGGGGATAATTTGGGGGTTAGTTTGGGTGTATGTGCATTATTTTGGGTGTATTTGGGGTTAGTTTGGGGGTGTATTTGGGGGTTATTTTGGGTGTATTTGGGGTTAGTTTGGGTGCATTTGTGCATTATTTTGGGTGTATTTATGCATTATTTAGGGTGTATTTGGGGCTAGTTTGGGGGTTATTTTGGGTGTATTTAGAGTGTATTTGGGGATAGTTTGGGTGTATTTAGGGTTAGTTTGGGGGTTATTTTGGGTGTATTTGGGGCTAGTTTGGGTGTATTTGGGGTTAGTTTAAGGGTTAGTTTTGGTGTATTTGGGGGTTGTTTTGGGTGTATTTGGGGTTTGTTTGGAGGTTAGTTTGGGTGTATTTTGGGGTTATTTTGGGTGTATTTGTGCATTATTTTGGGTGTATTTTGGGTGTATTTTGGGGTTATTTTGGGTGTATTTGTGCATTATTTTGGGTGTATTTGGGTGTATTTTGGGGTTATTTTGGGTGTATTTGGGGGTGTATTTGGGGCATGCTCAGGGCTGGATCAGGGCTATTTCAGGGTGTTCTGGGCGTGCCCAGGTGTGCCCAGGTGTCCCCAGGTGCCCCCAGGTGTCCGTACCTGCGCAGGTAGAAGGAGAAGACGTTGTTGCGGAACAGCCCCAGCCCCATCATGCTGTCGAACACCGGGCGCGCGGGGCCGGCGGCGGCGCCGGGGTACGCCAGGCCCAGCACGCCGTCGAAGCGCGCCGCCGCGAAGGCCAGCCCGGGCAGCGCCACCGCCTCCGCGAACGTCTGGTTGGGCACCGACACGTTGGACACCTGCGGGGACACGGTGACAGTGACACAGTGACACAGTGACAGTGACACGGTGACATGGGGACACAGTGACACGGGGACATGGTGCCACCGCCTCGGCGAACGTCTGGTTGGGCACCGAGACGTTGGACACCTGTGGGGACACGGACAGGGACACGGTGACATGGGGACATGGTGACACAGTGCCACCGCCTCGGTGAATGTCTGGTTGGGCACCGAGACATTGGACACCTGCGGGGGGACAAGGACAGGGACATGGTGACACAGCGCCACCGCCTCGGCAAACGTCTGGTTGGGCACCGAGACGTTCGACACCTGCGGGGATACGGTGACAGTGACACAGGGACACAGTGACCACAGGGACAGTGACATGGTGACACAGGGACAGGGACACAGGGACAGTGACACAGTGACACAGGGACACGGTGACACGGTGACACGGTGCCGCCGCCTCGGTGAATGTCTGGTTGGGCACCAAGACGTTCGACACCTGCGGGGACAGGGACAGGGACACGGTGACATGGGGACACGGTGACACAGGGACACGGTGACACCGCCTCGGCGAACGTCTGGTTGGGCACTGAGACGTTCGACACCTGCGGGGACACAGACAGGGATACGGTGACACGGTGACACGGTGACCACAGGGACATGGTGACACGGTGACACGGTGACACAGGGACAGGGACACGGTGACACGGTGACACAGGCACACAGTGACACAGTGACAGTGACATCACCATGGCCACCAAGACGTTGGACACCTGCATGGGGACAGGGACAGGGACATGGTGACACGGTGACACAGTGACACAGGCACACAGTGACACAGGGACAGTGACACGGTGACACGATGACAAAGGGACAGTGACACAGTGACAGTGACATGGTGACAGTGACAGTGACATCACCATGGCCACTGAGGTGTCAGTGCTCAGGAACCCTCTGAGACCCCTCCCCAGGACCCCCGCCCACCGTCAGCGTGTCGGTGCTCAGGGACCCCCAGGGACCCCCAGGACCCCCCAGGACCCCCAAAACCCCCAGGACCCCTCCCCACTGTCAGCGTGTCGGTGCTGAGGAAGCCCCAGGGAACCCCAGGGACCCCCAGGACCCCTCCCCAGGGACCCCTCGCCACCGTGAGCATGTCAGTGCTGAGGAACCTCCAGGGACCCCCAGGGACCCCCAGGGACCCCCAGGACCCCCCCAGGACCCCCAAAACCCCCAGGACCCCTCCCCACCGTCAGCGTGTCGGTGCTGAGGAAGCCCCAGGGACCCCCAGGACCCCTCCCCAGGACCCTCAGGGACCCCCCAGGACCCCTCCCCAGGACCCCTCCCCACCGTGAGCGTGTCGGTGCTGAGGAAGCCCCAGGGACCCCCAGGGACCCCCAGGGACCCCCAGGGACCCCCAGGACCCCTCCCCAGGGCCCCTCCCCACCGTGAGCGTGTCGGTGCTGAGGAAGCCCCAGGACCCCCAGAACCCCCCCAGAACACCCCCAGGACCCCTCCCCAGGGACCCTCCCCACCGTGAGCGTGTCGGTGCTGAGGAAGCCCCTCAGGCTGCCGCTGCCGTAGCTGATGCCGAATTCGGTGCCGTTGGGCCGGTGGGTGCAGGACAGCAGCGAGTGGTAGTGGGGGTGGAGCCCTGCGGGGACACGCCCACCCGCGTCAGGCCACGCCCACTCACCTCAGACCACACCTACTCAACCTCAGACCACGCCCACTCACCTCAGACCACACCTACTCAACCTCAGACCACGCCCACTCACCTCAGACCACACCTACTCAACCTCAGACCACGCCCACTCACCTCAGACCACACCTACTCCATCCCAGACCACGCCCACTCACCTAAAACCACGCCCACCCCACTTTAAACCGCGCCCATTCACCATCAGACCACGCCCATTATCGCAGACCACGCCCCACCAGGAATAAACCACGCCCATTTCCACCCAGCTAAGCCACGCCTACCACTAAAACCACGCCCCCATCTTCATGCCACTCCCTGTTAAGCCACACCCACCGCCCAAACCACACCAACTCCCTATGCCACGCCCTCCTAGGCCCCACCCACCATCCAAACCACGCCCAGTTCCTCATGCCACGCCCTCCTAGGCCCCACCCACTGCCCAAACCACGCCCCTATCCTTATGCCACACCCTCCTAGGCCCCACCCACCAAACCACGCCCACTTCCCTATGCCACACCCTCCTAGGCCCCACCCACCCACCAAACCACACCTACTCCCTATGCCACGCCCTGCTAAGCCCCTCCCACCATCCAAACCACACCCATCCCACCCTGCCACGCCCCTCCCATTGCCCAAACCACACCCACTTCATATGCCACACCCTCCTATGCCCCTCCCACTGCCCAAACCACACCCACTCCCCCATGCCACGCCCCTCCCAATGCCCAACCACGCCCACACCCCCCATGCCACACCCTTTTAAGCCCCACCCACCCACCAAACCACACCCAGTTTCTCATGCCACACCCTCCTAGGCCCCGCCCACTGCCCAAACCACACCCACTTCCCCATGCCACGCCCTGCTAAGCCCTTCCCACCGCCAAACCACGCCCACACCCCATGCCACACCCCTTTAAGCCCCACCCATCCACCAAACCACACCCAGTTTCTCATGCCACGCCCTGTTAGACTCCTCCGCCTGTCCAAACCACGCCCTTTCCACATGGCCACGCCCTGATAAGCCCCTCCCACCATCCAAACCACACCCACTCTCTAAGCCACACCCTCCTAGGCCCCTCCCACCACCCAAACCACGCCCACACCCATGCCACACCCTCCTAGGCCCCACCCAGTGCCCAAACCACATCCATTCCACCCACCACGCCCTGCTAAGCCCCTCCCACCATCCAAACCACACCCATTTCACCCTGCCACACCCTGTTAGGCCACACCCACTGTCCATATCGCACCCTTTCTACCCAGCCACGCCCCTCCCACCGTCCAAACCACACCCATTCCACATTGCCACGCCCTCCTAGGCCCCTCCCACCCACCAAACCACGCCCACTCTCTATGCCACGCCCTCCTAGGCCCCTCCCACCATCCAGACCACGCCCATTCCACATTGCCACACCCCGCTAAGCCCCGCCCACCACCCAGCCCCGCCCCGTTAGGCCCCGCCCCTCACAGCAGGCCAGGTAGAGCAGGCAGCAGCGGGACGAGGGCACCCACAGGTCGGCGGAGCCGGTGTCGAACACGACGCTGAAATTCTGGGGGGGGGTCCCCAGGGAGATCATCCCGTAGTACTGCGCCTGGGGGGGGACACGGGGTCACCGCGGTGTCACCAGGGCGGCGATGGCACCCCGGCACTGTCCCCGAGGTGGTGGGACATCCCCAGTGTCACTGCCACCCACATCCCCCCAAAATGTCCCCAAGGTCCTGGGACACCCCCCGTGTCACTGCGCCCCACCCCCTGATGTCCCCAAGGTGCTGGGACACCCCCGTGTCACTGCCCCCCACATCCTCCAAAATGTCCCCAAGGTGGTGGGACATCCCCGTGTCCCCTATGTCCCCAATGTCCCCAATGTCCCCCACACCCCCAATGTCCCCAATGTCCCCATTGTCCCCAATGTTCCCACTGTCCCCAATGTCCCCAATGTCCCCCATGTCCCTGTGACCCCAAATGTCCCCAATGTCCCCAATGTCCCCCACACCCCCAATGTCCCCAATGTCCCTGTGACCCCCAATGTCCCCAAGGTCCCCATGTCCCTGTGACCTCCCAGTGTCCCCAATGTCCCCCATGTCCCCAATGTCCCTGTGACCCCCCCAATGTCCCCAATATCCCCAACGTCTCCCCAATCCCCCCAATGTCCCCAGTGTCCCCAATGTCCCCAAATGTCCCCAATGTCCCCAATGTCCCCAGTGTCCCTGTGACCCCCCAATGTCCCCCAATGCCCCCAATGTCCCCAATCCCCCCAGTGTCCCCAATGTCCCCAATGTCCCTGTGACCCCCAATGTCCCCAATGTCCCCCATGTCCCTGTGACCCCCCAATGTCCCTGTGACCCCCAATGTCCCCAGTGTCCCCAATGTCCCCAATGTCACCCATGTCCCTGTGACCCCCCCGATGTCCCCAGTGTCCCCCATGTCCCAAATGTCCCCAATGTCCCCCCAATGTCCCCCACACCTCCAATGTCCCCAATGTCTCCCACGTCCCTGTAACCCCCCAATGTCCCCAATGTCCCCCACACCCCCAATGTCTCCAATGTCCCCAATGTCCCCAATGTCCCTGTGACCCCCTAATGTCCCCAATGTCCCCAATCCCCCCATTGTCCCCAATGTCCCCAATGTCCCCCATGTCCCTGTGACCCCCCATGTCCCCAATGTCCCCAATGTCCCCAATGTCCCCAATGTCCCCCACACCCCCAATGTCCCTAATGTCCCCAGTGTCCCCCAATGTCCCCAATGTCCCCAATGTCCCCAGTGTCCCCAATGTCCCCAATGTCCCCCATGTCCCTGTGACCCCCCCATGTCCCCAATGTCCCCACTGTCCCCAATGTCCCCAATGTCCCCCACACCCCCAATGTCCCCAATGTCCCCAGTGTCCCCAATGTCCCCAATGTCCCCCATGTCCCTGTGACCCCCCATGTCCCCAATGTCCCCACTGTCCCCAATGTCCCCAATGTCCCCCACACCCCCAATGTCCCCAATGTCCCCAGTGTCCCCAATGTCCCCAATGTCCCCAATGTCCCTGTGACCCCCCAATGTCCCCAGTGTCCCCAATGTCCCCAACATCCCCAATGTCCCTAGTGTCCCCCATGTCCCCAATGTCCCCAATGTCCCCAAGGTCCCTGTGACCCCCCAATGTCCCCAATGTCCCAGTGACCCCCCCCAGTGTCCCCAGTGTCCCCAATGTCCCCAATGTCCCCAATGCCCCCCCAATGTCCCCCATGTCCCTGTGACCCCCCCGATGTCCCCAGTGTCCCCCATGTCCCAAATGTCCCCAATGTCCCCCCAATGTCCCCAATGTCCCTCTGACCCCCCCAGTGTCCCCAATGTCCCCAATGTCCCCAATCCCCCCAATGTCCCCCACACCTCCAATGTCCCCAATGTCTCCCACGTCCCTGTGACCCCCCAATGTCCCCAATGTCCCTGTGACCCCCCAATGTCCCCAATGTCCCCAATGTCCCCAATGTCCCCAATGCCCCCCAATGTCCCCAATGCCCCCCAATGTCCCCCACACCCCCAATGTCCCCAATGTCCCTGTGACCCTCAATGTCCCCAATGTCCCCCATGTCCCCAATGTCTCCCACATCCCTGTGACCCCAATGTCCCCATTGTCCCCACTGTCCCCAATGTCCCTGTGACCCCCAATGTCCCTTTGACCCCCCAATGTCCCCAATGTCCCTGTGACACCCAATGTCCCCACTGTCCCCAATGTCCCTGTGACCCCCAATGTCCCTTTGACCCCCCAATGTCCCCAATGTCCCTGTGACCCCCAATGTCCCCAATGTCCCCAATGTCCCCAATCCCCCCAATGTCCCCATTAATGTCCCCAATGTCCCCAATGTCCTCAATGTCCCCAATGTCCCCCCCCGCCCCTCCCCCACTCACGTCCATGAAGTTCCGCAGCCGCGCGGGCGCCGCCGCCCCTCCCCCACTGCGGCTGCGGGGGCCCCCCCCGCCCCCCCAGAATTTGGGGGGCACCCATGGGCCCCTCTCCAGGGGGATGCTGCGGGGGACACGAAGGGGTTAACGGCGCTCCGTGACCTTCATCAGCTTAATGGCACTAATTATGCTAATGAAGGGCGGGCGGCGCGGCGCTGAACGGGGCGGGGGGGATTAATCAGGTTCATTAATGAGGTTAATTAATGAGGGGCTCCCTCGTGGCTCCATGGGGTTAATGGGGTGTAGGGTGGTCCCCAAATTTTGGGGTCACCCCCGGGGTCAAAGGTCACGGAGGGGGGGTCACGCCCTAAGGGTGGGGCCGGGGCCGAGCGGGTCCGACCGGTTCCCGCCCCCGCCGGGAGTGACCGGGAACCCCAAAATGCACCTGGGAGGGACCGGGAACCCCAAAACCCCTCCCAAAATCCACCTGGAGCATCCAGGAACCCCAAAATCAACCTGGGAGGGACCGGGAACCCCAAAACCCCTCCCAAAATCTATCTGGAGTATCCAGGAACCCCAAAATCAACCTGGGAGGGACCGGGAACCCCAAAATCCACCTGAGGGCATCCGGGAACCCCAAAACCCCTCCCAAAATCCACCTGTGAGGGAGCAGGAACCCCAAAATCAACCTGGGAGGGACCGGGAACCCCAAAATCCATCTTGGGGCATCCGGGAACCCCAAAATCAACCTGGGAGGGACCGGGAACCCCCAAACACCTCCCAAAATCCACCTGAGGGCATCCAGGAACCCCAAAATCCACCTGGGAGGGACCGGGAACCCCAAAATCCACCTGGGAGGGACCGGGAACCCCAAAACCCCTCCCAAAATCCACCCGAGGGCATCCGTGAACCCCAAAATCCATCTTGGGGCATCCGGGAACCCCAAAACCCCTCCCAAAATCCAGCTGGAGCATCCAGGAACCCCAAAATCAACCTGGTAGGGACCGGGAACCCCAAAATCAACCTGGGAGGGACTGGGAACCCCAAAATCCACCTGGGGCATCCGTGAACCCCAAAATCCACCTCGAGAGATCCGGGGACCCCAAAACCCAACCGGGGGTGGGGTGGCGGGGGTCCAAGTATCCGTGAACCCCCAAATTCACCCCCCAAAACCCCACCTGGGGGCATACAGGTGTCCACAAAACCCCCCCAAACCCCCACCTGAGAAGAGCCGGGTGTTCAAAGACCCCCAAAAACTCCCCCCAGGTATCCGGGACCCCCCCCAAAATTCCTTCCAGGTATCCGGGACCCCCCCCCAAATTCCCCCCAGGTATCCGGGATGGCCCAAATTCCCCCCTCAGGTATCCGGGACCCCCCCTAAATTCCTCCCAGGTATCCGGGATGGCCCAAATTTCCCCCCCCAGGTATCCAGGACCCCCCCAAAATTCCTTCCAGGTATCTGGGACCCCCTCAAAATTCCTCCCAGCTATCCGGGACCCCCCCCAAAATTCCTCACAAGTATCCAGGACCCCCCCAAAATTCCTCCCAGGTATCCGGGACCCCCCCAAAATTCTTCCCAGGTACCCGTGACCCCCCAATTTCCCCCCCCAGGTACCCGGTACCCCCCCAAATTCCTTCCAGCTATCCGGGACCCCGCAAAAACTCCCCCCAGGTACCCGGGACCCCCCAAAATTCCCCCCGGGACCCCCGCCCGGTCTCTCACCGCAGCATCGCTCCGGCTCCAGCCACCAGCAGCAGGAGGGGCCCGATCGTGGGACCCCCCATGGCCACTCTGAACCCCCCTATGGCCACCTTGAGACCCCCCGTGGCCGCTCTGAGCCCCCCCGTGGCCACTCTGAGCCCCCCCGTGGCCGCTCTGAGCCCCCCGCCCCACGCGCGACGGGGGAACCCCCTCAGGCCCCGCCCCTTCCTCTCAAACCACGCCCCCTCCATTGACAAAAATGGGGACACCCCATAAGGCCACGCCCACATTGCCCATAAATGGCGCTCTAAGCCACGCCCACTCGTGAAGCCACGCCCCTCATTGAGTAAATCGCGCTGCGCGGCCACGCCCCCTCATTGCGAAAAACGCACCCGGCGGCCACGCCCCCTTGTTAACCACCAATGGTTGAACCACGCCCCTCCACAAGCCACGCCCCCAGGGTGACGTCATGGCGGGGGCGGGGGTGAGTCAGGGGGCGCGGGAACCCCCAAACCGCCCCCACATCCGGGGGGCGGGGCCCAATTCCCGCCAAAACAGAAATTTGGGGGTCCCCCAAAACCCCACCCCGTCATCAGGGGAGGCCCCCGAAATTTGGGGGTGGTTTTAAGGGGGAGCCGGAAAATTGACCCACATAATTGGGGAGGGGGGGCAAAATCAGCCCAAAATGTGGGGAGGGGGCTCTGAAGTGCCCCATAACTGGGGGGACCCCAAAATGTGGGGAGGGGGCTCTGAAGTGCCCCATAACTGGGGGGACCCCAAAATGTGGGGAGGGGGCTCTGAAGTGCCCCATAACTGGGGGGACCCCAAAATGTGGGGAGGGGGCTCTGAAGTGCCCCATAACTGGGGGGACCCCAAAATGTGGGGAGGGGGCTCTGAAGTGCCCCATAACTGGGGGGACCCCAAAATTAACCCATTTTGGGGGTCCCAAAATTGTCCCCTGTGTGGGGGGGCTGAAAACACCCCAAAAATGGAGGGGGTCCCAAAATCACCCCATAATTGGGACCCCCCCCAAAATCAACCCATGGGGGACCCCAATTTGGGGTGGGGGGGTGTGACCCCAATAATTTGGGGGGGTGTGACCCCAACTTCCCATAATTTGGGGTGGGGGGGACCCCAAATTTCCCCATAATTGGGACCCCCCCCCCCAAACCAACCCATGGTTGGGGGCTGTTTCAGCCCCATAACTGAGACCCCCCCCCAAATTTGGGGTGGGGGGTGTGACCCCAATAATTTGGGGGGTGTGACCCCAACCCCCCCATAATTTGGGGTGGGGGGACCCCCAAAATCGCCGCCGGGAGGGGGGGGGGCTGTGAAGCACCTTTATTCATCCGCTGCGCCGGGGGGGGGTCGGACGGATGTGGGGACCCCCCCCCGGCCCCACATTTTGGGGGGGGGGGGGGTTTGGAGTGTGATTGTGGGGAGGGGGCGCGGGGACCCCCCCCCAAAAAACCAAAAAAAACCCCAAAAATAAAATAAAACAACACCGAGAGGGGCCCCTCCCCCCCCCTCGAGGCCAGGCACTGAAATGAGGCGGGGGGCGAATTTTGGGGACCCCCCCCCCCAAATTCCTCCTCTTTCCCCCCGTGTTTTTTTTGGGTTTTTGGGTTTTTTGCGAGTCCGGCGTGGTGGGGAGGGGGGGGAGGTGAGGAGGAGCCCCCTCCCCACATTTCGGGGGTCGGTTGCGGGTGGGGGGTGAGGAGGAGCCCCCTCCCCACATTTCGGGGGATCAGTAGGGGGTGAGGAGGAGCCCCCTCCCCACATTTCGGGGGGTCAGTGGGGGGTGAGGAGGAGACCCCTCCCCAATTTCGGGGGTCAGTGGGGGGTGAGGAGGAGCCCCCTCCCCAATTCGGGGGGTCAGTTGCGGGTGGGTGGGGGGTGAGGAGGAGCCCCCTCCCCAATTTCGGGGGGTCCATTGCGGGTGTGGGATGAAGAGGAGCCCCCTCCCCACATTTCGGGGGGTCAGTGGGGGGTGAGGAGGAGCCCCCTCCCCAAATTTGGGGGGGTCAGTTGTGGGTGGGTGGGGGGTGAGGAGCCCCCTCCCCAATTTGGGGGGGTCGGTTGTGGGTGTGGGATGAAGAGGAGCCCCCTCCCCAAATTTCGGGGGGTCGGTTGTGGGTGGGGGGTGAGGAGGAGCCCCCTCCCCACATTTCGGGGGGTCGGTTGCGGGTGGGGGGTGAGGAGGAGCCCCCTGCCCACATTTGGGGGGGTCGGTTGTAGATGGGGGGTGAGGAGGAGCCCCCTCCCCAATTTCGGGGGGTCAGTGGGGGGTGAGGAGGAGCCCCCTCCCCAATTCGGGGGTCAGTTGCGGGTGGGTGTGGGATGAAGAGGAGCCCCCTCCCCAAATTCGGGGGGTCAGTGGAGGGTGGGGGGTGAAGAGGAGCCCCCTCCCCAATTTCGGGGGGTCAGTGGGGGATGAAGAGGAGCCCCCTCCCCACATTTCGGGGGGTCAGTGGGGGATGAAGAGGAGCCCCCTCCCCAATTTCGGGGGCTCAGTTGCGGGTGGGGGGTGAGGGGGAGCCCCCTCCCCAATTTCGGGGGGTCGGTTGCGGGTGGGGGGTGAGGAGGAGCCCCCTCCCCAATTCCGGGGGTCAGTGGGGGGTGAGGAGGAGCCCCCTCCCCACATTTGGGGGGTCAGTGGGGGGTGAGGAGGAGCCCCCTCCCCACATTTCGGGGGGTCAGTGGGGGGTGGTGAGGAGGAGCCCCCTCCCCACATTTCGGGGGGTCAGTGGGGGGTGAGGAGGAGCCCCCTCCCCAATTCCGGGGGTCAGTTGCGGGTGGGGGGTGAGGAGGAGCCCCCTCCCCAAATTTGGGGGGGTCGGTTGTGGGTGGGGGGAGGTGAGGAGGAGCCCCCTCCCCAATTCCGGGGGTCAGTTGCGGGTGGAGGGGGGTGAGGAGGAGCCCCCTCCCCAATTCCGGGGGGTCAATGGGGGATGAAGAGGAGCCCCCTCCCCAATTTGGGGGTCAGTTGCGGGTGGGGGGCAGGTGATGAGGAGCCCCCTCCCCACATTGCTGGGGGTCAGTGGGGGGTGAGGAGGAGCCCCCTCCCCAATTGGGGGGTCAGTTGCGGGTGGGGGGCAGCCCGGGGGGGCTCGGGGGGCGGCGGATGTTGGCGCGGTCCTTCGCCGCCTCCTCCTCCTCATCGTAGCGCTCCTCGTCGTCATCGTCGCTGTGCCGCGGGCTCGAGAGGCGCGACAGCGCCGGGGACGGCGGCACCGAGGCGGGCCGGGGGTAGCGGAACCCCTGGGGGGGATTTTTGGGGAAAAAAAGGGGGATTTGGGGGAAAAAGGGGGGAAAAAGGGGATAAAAGGGGGTAAATTGGGGTATAAATTGGGGTAAAAGGGGAATAAAAGGGGGGAAAAACAGGGGGAAGGGGAATAAAAGGGGGAAAAAGGGGAATAAAAGGGGGGGAAGGGGAATAAAAGGGGGAAATTGGGGTATAATGGGGGGGAAAGGGGATAAAGGGGGGAAAAACGGGGAGGAAATGGGGATTAAAGGGGGAAAAGGGGAATAAAAGGGGGGAAATTGGGGTATAAAGGGGGGAAAAATGGGGGAAAGGGGTTAAAAGGGCGGGAAGGGGAATAAAAGGCGGGAAAAGGGTGGAAAAACAGGGGGAAAAGGGGAATAAATGAGGGGAAATCGGGGGAAAAAGGAAGGGAAGGGGATAAAAGTGGGGAAAAGGGCAATAAAAGGGGGGAAAAGGGGAATAAAAGGGGGAAAAGGGGAATAAAAGGGGGGAAGGGGGGAAAAACGGGGGAAAAGGGGAATAAAAGGGGGAAAAAGGGGAACAAAAGGGGGGGAAAGGGGATTAAAAGGGGGGAAAAATGGGGGGGAAAGGGATAAAAGGGGGGAAATTGGGGTATAAAGGGGGGAAAAGGGGGAAAAAAGGGGTGGAAAAGGGAAAATGGGGGGAAAAGTGGAATAAAAGGGGGGGAAGGGGATAAAAGGGGGGGAAAAGGGGAAGAAAAGAGGGGAAATTGGGGTATAAAGGGGGAAAAATGGGGGGAAGGGGATAAAAGGGGGGAAAAGGGGAATAAAAGGGGGAAATTGGGGTATAAAGGGGGGGATTTGGGGAATAAAAGGGGAGAAAAATGGGTGGAAAAGGGGAATAAAAGGGGGGAAATTGGGGTATAAAGGGGGGAAGGGGGATAAAAGGGGGGAAAAAGGGGAATAAAAGGGGGAAAAAGGGGAATAAAAAGGGGGAAATTTGGGTATAAAGGGGGGAAAGGGGATAAAAGGGGGAAAACGGGGGGAAAAGGGGATAAAAGGGGGGAAAAGGGGAATAAAAGGGGGAAATTGGGGTATAAATGGGGGGAAAGGGATAAAAGGGGGAAAAGGGGATAAAAGGGGGGGAAAATAGGGGGGAAGGGGATAAAAGGGGGAAATTGGGGTATAAAGGGGGGAAAGGGAATAAAAGGGGGAAAAGGGGAATAAAAGGGGGGGAAATTGGGGTATAAAGGGGGGAAATGGGGTATAAAGGGGGAAAAATAGGGGGGGAAAAAGGGGAATAAAAGGGGGAAATTGGGGTAAAAAGTGGGGGAAAGGGTAATAAAAGGGGGAAAAGGGGGGAAAAACGGGGAAAATGGGAATAAAATGGGGGAAAAGGGAATAAAAGGGGGAAATTGGGGTATAAAGGGGGGGAAAGGGATAAAAGGGGGGAAAAAGTGGGGGGAAGGGGATAAAAGGGGGAAAAGGGGAATAAAGGGGGAAAATTGGGGTATAAAGGGGGGAAAGGGGAATAAAAGGGGGGAAATTGGGGTATAAAGGGGGGAAAGGGGATAAAAGGGGGGAAAATGGGGGGGAAGGGGATAAAAGGGGGGGAAAGGGAAAATAGGAGGGAAAGGGGAAAAAAGGGGGGAAAAGGGAAAATAGGGGGGAAAGGGGGGAAAAACAGGGGGAAAAGGGGAATAAAAGGAGGGAAATTGGGGTATAAAGTGGGGGAAAGGGGATAAAAGGGGGGAAAATGGGGGGGAAGGGGATAAAAGGGGGGGAAAGGGGGAAAAAAGGGGGGAAAAGGGAAAATAGGGGGGAAAGGGGGGGAAAATGGGGAAAAGGGGAATAAAAGGGGGAAATTGGGGTAAAAAGTGGGGGAAGAGGATAAAGGGGGGAAAAACGGGGAGGAAATGGGGATAAAAGGGGGAAAAGGGGATAAAAATGGGAAAATAGGGAGGAAAAAGGGGAAAATGGGGGGAAGGGGGAGAAAATAGGGGGAAAAGAGGGAAAAAGAGGAGTTGAGGAGGGAAAATGGGGGAAAAAAGGGGGGGAAAAGAGGGGGAAATGGGGGGGAAAATGGGGAAAAAGGGAAAATGGGGAAAAAGAGGAATAAAAGAGGGAAAAGGGGGTAAAAGGGGAATAAAAGGGAGGGAAGGGGGGAAAAATGGGGAAAAGTGGATAAAAAGGGGAAAATAGTGAGGAAAAGGGGAAAAATGGGAGGAAAAGGGGGAAAATGGGGGGAAGGGGAGAAAATGGGGAATAAACGGGGAGAAAATGGGGGAAAATGGGGAATAAAATGGGAAAATAGGGGGAAAAGGGGGAAAAAGAGGAGTTGAGGAGGGAAAAAGGGGGGAAATGGGGGGAAAGGGGGAAAAAAAAGGGGGAAAATGGAGAAAAAAGGGGAAAGTGGTGACAGTGTTTCGGGGTCCCCCCGGGTTTTGAGATTCCCCCCGGGTTTTGGGGTTCCCCCGGGTTTTGGGGTTACTCAAGGGGGTCCCCCCCAGGGTTTTGGGGTCACTCACAGCCGCGGCCTCGGGGGGTTCGTAGGTGAAGTTCTCGGGGAAGGCCTTGGCCAGGGCCATGCGCCGGGCGAAGGTGTAGTACTGGGGGGAGAACGGGTCAGGAGCCCCCAAAAACCACCCCGAGACCCCCAAAAACTACCCAGAGACCCCCAAAAACTACCCAGAGACCCCCAAAAAAAAACCACCCCAAAAACTCCCCCAAAAAAACACCCCAGAGACCCCCAAAAAACCATCCCAGATACCCCCAAAAACCACCCCAAAAACTCCCCCCAAAACCACCCCAGAGACCCCCAAAAACTACCCCCAAAAACTCCCCCAAAAACCACCCCAGAGACCCCCAAAAACTCCCCCCAAAAAACATCCCAGAGACGCCCCAAAAACCACCCAGAGACCTCCCAAAAAACACCCCAAAAACTCCCCCCAAAAACCATCCCAGAGACCCCCAAAAAACCATCCCAGAGAAACCCCAAAAACCACCCCAGAGACCCCCAAAAACCACCCAGATACCCCCAAAAACCACCCCAAAAACTCCCCCCAAAACCACTCCAGAGACCCCCAAAAACCATCCCAGAGACCCCCAAAAACCACCCAGAGACCCCCAAAAACGACCCCAGAGACACCCCAAAAACCACCCCAAAAACTCCCCCAAAAACCCCCCAGAGACACCCCCAAAAACCACCCAGAGACCCCCAAAAACCAACCCAGAGACCCCCAAAAACCCCCAAAAAAACACCCCAGAGACACCCAAAAACCATCCCAGAAACACCCCAATAACCACCCAAAGACACCCCAAAAACCATCCCAGAGACCCCCAAAAAAACCCCCAGAGACCCCCAAAAACCACCCCAAAAACTCCCCCCAAAAACCACCCCAGAGACACCCCAAAAACCACCCCAGAGACCCCCAAAAACCACCCCAGAGACACCCAAAAACCACCCCAAAAACTCCCCCAAAAAAACACCCCAGAGACCCCCAAAAACCACCCCAAAGACTCCCCCGAAAAACCACACCAGAGACCCCCAAAAACCACCCCAGAGACCCCCAAAAAAAACCCACCCCAAAGACCCCCAAAAACCCCCCAAAAAACCACCCCATAGACACCCAAAAACTACCCAGAGACCCCCAAAAACCACCCCAGAGACCCCCAAAAACCACCCCAAAAACTCCCCCGAAAACCCCCCAGAGACACCCCCAAAAACCACCCAGAGACACTGAAAAACCATCCCAGAGACACCCCAAAAACCACCCCAGAGACCCCCAAAAACCAACCCAGAGACCCCCAAAAAACCCCCCAGAGACCCCCAAAAACCACCTAAAAACTCCCCCAAAAAACCACCCCAAAAACTCCCCCAAAAACCACCCCGAGACCCCCAAAAACCATCCCAGAGACACCCAAAACCACCCCAGAGACACCCCAAAAACCATCCCAGAGACCCCCAAAAACCATCCCAGAGACCCCCAAAAACCACCCAGAGACCCCCCCAGAGACCCCAAACCCCCTGAGATGCCTCCAAACCCCCAAGGAACTTCTCTTGGACCTCCAGGAACCCCTCTGAGACCCAACGAGTTCCTCCAAACCCCTCTGAGATGCCTCCAAACCCCCAAGGAACTTCTCAAGGACCTCCAGAAACCACTCCGAGACCCAAAGTATTCCTCCAAACCCCTCTGAGATGCCCCCAAACCCCCCTGAGATGCCTCCAAACCCCTCTGAGATGCCCCCAAACCCCTCTGAGATGCCTCCAAACCCCCCGAGATGCCTCCAAACCCCTCTGAGATGCCCCCAAACCCCTCTGAGATGCCTCCAAACCCCTCTGAGATGCCCTCAAACCCCTCTGAGATGCTTCCAAACCACTAAGGAACTTCTCAAGGACCTCCGGGAACCCCTCCAAGACCCAAAGTATTCCTCCAAACCCCTCTGAGATGCCCTCAAACCCCCAAGGAACTTCTCTAGGACCTCCAGGAACCACTCCAAGACCCAAAGAATTCCTCCAAACCCCCGAGGAACTTCTCTAGAACCTCCAGGAACCCCTCCAAACCCCCTGAGATGCCCTCAAACCCCTCTGAGATGCCCCCAAACCCCCCGAGATGCCCCCAAACCCCCGAGGAACTTCTCTAGGACCTCCAGGCCCCGTGTGGCGCCTCACCCGGCCCAGGTACTTCCAGTCGAGCAGGTCGGAGAGGCGCTCGGTGCGGTTGCGCTGCACGATGCGCTGCCGCCGGCTCTGCTGGCAGAAGCCGTACAGGAACGCCGTCAGCTGCGCGCACGACTCCTCCGGGGCACGGAAACGCCGGTCCACGATGTAGATCCCTGCGGGCACGGACACGTTCTGACACGGGACAGGGACACGGGGACACGGGTGGGGACAGGGATGGGGACATGGGGACAGGGATGGGGATATGGGGATATGGGGATGGGGACAGGGATGGGGATGGGGACATGGACACAGGGACATGGGGATGGGGATATGGGGACTGGGACATGGGGATGGGGACAGGAGGATGGGGACACAGGGATGTGGGGACAGGGATGGGGACATGGGGATGGGGACATGGGGATGGGGACATGGGGACATGGGGACAGGGATGGGGACATGGGCATGGGGATGTGGGATGGGGACAGGGATGGGGATATGGGGATGGGGACACGGGGACTGGGATATGGGGACGGGGACATAGGGATGGGGATGTGGGGACAGGGATGGGGACACAGGGACAGGGATGGGGACACGGGGACAGGGACATGGGGATGTGGGGACAGGGATGGGGATATGGGGATGGGGACATGGGGACAGGGATGGGGACAGGGACATGGACACAGGGACATGGGGATGGGGACAAGGGGATGGGGACATGGGGATGGGGATATGGGGACAGGGACATGGGGATGGGGACAAGATGGGGACAGGGATGGGGATGTGGGGATGGGGACAGGGATGGGGACATGGGGACACGGGGACAGGGATGGGGACATGGGGATATGGGGACGGGGACACAGGGACAGGGACATGAACACAGGGACATGGGGACGTGGGGACAGGGATGGGGACACAGGGATGGGGACATGGGGACAGGGACATGGAGAGAGGGACAGGGGAACACGGGGACATGGACACGGAGACATGGGGACAGGGATGGGGACACGGGGATGGGGACAGGGACACAGGGACAGGGACATAGGGACGTGGGGACAGGGATGGGGACACGGGGACGGAGACAGGGATGGGGACATGGGGATGGGGACACAGGGACAGGAATGGGGATAGGGACATGGGGCAGGGACGTGGGGACAGGGACAGGGACATGGGGATGGGGATATGGGAACACGGATGGGGACACAGGGACAGGGACATGGGGACATAGGGACAGGGATGGGGACACGGGGATGGGGATATGGGGACAGGAATGGGGACATGGGGACGGGGACAGGAATGGGGACACAGGGACAGGGACATGGGCATGGGGATATGGGGACAGGGACATGGGGACACAGGGATGGGGACATGGAGATGGGGACATGGGGACTGGGATATGGGGATGGGGACAGGGATGGGGACATGGGGATGGGGATATGGGGACAGGGATGGGGACATGGGGATGGGACATGGGGATGGGGATATGGGGACAGGGATGGGGACAGGGATGGGGATATGGGAACAGGGATGGGGACATGGGGACATGGAGATGGCAAATGGGGACATGGGGACGGGGATGAGGACATGGGGATGTGGGGATAGGGATATGGGAATGGGGACTGGGATGGGGACGTGGGGATATGGGGATGGGGACATGGGGATGGGGACAAGGGGACAGGGATGGGGATATGGGGACATGGATGGGGATATGGGGACACGGGGGGACATGGGGACAGGGATATGGGGATGGGGACAGGGATGGGGATGCGGGGATGGGGACATGGGGATGGGGATATGGGGACACGGGGGGACATGGGGACAGGGACATGGGGACACAGGGACAGGGACATGGAGACAGGGACATGGGGATGGGAACATGGGAACAGGGATGGGGATGTGGGGACAGGGATGGGGACAGGGATGGGGACATGGGGATGGGGATATGGGGATGGGGATGGGGACACGGGGACACAGATGGGGACACGGGGATGGGGACAAGGATGGGGACAGGGACACAGGGACAGGGACATGGGGACAGGGATGGGGACATGGGGACAGGGACATGGGGATGGGGACAGGAAGACAGGGACATGGGGACAGGAAGACAGGGACATGGGGACGGGGACATGGGATGGGGACATTGGGACTGGGGATAGGGACACGGGGACAGGGACATGGGGATGGGGACATGGGGATGTGGGGACAGGAATGAGGACACGGGGACGTAGGGACACTGGGGATGGGGACATGGGGACATTGACACAGGGACATGGACACAGGGACACGGGGATGGGGACATGGGGACAGGGACATGGGGATGGGGACAGCGATGAGGACATGGGGATGGGGACAGGAACACGGATGGGGACAGGGAACAGGGACAGCTGTTGGTGACCCTCCAAGGATTTTGGGGTCCCCCTCGGTATTTGGGTCCTCCTCCAAGTTTTTGGGCCCCCACCCAGAATTTTGCCCCCCCCCCCCCCAGTTTTTTGTTGACCCCCTCACATTTTTGGGCCCCCACAAGAATTTTGACCACCCCCCCACCCCCAGGAATTTTGGTTAAAACCCCCACATTTTTGTTGACCCCTCCAAGATTTTGGGGTCACCCCAGAATTTTGCCCCCCCCCCCCATATTTTGGGGTCCCCCCGCTGACCGTAGGCCGAGGGGTCGGCGATGTGCTCCTCCATGAAGCAGCCGAAGCCCGAGAGGTTGGTGGAGACGCTGGGGATGCCCATGACCGTGCACTCGGCTGGGGGGCAGATTTGGGGGGTCACGGGGGGTTTTGGGGGGCACGGGGACTCGGGGACCCCCCCCGAGGGGGGATTTACCTGGGGTGTAGCCCCAGGGCTCGTAGTAGGAGGGGAAGACGCCGAGGTGGCAACCCCGGACGAACTCCTCGTAGTCCACGGGGAGCAGCGGGCTGGTGGAGGACAGGAACTCGGGGTGGAAGATGATCTTGGGGAGGGGGAAAAGGGGGTGAACCCCAAAATTCTGAGCTGAAACCCGAAATTCCCAGCCCAGAACCTCAGAGTTCCCTCTCAGAAATCAAAATTCTGATTTGAACCCTGAAATTCTCACCCCAGAAATGCAAAATCCTCCAAATTCCCACCCCAGAAACCCAAAATCTTGCTCTGGACCTCAAAATTCTCATCCCAGAACACCAAAATCCTGATCTGAACCCCGAAATTCTCACCCCAGAAACCCAAAATCCTCAAAATTCTCACCCCAGAAACCCAAAATGCTCAAAAATTCTCACCCCAGAACCTCAAAATCCTCCAAATTCCCACCCCAGAAACCCAAAATCCTCCAAATTCCCACCCCAGAACCTCAAAATTTTTATCTGAACCCCGAAATTCCCACCCCAGGAACCAAAATCCTCCAAATTCCCACCGCAGAAACCCAAAATCCTCCAAATTCCCACCCCAGAAACCCCAAATCCTCCAAATTCCCACCCCAGAAACCTCAAATCCTGCAAATTCTCAACCCAGAACCTCAAAATTTTTATCTGAACCCCGAAATTTCCACCCCAAACCACAAATATCTGATCTGAACCCCAAAATTCCCACCTCAGAACCCCAAAATTCCCTCTCAGAAATCAAAATACTGATCTGCACCCTGAAATTCTCACCCCAGAAACCCAAAATCCTCCAAATTCCCACCCCAGAAACCCAAAATCCTCCAAATTCCCACCCCAGAAACCCAAAATCCTGATCTGAACCCCCAAATTCCCAGCCCAGAACCTCAGAATTCCCCCTCAGAAATCAAAATCCTGATTTAAACCCTGAAATTCCCACCCCAGAAAACCAAAATCCTGCTCTGGACCTCAAAATTCTCATCCCAGAACACCAAAATCCTGATTTGAACCCTGAAATTCTCACCCCAGAAACCCAAAATCCTCCAAATTCCCACCCCAGAACCCCAAAATCCTGATCTGAACCCCGAAATTCCCACCCCAGAATCTCAAAATTCTGATCTGAACCCCGAAATTCCCACCTCAGAACCCCAGAATTCCCTCTCAGAAATCAAAATCCTGATTTAAACCCCAAAATTCCCACCCCAGAAACCCAAAATCCTCCAAATTCCCAACCCAGAAACACAAAATCCACCAAATTCCCATCCCAGGACCCCAAAATCCTGATCTGCACCCCAAAATTCCTTACAAGAATACCAAAATTCTTCACTGGACCCCAAAATTCCCACCCCAAACCACAAAATCCTGAACTGAACCCCAAAATTCCCACCTCAGAACCCCAAAATTCCCTCTCAGAAATCAAAATCCTGATTTGAACCCCAAATTCCCAGCCCAGAACCTCAAAATCCTCCAAATTCCCACCCCAGAACCTCAAATTTTTTATCTGAACCCCGAAATTCCCACCCCAGAACCCCAAAATCCTCCGAATTCCCACCCCAAGTGCCACCTTGACGTGGTTGCTGCTGCTGTGGAAGAGCTCCAGAACCCCCAAAACCCCCTAAAATCCCCCCAAAAAATCCCAAATCCCCAAAAAACCCCAAACCCCACATCCCCCAATGTCCCCATGTCCCCCCCGATGTCACCACCCCCCAAAAGTGTCCCCAAGTGCCACCTTGACCTGATCATTGCTGCTGTTGAAGAGCTCCAGATGCCCCAAAACCCCAAAAAAAACCCTAATCACCCCCAAAAAACCCCGAAATCCCAATGAAACCCCAAAAACCCCATATCCCCCAATGTCCCCGTGTCCCCCCCAATGTCACCCCCCCCAGAAGTGTCCCCAAGTGCCACCTTGACCTGATCATTGCTGCTGCTGAAGAGCTCCAGATACCCCAAAACCCCAAAAAAACCCCATGAAACCCCCCAAAATCCCAACCAAACCCCCTGAGCACCCCCAAACCCCACATCCCCCAACGTCCCCGTGTCCCCCCGATGTCACCACCCCCAGAAGTGTCCCCAAGTGCCACCTTGACCTGATCATTGCTGCTGCTGAAGAGCTCCAGATGTCCCCCAAACCCCCCAAAACCCCAACCAAACCCCCCAAAATCCCAACCAAACTCCCCAAACCCCCCAAACCCCACATCCCCCAATGTCCCCGTGTCCCCCCGATGTCACCACCCCCAGAAGTGTCCCCAAGTGCCACCTTGACGCAGTTGTTGCTGCTGCTGAAGAGCTCCAGATGCCCCAAAACCCCCATGAAACCCCCCAAAAATCCAATGAAACCCCCCAAAACCCCCTGAGCACCCCCAAACCCCACATCCCCCAACGTCCCCGTGTCCCCCCGATGTCACCACCCCCCAAAAGTGTCCCCAAGTGCCACCTTGACGCGGTCGTTGCTGCTGTTGAAGAGGCCGATCCTGCGGATCGTGGTCAGGATGGGGTCGGTGGCGTCGTCCAACATGTTGTGGGTGCACACGGGGGGGAAGGACTGCCGCGGGGGGGGGGGGGGAGGACAAATTTTGGGGTCCCCCCAATGTTCAGAACCCCCAAATGTCCCCACACCCCAAAAATGAGGCACCTAAAGCGTCGCTGGCCCCGAAAAACGCACCCAGGAGCACCAAATTTCAGCCCAATTCTCCTGGTTTTACCCCAAAAAAAGCAGCGGGAACCCCAAAATCTCCTCCCCCCAAAAAAGGGGGTCCCAGCCCCCCAAAAATAGGTTCCAGCCCCCCAAAAAGGGGTCCCAGCCCCCCAAAATGGGATCCCCACCCCCCATAAAAGGGTCCCAGCCCCCCAAAAAGGGGTCCCACCCCCCAAAAATGGGTCCCCATCCCAAAAATGGAGTCCCCACCCCAAAAAGGGGGACCCACCCAAAATGGGGTCCCAGCCCCCCAAAAGGGGTCCCCACCTCAAGAAAGAGGGTCCCAGACCCCCAAAAACGAGTCTCAGCCCCCCAAAAATAGGTTCCAGCCCCCAAAAAGGGGGTCCCAGCCCCCCAAAAAGGGTTCTCAGCCCCCCAAAAAAGGGGTCCTAGCCCCCCAAAAAGGGCTCCTAGACCCCCAAAATGGGGTCCTCACCCCAAAAAAGGAGTCCCAGCCCCCCAAAAATAGGTTCCAGCCCCCCAAAAAGGGGTCCCAGCCCCACAAAAATGGGGTCCCAGCCCCCCAAAATGGGGTCCCAGTCCCCCTAAAACGAGTCTCAGCTCCCCAAAAAGGGGTCTCAGCCCCCCAAAAATGGGTCGCCAACCCAAAAATGAGTCTCAGCTCCCCAAAAACGGGTCCCAGCCCCCCAAAAAGGGTTCTCAGCCCCCCAAAAACGGGTCCCCATCCCAAAAAGGGGGTCCCAGCCCCCCAAAAATGGGTCCCCATCCCAAAAAGGGGGTGCAGCCCCCCAAAAATGAGTCTCAGCTCCCCAAAAATAGGTTCCAGTCCCCCAAAAAGGGTTCCCAGCCCCCCAAAAAGGGTTCTCAGCCCCCCAAAAATGGCTCCTAGACCCCCAAAAAGGGTTCTCAGCCCCCCAAAATGGGGTCCCAGCCCCCCAAAAATGGGTCCCCATCCCAAAAAGGGGGTCCCAGCCCCCCAAAAATAGGTTCCAGCCCCCCAAAAATGGGTCCCCATCCCAAAAAGGGGTCTTGGCCCCCCAAAAAGGGTTCTCAGCCACCCAAAAATGAGTCTCAGCTCCCCAAAAATAGGTTCCAGCCCCCCAAAAATGGGTTTCCATCCCAAAAAGGGGGTCCCAGCCCCCCGGCTCACCTGGGTGGCGAAGATGGCTCTCTTCATCATGGTGAAATCCTCCCTGTCCAGCATCTTGTTCATGTCCGGGAGGTTCCCCCTAAAATTTTGGGGGGTGGGAGCTGAGGAGACCCCACCCCAAAATCCCCGGGGGTCCCCAGGGCGGTTTTTGGGGTTTTTTTGGGGTTTTTTTGGGGTTTTTTTTGGGGGGTTCTTACACCAGCAGAGACTCGTAGAGCTTCTTCCCGAATTTCTCCTTCACGGCGTTGGCCGTGTCCCTGGGGGGCAGAATTTGGGGGGATTTTTGGGAATTTTTTTTGATTTTTGGGATATTTTTTGGGATTTTTTTGATTTTTGGGATATTTGGGGGATTTTTGGGGTTTTTTTTGGGATATTCTGGGGCTTTTTGGGTTTTTTTTTTTGGTTTTTTGGGGTCCCACCAGAGCTGCTTGTGCACGGCTTGGCCCTGGATGGGTTTGGGGTTTATATTTGGGATATTTTGGGATATTTTTGGGATTTTTTTGGGTATTTTGGGGTTTTTTTGGAGATATTTTTGGGATTTTTTGGGTATTTTGGGATATTTTTGGGATATTTTTGGGGTCCCACCAGATCTGTTTGCACACGGCCTGGCCCTGGATGGGTTTGGGGTGGATTTTTGGTATATTTTGGGATTTTTGGGTATTCTGGGATATTTTGGTATATTTTTGGGATTTTATGGGGTATTTTGGGGGTTTTTTGGGGATATTTTTGGGTTTTTTGGGGTATTTTGGGGTTGTTCAGTGGATTTTGGGGATATTTTGGGGACATTTTGGGATATTTTGGGATTTTTTGGGGTCCCACCAGAGCTGCTTGTGCACGGCCTGGCCCTGGATGGGTTTGGGGTGGGTTTTTGGGATTTTTTGGGGGTTTTTTTGTTTTTTTTTTTTATTTTAGGGTTGTTCGGTGGATTTTGGGGATATTTTGGATTTTTTGGGGTTTTTTTGGGGTCCCACCAGAGTTGCTTGCGCACGGCCTGGCCCTGGATGGGTTTGGGTTGGAATTTTGGGGTTTTTTTTGATTTATTGGGGGTTTTTGGGTTTTTTTGGGTACTTTGGAGGTGCTGGGTGGATTTTTTTGGGTATTTTGGGATATTTTAGGATATTTTTTGGGATATTTTGGATTTTTTGGGGTCCCACCAGAGCTGCTTGCGCACGGCCTGGCCCTTGAGCGACTCCACGTTGAAGTTGTTGGTCCTGGCGGGCATGATGAAAAATGCCACCACGGTCACCTCGCTGCCATTCACCTGCGGGTGTCCCCAAATGTCACACGGGGTCCCCAAATGTCACACGGGGTCCCCAAATGTCCCCAAATGTCCCCAAAAGTCCCTAAAATTCCCTGCAGCGACCCCAACCCCAAATAACCCCATTTGTCCCCAAATGTCCCCGGCACTGATCAGCTGCCAGGGGTGTCCCCAATGTCACCTGAGGTCCCCAATGTCACCTGGGGTGCCCTAAAATCCCCCCAAATGTCCCCAACCTGACCCCAAATGTCCCCTCTGTCCCCAAATACCTCCGGTGTCCCCCCCCAAATGTCCCCCCAAGCCTCGAACGTCCCCAAATGTCCCCAAATGTCACTTGTGTCCCCATGGGTTTCACCAATGTCCCCGTGTCACCTTGATGTCCCCAATGTCCCTGATGTCCCCAAATGTCCCCAAATGTCCCCAAATGTCCTCAATGTCCCCACTCACCTCAACGTCCTCCCAATGTCCCCAATATCCTCAGTGTCCCCAATGTCCCCAAATGTTCCCAACCTCCCCAATGTCCCCAAATGTCCCCAATTACCCAAATGTCCCCAAATGTCCCCAATCCCTCCAATGTCCCAAATCCCCCCTGACGTCCCTAACGTCCCAAATCCCCCTGATGTCCCCAAATGTCCTCAATGTCCCCAAATGTCCTCAATGTCCCCAAATGTCCCCAGTGTCCCCAAATGTCCCCAATCCCCCAAATGCCCTCAATCCCTCCAATGTCCCCAATCCCCTCAATGTCCCCAATCCCCCCAATGTCCCCAATGTCCCCAATGTCCCCCATGTCCCCAATGTCCCCAATCCCCTCAATGTCCCCAATCCCCCCAATGTCCCCAATGTCCCCAATGGCCCCAATGTCCCCAATGTCCCCAAATGTCCCCAATGTCCCCAATGTCCCCAATGTCCCCAATGTCCCCAATGTCCCCAAATGTCCCCAATGTCCCCAATGTCCCCAATGTCCCCGATGTCCCCAATCCCCCCAATGTCCCCAATCCCCCCGATGTCCCCAATGTCCCCAATGTCCCCAATGTCCCCAACCCCCCCAATGTCCCCAATGTCCCCAATGTCCCCAATCCCCCCAATGTCCCCAAATGTCCCCAATGTCCCCAATGTCCCCAATACCCCCAATGTCCCCAATGTCCCCAATGTCCCCAATCCCCCCAATGTCCCCAATGTCCCCAATGTCCCAAATGTCCCCAATTCCCCAAATGTCCCCAACATCCCCAATGTCCCCAATCCCCCCGCTGTCCCCAATGTCCCCAGGTGTCCCCGTGTCACCCGGAGCAGGTAGTTGAGCCGGGCCAGCGCCTCCAGGAAGATGTCGGCGCCAATGTCCCCTCAATGTCCCCAGATGTCCCCAATCCCCCAAATGTCCCCAATCCCCCCAATGTCCCCAAATGTCCCCAATACCCCCAAAGTCACCCTGATCCCCTCAATGTCCCCAACGTCTCCAATGTCCCCAATCCCCCCGATGACCCCAATGTCCCCAATGCCCCCAATGTCCCCAATGTCCCCAATGTCTCCAAATGTCCCCAATCCCCCAATCCCCCAATGTCTCCAGTGTCCCCAATCCCTCCGATGTCCTCCATGTCCCCCATCCCCTCAATGTCCCCAATCCCCCCAATGTCACCCTGATCCCCCCAATGTCCCCAATCCCCCCAGATGTCCCCGATGTCCCCAATGTCCCCAATGCCCCCAATGTCCCCAATGTCCCCAGATGTCCCCGCTGTCCCCAATCCCCCCGATGTCCCCAATGTCCCCCGGTGTCCCCGTGTCACCCGGAGCAGGTAGTTGAGCCGGGCCAGCGCCTCCAGGAAGATGTCGGCGCCAATGTCCCCTCAATGTCCCCAGATGTCCCCAATCCCCCAAATGTCCCCAATCCCCCCAATGTCCCCAAATGTCCCCAATACCCCCAAAGTCACCCTGATCCCCTCAATGTCCCCAACGTCTCCAATGTCCCCAATCCCCCCGATGACCCCAATGTCCCCAATGCCCCCAATGTCCCCAATGTCCCCAATGTCTCCAAATGTCCCCAATCCCCCAATCCCCCAATGTCTCCAGTGTCCCCAATCCCTCCGATGTCCTCCATGTCCCCCATCCCCTCAATGTCCCCAATCCCCCCAATGTCACCCTGATCCCCCCAATGTCCCCAATCCCCCCAGATGTCCCCGATGTCCCCAATGTCCCCAATGCCCCCAATGTCCCCAATGTCCCCAGATGTCCCCGCTGTCCCCAATCCCCCCGATGTCCCCAATGTCCCCCGGTGTCCCCGTGTCACCCGGAGCAGGTAGTTGAGCCGGGCCAGCGCCTCCAGGAAGATGTCGGCGCCCTTGTTGGAGAACTCGTAGCGCCCGGCGATGAAGAAGAAAAGGGTCTTGTCCAGATCGAAATCCAGGTGCCTGCGGGGAGCTCGCCTGGGACACCCAAACACCCCGAAACAAGCCGAAATACCCCAAAATACCCCAAAAACACCCCAAAAACAGCCCAAAACACCCCGAAACAGCCCGAAACAACCCGAAATACCCCAAAATACCCCCAAACATCCAAAAACAACCCAAAACATGCCAAAAACAGCCCAAAATACCCCAAAACACCCAAAACCCACCCCAAAATACCCCAAAACACCCCGAAACAACCAAAAATACCCCAAAAACACCCCAAAACCACCCCAAAAACAGCCCCAAATACCCCAAAAATACCCCAAAAACAGCCCAAAACCACCCCCAAATACCCCAAATAACCCCAAACATCCAAAAACACCCCCAAACAACCCAAAAACAACCCAAAATACCCCAAAAATACCCCAAAAACAGCCCAAAATACCCCAAAACATCCAAAACCCAGTCCAAAAATACCCCAAAACACCCCGAAACAACCCAAAAACAGCCCAAAATACCCCAAAACCACCCCAAAACAGCCCAAAAACACCCCAAAAACACCCGAAACAACCCAAAATACCCCAAAAACACCCCAAAAATACCTCAAAATACCCAAAAAACAGCCTGAAACACCCCAAAACACCCCAAAAATACCCCAAAACAGCCCAAAACAACCTAAAACCAGCCCAAAACACCCCAAAACAGCCCAAAACAACCCAAAACCAGCCCAAAATACCCCACAAACACCCCAAAACATCCAAAACCCAGTCCAAAACACCCCAAAACAACCCCAAAACAGCCCACAAACAGCCCAAAATACCCCAAAAACAGCCCAAAAACAGCCCAAAATACCCCCAAACACCCTGAAACAACCCAAAAACAACCCAAAAACACCCCAAAACAGCCCAAAAATACCCCAAAACACCCCAAAACAACCCAAAAACAGCCCAAAAATACCCAAAAACACCCCGAAACAACCCAAAATACCCCAAAAATACCCCAAAAACACCCCGAAAACAGCCCCAAATACCCCAAAAATACCTCAAAATATCCAAAACACAGTCCAACACACCCCAAAAACACCCCAAAATACCCCAAAAACACCCCGAAACAACCCAAAATACCCCAAAATACCCCAAAACACCCCAAAACAACCCAAAATAAATACCCCAAAAACACCTCAAAATATCCAAAACCCAGTTCAAAACACCCCAAAACAACCCAAAACAACCCAAAATACCCCAAAAACACCCCAAAACATCCAAAACCCAGTCCTAAACAGCCCAAAACACCCCAAAAATACCCCAAAACAGCCCAAAACAACCTAAAAACAGCCCAAAACACCCCAGAACAGCCCAAAACAACCCAAAACCAGCCCAAAATACCCCACAAACACCCCAAAACATCCAAAACCCAGTCCAAAACACCCCAAAACAACCCAAAAACACCCCAAAACAGCCCACAAACACCCCAAAACAACCCAAAACCAGCCCAAAACACCCCACACAAACTTCCGGCTCCCCACCCTCTGCACATCAGGATCCCCCCGGGATTTTGGGGTTTCTGCTCTGGTTTCCCTCAGGATTTTGGGGTCCCCTCGGAGTTTTGGGTTCCCCCAGGATTTTGGGGTCCCTTTTGGGGTTTTGGGGTCCCCTTTGGGGTCCCTGACCCGTAGAAGTTTCCCTGAACTCCTGCCTCAGGGTCCCTCACCGGATTTGGGGTTTCTGCTCAAGTTCCCCTCAGGATTTTGGGGTCCCCTCGGAGTTTTTGGGTCCCCCCAGGATTTTGGGGGTCCTTTTTGGGGTTTTGGGGTCCCTTTTGAGGTTTTGGGGTCCCTTTTGGGGTCTCTGACCCGTAGAAGTTTCCCTGAACTCCTGCCTCAGGGTCCCCCACCGGATTTGGGGTTTCTGCTCAGGTTTCCCCCAGGATTTTGGGTTCCCCTCGTGGTTTTGGGGTCTTTTTGGGGGTTTTGGGTTCTCTTTTGGGGTTTTGGGTCCTTTTTGGGGTTTTGGGGTCCCTTTTGGGGTCTCTGACCCGTAGAAGTTTCCCTGAACTCCTGGCTCAGGGTCCCCCAATGGATTTGGGGTTTCTGCTCAAGTTCCCCTCAGGATTTTGGGTTCCCCTCAGAGTTTTCGGGTCCCCCCAGGATTTTGGGGTCCCCTTTAAGGATTTTGGGGTCCCTTTTGGGGTTTTGGGGTCCCCTTTGGGGTCCCTCACCCATAGAAGTTTCCCTGAACTCCTGGCTCAGGGTCCCCCACCGGATTTGGGGTTTCTGCTCAAGTTTCCCCCAGGATTTTGGGTTCCCCTCGTGGTTTTGGGGTCCTTTTTGGGGTTTTGGGTTCTCTTTTGGGTTCCTCCAGGATTTTGGGGTCCCTTTTGGGGTTTTGGGGTCCCTTTTGGGGTCCCTGACCCGTAGAAGTTTCCCTGAACTCCTGCCTCAGGAATTGGGGTTTCTGCTCTGGTTTCCCTCAGGATTTTGGAGTCCCCTCAGAGTTTTCGGGTCCCCCCAGGATTTTGGGGTTTCCTCCAGGATTTTGGGGTCCCTTTTGGGGTTTTGGGGTCCCTTTTGGGGTCCCTCACCCATAGAAGTGACCCAACATAAACTCCCGGCTCCTCACCCTCTGCACATCAGGATCCCCCCAGGATTTTGGGGTTTCTGCCCAGGTTTCCCTCAGGATTTTGGGGTTCCCTTGAGATTTTGGGGTCCCTTTTCGGGGTTTTGGGGTCCCTTTCGGAGTTTTGGGGTCCCCTTTGGGGTCTCTGAACTCCTGCCTCAGGAATTGGGGTTTCTGCTCTGGTTTCCCTCAGGATTTTGGGGTCCCCTTGGAGTTTCCGGGTCCCCCCAGGATTTTGGGTTCCTCCAGGATTTTGGGGTCCCCTTTGGGATTTTGGGGTCCCTTTTGGGGTTTTCGGGTCCCCCCAGGATTTTGGGGTCCCTTTTGGGGTTTTGGGGTCCCTTTCGGGGTTTTGGGGTCCCCTTTGGGGTCTCTGACCTGTAGAAGTTTCCCTGAACTCCTGCCTCAGGAATTGGGGTTTCTGCTCTGGTTTCCCTCAGGATTTTGGGTCCCCCCAGGATATTGGGGTCCCCTTTCGGGATTTTGGGGTCCCTTTTGGGGTTTTGGGGTCCCCTTTGGGGTCTCTGACCCGTAGAAGTTTCCCTGAACTCCTGCCTCAGGAATTGGGGTTTCTGCTCTGGTTCCCCTCAGGATTTTGGGTTCCCCTCGGAGTTTTCGGGTCCCCCCAGGATTTTGGGGTTTTCCTCAGGATTTTGGGGTCCCTTTTGGGGTTTTGGGGTCCCCTTTGTGGTCTCTGACCCATAGAAGTGACCCCACACAAACTCTCGGCTCCCCACCCTCTGCACATCAGGATCCCCCCAGGATTTTGGGGTTTCCCTCAGGATTTTGGGTTCCTCCAGGATATTGGGGTCCCCTTTTGGGATTTTGGGGTCCCTTTCGGGGTTTTGGGGTCCCTTTTGGGGTTTTGGTGTCCCTTTTGGGATTTTGGGGTCCCTTTTGGGGTTTTGGGGTCCCCTTTGGGGTCTCTGACCCGTAGAAGTTTCCCTGAACTCCTGGCTCAGGGTCCCCCACCGGATTTGGGGTTTCTGCTCTGGTTTCCCTCAGGATTTTGGGTTCCCCTCGTGGTTTTCGGGTCCCCCCAGGATTTTGGGGTCCACCCAGGATTTTGGGGTCCCTTTTGGGGTTTTGGGGTCCCTTTTGGGGTCCCTCACCCGTAGAAGTTTCCCTGAACTCCTGGCTCAGGGTCCCCCACCGGATTTGGGGTTTCTGCTCAAGTTTCCCTCAGGATTTTGGGGTTCCTTTTGGGATTTTGGGGTCCCCTTTCGGGGTTTTGGGGTCCCTTTTGGGGTTTTGGGGTCCCCTTTGGGGTCACTGACCCATAGAAGTGTCCCCGCACGAACTCCTGGACTCGGGCCTTGCTCTGGGCGTGCAGGTTCTGGAACTCGTGCATGGCCGAGAACTTGCGCACGTTCAGCCCGTTGGGGGTCACCAGGTCTGGGGGGGATTTGGGGGGTCAGGGGGACCCCAAAATCCCCCCAAAAAATGTCCCCCCAAATCCCCCCAAAATCCCCCCAAAATCCCTGGATCCTTCCCCAAATCCCAGCCAGGAACCCCATAAGGAATTTTGGGGGTGAGGGGATTTTGGGGGGGGGTTTTAGGGGTCCATCAGGATTTTGGGGGTCACCAGGTCCATCAGGATTTTGGGGGTCAGGGGGACCCCAAAATCCCCCCAAAAAACGGCATCAAAATCCTCAAATTCCCCCCAAATCCCTGGATTTCCCCCAAATCCCACCCTGAAACCCCATAAGGAATTTTGGGGGTGAGGGGATTTTGGGAGGGGGGTTTAGGGGTCCATCAGGATTTTGGGGGGTCACCAGGTGTTGGGTGGGGGTCAGGGGGACCCCAAAAATGTCCCCACAAATTCCTGGATCCCCCAAATCCCCCAAATCCCCCAAATCCCCCCCAAATCCCTGATTTCCCCCAAATCCCACCCAGGAACCCCATAAGGAATTTTGGGGGTGAGGGGATTTTGGGGGGGGGTTTTAGGGGTCCATCAGGATTTTGGGGGTCACCAGGTCTGGGGGGGATTTGGGGGGTCAGGGGCACCCCAAAATCCCCCCAAAATTGTCCCCCCAAATCCTCAAATTCCCTCAAATCCCCCCAAATCAATGGATCCTTCCCCAAATCCCACCCAGAAACCCCATAAGGAATTTTGGGGGTGAGGGGATTTTGGGAGGGGGGTTTTAGGGGTCCACCAGAATTTTGGGGGTCACCAGGTGTGGGGTGGGGGTCAGGGGGACCCCAAAATCCCCCCAAAAATGGCCCCCCAAATCCTCAAATCCCCCCCAAAATCCCGGGATCCTTCCCCAAATCCCACTCTGAAACCCCATAAGGAATTTTGGGGGTGAGGGGATTTTTGGGGGGGGGTTTAGGGGTCCATCAGGATTTTGGGGGTCACCAGGTGTGGGGGGGTTTTTGGGGGGTCCCAGGGGGTCAGGGGGACCCCAAAATCCCCCCAAAAATGGCCCCCCAAATCCTCAAATCCTCCCGGTGGCAGTGACAGGGGTGGGATTTGGGGGATTTTGGGGCACTCAGGGGGATTTTGGGGTTCCAGGTGAATTTGGGGGATTTTGGGGTTCCCAAGGTGGAATTTGGGGCTCCCCAGGTGAGTCGGGGTCACACCTGGCTCACACCTGAGCAGGTGCTCGGCCGTGGCAGTGACAGGGGTGGGATTTGGGGGATTTTGGGGTGCTCAGGGGGATTTTGGGGTTCCAGGTGAATTTGGGGTTTTTGGGGTTCCAGGTGAATTTGGGGGATTTTGGGGTTCCAGGTGAATTTGGGGGAATTTGGGGTTCCCCAGGTGAGCAGGGGTCACACCTGAGCAGGTGCTCGGCTGTGGCAGTGACAGGGGTGGGATTTGGGGAGGGGATTTGGGGAGGCGATTTGGGGGATTTTTGGGTGGTCCAGGTGCATTTGGGGGATTTTGGGGTTCCCCAGGTGTGTTTGGGGTCACACCTGAGCAGGTGCTCGGCCTCGGTGGTGGTGACAGGAGTGGGATTTGGGGAGGGGATTTGGGGGATTTTGGGGCGCTCAGGGGGATTTTGGGGTTCCAGGTGAATTTGGGGGATTTTGGGGCTCCCCAGGTGGATTTTGGGGCTCCCCAGGTGAGTTGGGATCACACCTGGCTCACACCTGAGCAGGTGCTCGGCCTCGGTGGCGGTGACGGGGGTGTGATTTGGGGAGGGGATTTGGGGGATTTTGGAGTTTTTTGGGGTTCCAGGTGTATTTGGGGGATTTTGGGGCGCTCAGGGGGATTTTGGAGTTTTTGGGGTTCCCCAGGTGTGTTTGGGGTCTCACCTGGCTTGCGCTTGAGCAGGTGCTCGGCCTCGGCGGCGGTGACAGGAGTGGGATTTGGGAAGGATTTGAGGAGGGGATTTGGGGGATTTTGGGGCACTTTGGGGGATTTTGGAGTTTTTGGGGTTCCAGGTGAATTTGGGGGATTTTGGGGTTCCCCAGGTGTTTGGGGTCCCACCTGGCTTGCGCTTGAGCAGGTGCTCGGCCATGGCAGTGACAGGAGTGGGATTTGGGGGGGAATTTGGGGGATTTTGGGGCGCTCAGGAGGATTTTGGGGCGTTCAGGGGGATTTTGGGGTTCCAGGTGAATTTGGGGGATTTTGGGGTTCCCCAGGTGAGTCGGGTCCCACCTGGCTTGCGCTTGAGCAGGTGCTCGGCCTTGGCGGCGGTGACAGGGGTGGGATTTGGGGGATTTGGGGAGGGGATTTGGGGGATTTTGGGGCACTTTGGGAGATTTTTGGGGTTCCAGGTGAATTTGGGGGATTTTGGGGCTCCCCAGGTGTGTTTGGGGTCTCACCTGGCTTGCGCTTGAGCAGGTGCTCGGCCTCGGCGGCGGTGACGTGGCTCACGGTGGTCAGCACGTGGGCGCAGTGCGCGGCCGCGCGCTCCAGGCAGTACCGGTGGTAGATCTGCCGCTCACCTGCCTCCTTGTCCACGTCGAACTGCGGGACGGGCACACCTGGCACACCTGGGCACACCTGGGCACACCTGGGCACACCTGGGCACAGCTGGGCACAGCTGGGGGCACACCTGGGCACACCTGAGCTCACCTGGGCACACCTGAGAACCCCCCAGCCCTGACCTGCTGCTCACCTGGGCACACCTGGGCACACCTGGAGCTCACCTGAGCTCACCTGGGTACACCTGGGCACACCTGAGAACCCCCCAGGCCTGACCTGCCACTCACCTGGGCACACCTGGGGGTCACCTGAGCTCACCTGGGGGTCACCTGAGCTCACCTGGGCACAGCTAGGGCATAGCTGGGGGTCACCTGAGCTCACCTGAGCTCACCTGGGCACACCTGAGAACCCCCCAGCCCTGACCTGCCGCTCACCTGGGCACAGCTGGGCACACCTGGGGGTCACCTAAGCTCACCTAGGGTCACCTGGGCACACCTGGGCACACCTGGGGTCACCTGAGCTCACCTGGGGATCACCTGAGCTCACCTGGGGGTCACCTGAGCTCACCTGGGCACACCTGAGCTCACCTGGGCAAACCTGGGGGTCACCTGAGCTCACCTGGGCACACCTGAGCTCACCTGGGCACACCTGAGAATCCCCCAGGCCTGACCTGCCACTCACCTGAGCTCACCTGGGAGTCACCTGAGCTCACCTGGGGGTCACCTGAGCTCACCGGGGCACACCTGAGCTCACCTGGAACCCTCCCCAGCCCTGACCTGCTGCTCCTCAGCCTCCTTGTCCACGTGGAACTGCGGGCAGGGCACACCTGGGCAGACCTGGGGTACACCTGGGCACACCTGAGCTCACCTGAGAACCCCCCAGCCCTGACCTGCCGCTCACCTGGGCACACCTGGGGATCACCTGAGCTCACTTGGGGGTCACCTGGGATGCCCCAAAAACCCACAGCACACCTGGGACCTTCCCCAGCCCCTCCCTGGGACACCAGAGCCCTGATCTGCCGCTCACCTGGGCACACCTGAGCTCACCTGGGCACACCTGGGGGTCACCTGAGCCCACCCAAAACCCCACAGAGAGCCCTGACCCCAGGTGTGACCCCATGTCCCCAGGTGTGTCCCAGGTGTGTCCCAGGTGTGTCCCCATGTCCCCAGGTGTGTCCCAGGTGTGTCCCAGGTGTGTCCCAGGTGTGTCCCCATGTCCCCAGGTGTGTCCCCATGTCCCAGGTGTGTCCCCAGGTGTGTCCCCATGTCCCCAGGTGTGTCCCCATGTCCCCAGGTGTGTCCCAGGTGTGTCCCCATGTCCCCAGGTGTGTCCCAGGTGTGTCCCCAGGTGTCCCAGGTGACTCACGCTCTGCAGGTTGTTGTAGAAGTCCACGCTCCCGGCGCACAGGTACCGACCCCCATGTCCCCAGGTGTGTCCCAGGTGTGTCCCAGGTGACTCACGCTCTGCAGGTTGTTGTAGAAGTCCACGCTCCCGGCGCACAGGTACCGACCCCCATGCCCAGGTGTGTCCCCAGGTGTGTCCCCAGGTGTGTCCCAGGCACTCACGCTCTGCAGGTTGTTGTAGAAGTCCACGCTCCCGGCGCACAGGTAGCGGCCCAGCAGCGTGGCGTGCGTGGTGAAGATGGTGGCCACCGGCAGGCGCCGGGCGCGGCTCAGCACCAGCCCCAGCCCCGCCAGCCACTCGTGGAAGTGGCCCACGATGAACGGCCGCTCCTCGCTCTGCGCCGCAAACTGTCCCCGGGGTCACAAAATGTCACCAGGGGTCACCAGGGGTCACCAGGGGTCACCAGGTGTCACCAAATGTCACCAGGTGGCACCATGGTGGCACCTGAGCTGGGTGTGTGGTGCCCAAGGTGTCACCACCACACCTGGTGTCACCACAGCCCACCCAGGGACACCCCCACTGTCACTGTCGTGTCATTGTCACTGTACCAAACCTCCCCAAAATCACCCCAGATCTCCCCAAAACCCACTGAGGAACCCCAAAACCACCCAAAATCTCCCCAAAACCCACTGAGGAACCCCAAAACCCACTGAGGAACCCCAAAACCACCCCAAATCTCCCCAAAACCCACTGAGGAACCCCAAAAATGTCTGAGAAACCCGAAAAAATCCTGAGGAACCCCAAAACCCCCTGATGGACCCCAAAACTCACCTCTCCGAGGAACCAGGCGACGAGGAAGCCGAAGAGGACGGCGTCGTTGGCCTCGCGGTCGTACCAGGGCACGCCGATGGCGCAGCTCTCCCAGAGTTCGCCCTTCCAGCGCTCCAGGCTCCAGGCCGTGGCCCCCACGTCCAGCAGCACCACGGCCGGGCTGCCCTCGATCAGCCAGCGCCCAAAATGCACCTGAACCCCAAAATTTTGGGGGGTCCCGAAATTGTCACCACCCCAAAATGTCCCTTTGGGGTCACCTTTGTTGGTTTGTGGCCCCAAAACACAAAAATCCCAAATTCCAGCTTCTCCCTAAATCCCCTCCCAGGGCTGTCCCCGATCAGCCACTGCCCAAAATGCACCTGAACCCCAAAATTTGGGGGGTCCCGAAATCGTCACCACCCCAAAATGTCCCTTTGGGGTCACCTTTGTCGGTTTGTGGCCCCAAAACAGGAAAATCCCAAATTCTAGGGGCACCCTAAATCCCCTCTTTGGGGTGATTCCCATCAGGGAGTGCCCAAAATTCACCTGAACCCCAAAATTTTGGGGGTCCCAAAATTGTCACCACCCCAAAATGTCCCTTTGGGGTCACCTTTGTCGGTTTATGGCCCAAAATTGGGAAATCCTAAATCAGAATTTACCCTAAATCCCCTCCCAGGGCTGCCCTCGATCAGCCACTGCCCAAAATTCGCCTGAACCCCAAAATTTTGGGGGTTCCAAAATTGTCACCACCCCAAAATGTCCCTTTGGGGTCACCTTTGTCGGTTTGTGGCCCAAAATTGGGAAATCCTAAATCAGAATTTACCCTAAATCCCCTCTTTGGGGGGATTCCCATCAGGGAACACACAAAATTCACCTGAACCCCAAAATTTTGGGGGTCCCGAAAGCGTCACCACCCCAAAATGTCCCTTTGGGGTCACCTTTGTTGGTTTGTGGCCCAAAATTTGGAAATCCTAAATCCCAGGGACACCCCAAAGCTCCTTTATGGGGGGATTCCCATCAGGGAACACCCAAATTGCACCTGAACCCCAAAATTTGGGGGGTCCCGAAATCGTCACCACCCCAAAATGTCCATTTGGGGTCACCTTTGTCGGTTTGTGACCCAAAATGGAAAAATCCTAAATCAGAATTTACCCTAAATCCCCTCTTTGGGGGGATTCCCATCAGGGAGTGCCCAAAATGCACCTGAACCCCAAAATTTTGGGAGGTCCCGAAATTGTCACCACCCCAAAATGGAATAAATCTTCTCAAAAATGGGCTAAACTCCTCTAAAATTGCACAAACTACCCCAAAAATGGGATGAATCACCCCAAAAATTGGATAAACTACCCCAAAAACGCCATAAAGGATCCCAAAAATTGAATAAATTACCCCAACAATGCCATATAAAACCACAAAAATTGAATAATTGACCTGAAAATTACCATAATTTACCCCAAATTTAAATAAATTACCCTAAAAGTGAAATAATCTACCCCAAAAATACCATAAATGTCCCCAAAAATACCATAAATGTCCCCAAAAATGCGATAAATCACCCCGAATTTGCCCCAATGAGCCCCAAAAATGCCATAAATGACCCCAAAAATACAATAAGTTACCCTAAAGATGAAATAATTGACCCTAAAAATGCCATAAAGGACCCCAAAAATTGAATATTTGACCCCAAAAGTACCATAAAGGACCCCAAAAATTGAATATTTGACCCCAAAAATACCATAAAGGACCCCAAAAATTGAATAAATGACCCCAAAAATGGAATATTTGACCCCAAAATCGCCACGAACCCCCCTGGAGGGGCCCCTCCCCCCCCGGCCCCTCCCCCACCCTGACCTTTGCCGAGGGGGGGAGGGGCGGGGGGGGCTAAAAATAACCCCCACGTGCCGGGGGGGGAGGGGCGGCCCCGGTGTCCCCAACCCCCCCCGGGGACACGCGGGGCCCTTGGGTGCCACCAAAGTGTCCCCAAATCCGCCAAAATCCCCTAAAATTCCCTCAAATCGCCTCAAAATCCCACCAAAATCCACCAAAATGCCCCAAAATCCACCGAAATCCTCCAAAATGCCCCAAAATGCCCCAAAATCCCCCCAAAATCCCCCCAAAATCCCCCCAAATTGCCCCAAAATCCCACCAAAATCCACCAAAATCCCCCAAATCCCCAAATTGCCCCAAAATCCACCAAAATCCACCCAAATCCTCCAAAATCCCCTAAAATTTCCTCAAATCGCCCCAAAATCCACCAAAATCCTCCAAAATCCCCTAAAATTCCCTCAAATCGCCCCAAAATCCCCCCAAAATCCACCAAAATCCCCTAAAATTCCCTCAAATCGCCCCTAAATCCACCAAAATCCTCCAAAATCCACCAAAATCCTCCAAAATCCCCTAAAATCCCCCCAAATCGCCCCAAAATCCTCCAAAATCCACCAAAATCCTCCAAAATCCCCTAAAATTCCCGCAAATCGCCCAAAATCCCCTAAAATCCCCCCAAATCACCCCAAAATCCTCCAAAACCAGCCCAATATCACCCCAAATCCCCCCAAATCCTCCAAAATGCCCCAAAATGCTCCAAAATCCACCAAAATCCCACCAACCCCCCCCAAAATCCTCCAAAACCAGCCCAAAATCCACCAAAATCCCCCCAAATCTTCCAAAATGCCCCAAAATGCCCCCAAATCCCCCCAAAATCCACCAAAATCCTCCAAAATCGCCAAAATCCCCCAAATCCCCCCAAAATCCCCCCAAAATTCCCCCAAAACCTCCTCAAAATCCCCCAAAATTTCCCGAATCTGTGGGATCCTCCCCCAAAATCCCCTAAATCTGTGGGATCCCCCCCCCAAAATCCCCCCATGGGAAAACCTCCCCCACCCCAGGACCCCCAAAATTCCCCCAAAATTTGGGGGCTCCACTGGGGGGGGGTCCTTGGGTGCCTCCCCCCACCAAATCTGGGGGTGTCCCCAAGCCCTGGGACCCCCCGGCCCCATAAATCCCCCCCTGACCCCATAAATTCCCCCCAACCCCAAAAGCCCTTCCCTGACCCTATATATCCCCCCATAAATCACCCCTGACCCCATAAACCCATCCTGACCCCAAAATTCCTTCCCTGACCCCATAAATCCACCCCTGACCCCATAAATCCAACCTGACCCCAAAACTCCTTCCCTGACCCCATAACTGCCCCCCTGACCCCATAAATCCCCACTGACCCCATAAATTCCCCCCAACCCCAAAAGCCCTTCCCTGACCCTATATATCCCCCCAAAAATCACCCCTGACCCCATAACTCCTTCCCTGACCCCATAACTCTGTTCTGACCCTATAAATCCCCCCCATAAATCCATCCTGACCCCATAATCCATCCTGACCCCATAACTCCTCCCTGACCCCATAACTCCTTCCCTGACCCCATAACTCCATCCTGACCCCATAAATCCATCCTGACCCCATAACCCCTTCCCTGACCCCGTTAATCCATCCTGACCCCATAAATCCGTCCTGACCTCATAACCCCTTCCTTGACCTCATAACTCATTCCCTGACCCCATAACTCCCCCATGACCCCATAACTCATTCCCTGACCCCATAACTCCCCCATGACCCCATAACTCATTCCCTGACCCCATAACTCCATCCTGACCCCATAACCCCTTCCCTGACCCCATAACTCATTCACTGACCCCATAACTCCTTCCCTGACCCCATAACTCCTTCCCTGACCCCATAACTCCCCCCGAGGTGTGCCCAGGTGTGCCCAGGTGTGCCCAGGTGTGCCCAGGTGTGCCCAGGTGTGCCCGGCGTGCCCACCTTGCAGCCCTGGGCGTTCATGGCTTCACAGGTACCCCCCAACCCTTGGGACCCCCGACCCCATAACTCATTCCCTGACCCCATAACTCCTTCCCTAACCCCATAACTGCCCCCCAGGTGTGCCCAGGTGTGCCCAGGTGTGCCCACCTTGCAGCCCTGAGCAACCCTGGTGCTCTGGGTGCCCTCCAACCCTTGAGACCCTCCAGTCCCCCAACCCCATAACTCCTTCCCTGACCCCATAACTCCTTCCCTGACCCCATAACTCCCTCCCTAACCCCCCCAGGTGTGCCCAGGTGTGCCCAGGTGTGCCAGGTGTGCCCACCTTGCATCTCTGGGCATTGATGGCTTCACAGGTACCCCCCAACCCTTGGGTCCCCTGACCCCATAACTCATTCCCTGACCCCATAACTCATTCCGTGACCCCATAACTCATTCCCCGGCCCCATAACTCGTTCCCTGACCCCATAACTCCTTCCCCGGCCCCATAACTCCCCCCAGGTGTGCCCAGGTGTGCCCAGGTGTGCCAGGTGTGCCCACCTTGCAGCCCTGAGCAACCCTGGTGCTCTGGGTGCCCCCCAACCCTTGGGACCCTCCAGTCCCCCAACCCCATAACCCCTTCCCTGACCCCATAACTCCCCCCCAGGTGTGCCCAGGTGTGCCAGGCGTGCCCACCTTGCAGCCCTGGGCGTTCATGGCTTCACAAGTACCCCCAACCCTTGGGTCCCCCGACCCCATAACCCCTTCCCTGACCCCATAACCCCTTCCCTGACCCCATAACTGCCCCCCAGGTGTGCCCAGGTGTGCCCAGGTGTGCCCAGGTGTGCCCAGGTGTGCCCACCTTGCAGCCCTGGGCGTTCATGGCTTCACAGGTACCCCCCAACCCTTGAGACCCCCAACCCCATAACCCCTTCCCTGACCCCATAACTCATTCCCTGACCCCATAACTCCTTCCCTGACCCCATAACTCCCCCCCAGGTGTGCCAGGTGTGCCCAGGTGTGCCCAGGCATGCCCACCTTGCAGCCCTGGGCGTTCATGGCTTCACAGGTACCCCCCAACCCTTGGGACCCCCAACCCCATAACCCCTTCCCTGACCCCATAACTCATTCCCCGACCCCATAACTGCCCCCCAGGTGTGCCCAGGTGTGCCCAGGCGTGCCCACCTTGCAGCCCTGAGCAACCCTGGTGCTCTGGGTGTTCCCCAACCCTTGGGACCCTCCAGTCCCCCAACCCCATAACTCCTTCCCTGACCCCATAACTCATTCCCTGACCCCATAACTCCTTCCCTGACCCCATAACTCCCCCCCAGGTGTGCCCAGGTGTGCCCAGGTGTGCCCACCTTGCAGCCCTGAGCAACCCTGGTGCTCTGGGTGCCCCCCAACCCCTGGGTCACCCAACCCCGTAACTCATTCCCTGACCCCATAACTCATTCCCTGACCCCATAACTCATTCCCTGACCCCATAACTCCCCCCCAGGTGTGCCCAGGTGTGCCCAGGTGTGCCAGGCGTGCCCACCTTGCAGCCCTGGGCGTTCATGGCCGCCAGGGTGCGGCGCAGGGCGGGCTGGGGCGGCTCCAGCAGCTCCACCTGGGTGCGCACGGCGCTCTCCACGTAGGGCCCCACCAGCACGTAGCTCTCGCCCCACTCGTCGGCCGTCACGCGCGCCTTGGTCTGCAGCACCGTGTAGATCCCCCCCACTGCGTTTGGGGGGAAAACGGGGTGAGAGAGACCCCAAAAACATCCTAAATCCACCCTAAATCCATCCCGAATCCACCCCAAAGCCACCCCAAAATCCTGAGCATCGTCACAAATACCTGAGTCACCCCAAATCCCAACCCTGACACACCTGAGGTTCTCAGGGTCACTCCTCCACACTGGATTTGGGGGGACAGAGGGGTCAGAGACACCCCAAATCTGCCCAAAGTCCACCCCAAATCCATCCTAAATCCATCCCGAGTCCATCCTAAATCCACCCTAAATCCACCCCAAATACCTGAAAGTCACCCGAGCAAACCTGGACACCTGTGAACCCCCAAATCCCAACCCTGACACAGCTGGGATCTCACAGGGCAGCACCCTGTAGATCCCCCCCACTGCATTTGGGGGGAAAACGGGGTGAGAGAGACCCCAAAACCATCCTAAATCCACCCCAAATCCATCCCAAATCCATCCCAAACCCATCCTGAATCCCTGAGCATCGTCACAAATACCTGAGTCACCCCAAATCCCAACCCAGACACACCTGAGGTTCTCAGGGTCACTACCCCCCACTGGATTTGGGGAGACAGCGGGGTCAGGGAGACCCCAAATCTGCCAAAAATCACCCCAAATCCATCCCAAATCCATCCTAAATCCATCCTAAACTCATCCCAAATCCACCCCAAATACCTGAAAGTCACCTGAGCAAACCTGGACACCTGTGAACCCCCAAATCCCAACCCTGACACACCTGGGGTCCCATGGGTCACTCACAGGGCAGCACCGTGTAGATCCCCCCCACTGGTTTTGGGGAGATAATGGGGTGAGAGAGACCCCAAATCCATCCTAAATCCACCCCAAAGCCACCCCAAAGCCATCCCAAATCCATCCTGAATCCCTGAGCATCGTCACAAATACCTGGGAGCCCCAAATCCCAACCCCGACACACCTGAGGTTCTCAGGGTCACTGACAGGGTAGAACCGTGTAGATCCCCCCACTTTTTTGGGGGGATAATGGGGTGAGGGAGACCCCAAAACCATCCTAAATCCATCCCAAATCCACCCCAAATCCACCCCAAAGCCACCCCAAAATCCTGAGCATCATCACAAATATCTGGGAGCCCCAAATTCTAATCCTGACACACCTGGGATCTCTCAGGGCAGCACCGTGTAGATCCCCCCACTGCATTCGGGGGATAATGGGGTGAGAGAGACCCCAAATCCATCCTAAATCCATCCCAAATCCATCCCGAATCCATCCCAAAGCCACCCCAAATCCATCCTAAATCTGCCCCAAATCCATCCCCAAATCCCTGAGACCAACCTGGACACCTGTGAACCCCCAAATCCCAACCCTGACACACCTGGGGTCCCATGGGTCACTCACAGGGCAGCACCGTGTAGATCCCCCCACTGCATTTGGGGAGATAATGGGGTGACGGAGACCCCAAATCCATCCTAAATCCACCCCAAATCCACCCCAAATCCATCCTAAATCCATCCCAAAGCCACCCCAAATCCCTGAGATCAACCTGGACACCTGTGAACCCCCAAATCCCAACACCAACACATCTGGGGTCCCATGGGTCACTCACAGGGCAGCACCGTGTAGATCCCCCCCACTGGTTTTGGGGGGATAACGGGGTGAGAGAGACCCCAAAACCATCCTAAATCCATCCCAAATCCATCCCAAATCCATCCCAAAGAGATGGGAAACACCCCAAATACCTGAGTCACCCCAAATCCCAACCCTGACACACCTGAGGTTCTCAGGGTCACTGACAGGGCAGAACCGTGTAGATCCCACAAATTTTTTGGGGGGACAATGGGGTGAGAGAGACCCCAAATCCACCCCAAACCCATCCTAAACTCATCCCAAATCCGCCCCAAATCCATCCCAAATCCCTGAGATCACCCTGGACACCTGTGAACCCCCAAATCCCAACCCTGACACACCCTAAAACCCCTCCAGGACCCCCCCAAACTCCTCGGAGACACCTGTGACCCCATAAAAATTCCCCCAAAATCTCTCCAGGACCCCCAAAACTCCCCAAAATCCCCCTGGGACCCCCCAAAATCCCCCTGGGACTCCCCCAAAATCCCCCTGGGACCCTCAAAATCCCACTGGGACTCCCCAAAATCCCCTCCAGGACCCCCCAAATCCCTCAGAGACACCTGTGAACCCCCAAATCCTCCCTAGGACCCCCCCAAAATCCCCCTGGGACCCCCTAAATTCCCCCTGGGACCCCCAAAATCCCCCTGGGACCCCCCAAAACCTCCCTGGGACCCCCCAAAATCCCCTTGGGACCCCCTAAATTCCCTCTGTGACCCCCTAAATTCCCTCCAGGACCCCCAAAATTCCCTCCAGGACCCCTCAAAATCCCCTTGGAACCCCCCAAAATCCCCCTGGGACCCCCCAAATTCCCTCCGGGACCCCCCAAATCCCCTCCGGGACCCCCCAAATCGTGGGATACGGGGATGTCCCTCCCATGATGCCCCGCGGCCCCGGGAGTTTCCCACAATGCACCGCGGTGGGGGGGAGGATGCTCTCGGAGTTTCCCACAATGCACCGCGGTGGGGGGGGATGATGCTCTCGGAGTTTCCCACAATGCACCGCGGCCCCCGTTAACCCTTGAGAGACCGGGAGCCTCCCAAAAAAAACCCCAAAATGCCCCAATTTGGGGGGGCCCAGGGGTGATTTTGGGGGGGGGTCTCAGGTGTTTGGGGGATTTGGGGGGTCCCAGGAGGGATTTGGGGGGTCCCAGGGGGAATTTGGGGGGTCCCAGGGGGATTTTTGGGGAATTTTTTGGGGGGGAGTTTTTATTTTGGGGAGGCTCCCAGGAGGTTTTTAGGATATTTTTTTGTTGTATTTCTATTTTTGGGGTAATTTTTTTGCGATTGTTTCACTTCATGGAGGTTCCCAGGAAATTTTAGGGAAATTTTTTGTGGTATTTTAATTTTTAAGATTTTTTTGGGGGGTTGTTTAATTTCAGGGGGATTCCCAGGAATTTTTTTGGATATTTATTGGGGGTATTTTTATTTTTTAAGAGTGTTTTTTGGGGGTGTTTTTTTTGGGGGGAGGTTCCCAAGAATTCTTTAGGATATTTTCTGGGGTATTTTTATTTTTAGGGCATTTTCATGGGAGTATTTTTATTTTTAGGATATTTTTGGGGATTGTTTCATTTCAGGGAATTTCCCAGGAATTTTTTAGGATATTTTTTGGAGTGTTTTTATTTCTAGAGTATTTTTTGGTGCATTTTTATTTTTAGGGTATTTTTGGGGGGGATCGTTTAATTTCAGGGAAGTTCCCAGGAATTTTTTGGGATATTTTTGGGGATATTATAATTTTAGACTATTTTTTTGGGAGGTATTTTTATTTTTAGGGTATTTTTTTGATGGTATTTTTATTTTTAAGCAAATTTTTTGGGATTGTTCCATTTCAGGAAAACACCCAGAAATTTTTTAGGATCCTTTTGGGGGTATTTTAATTTTAGGCTATTTTTGGGGGGGGCGTTTTTATTTTTAAGCAATTTTTTGGGATTGTTCCATTTCAAGGAAGCACCCAGAAAATTTTTAGGATATTTTTGGGAGTATTTTAATTTTAGGCTATTTCTTGGGGTGTATTTTTATTTTCAGGCTATTTTTTGGGGGTATATTTTTATTTTTAGGGGATGTTTTTATTTTTAAGCAATTTTTTTGGGATTGTTCCATTTCAAGGAAGCACCCAGAAATTTTTTAGGATATTTTTGGGGATATTTTAATTTTAGGCTATTTTTTGCGGCGTACTTTTATTTTTAGGCTATTTTTTGGGGGGTATTTTTATTTTTATGCCATTTTTTGGGGGGTATTTTTATTTTTAAGCAATTTTTTTGGGATTGTTCCATTTCAGGGAAGCACCCAGAAATTTTTTAGGATATTTTTGGGGATATTTTAATTTTAGACTATTTTTTTGGGGGGATATTTTTATTTTTAAGCTTTTTTTTTTGGATTGTTCCATTTCAGGGAAGCACCCAGAATTTTTTAGGATATTTTTGGGGGTATTTTAATTTTAGGCTATTTTTTTGGTGCGTATTTTTATTTTTAGGCTATTTTTGGGGGGATATTCTTATTTTTAAGCAATTTTTTGGGATTGTTTCATTTCAGGGAAGCACTGAGAATTTTTTTAAGATAATATTTGGGGGTATTTTAATTTTAGACTATTTTTTGGGGGATATTCTTATTTTTAAGCAATTTTTTTGGGATTGTTCCATTTCACGGAAACACCCAAAAATTTTTTAGGATATTTTTGGGGGTATTTTTATTTTTAGACTATTTTTTTGGAAGATATTTTTATTTTTAAGCCATTTTTTGGGGGATATATTTTTATTTTTAAGCCATTTTTTGAGAATATTTTTATTTTTAAGCAATTTTTTTGGGATTGTTCCATTTCAGTGAAGCTCCCAGAAATTTTCCATGATATTTTTTTGGGGTGTTTCTGTTTTTTGGGGTGTCTCTGACCTTTGTTGGCCACCTCCCAGGCCACCTCGAAGAGCACCACGTTGTCGGGGGCGCCGGGACCCCCAAAATCCTCCAGGCCCGGCAGGGAACTGACGGAGACGCTGCGGGCCAGCGGCATCTGGGCACCCCAAAATCGGCCTGCGGGGTCACAGAGGGGTCACGGCACCCCCAAAATCGGGATCGGCACCCCCAAAATGGGGATCAGCACCCCCAAAACATCGGGGGAGCGCCCGGACCCCGGGGGAGGGTGAAAAGCCAAAATTGGGGGGAAAAAAGCCAAAAATTGGGGGGGGGAAACAAAAAATTGGGGGGCAAAACTCAAAAATTGGGGGGTTTGGGGTCACAGGGAGGTCACGGGACCCCCAAAATTTGGAACAGGAAAACCCAAAAATGGGGGGGAAAAGCCAAAAATTGGGGGGGAAAACCAAAAATTGGGGGGGAAAACAAAAAATTGGGGGGAAAATGCCAAAAGTTGGGGGGAAACCCCAAAAATTGGGGGGAAAACCAAAAATTGGGGGGTTTGGGGTCACAGGGAGGTCACGGCACCCCCAAAATCGGGATCGGCACCCCCAAAATATCGGGGGAGCGCCCGGACCCGGGGGGAGGGTGAAAAGCCAAAATTGGGGGAAAAAAGCCAAAAGTTGGGGGGAAAAAGCCAAAAATTGGGGGGGAAAACCAAAAATTGGGGGAAGCCCAAAAATTGGGGGGTTTGGGGTCACAGAGAGTCATGGGACCCCCAAAATTTGGAACGGGAAAACCCAAAAATGGGGGGGAAAAGCCAAAAATTGGGGGGGAAAACCAAAAATTGGGGGGGAAAACAAAAAATTGGGGGGGAAAAGCCAAAAATTGGGGGGGAAGACAAAAAATTGGGGGGGGAAACTCAAAAATTGGGGGGTTTGGGGTCACAGGGAGGTCACGGGACCCCCAAAATTTGGAACGGGACCCCAAAAATATCAGGGGAGGCTCCGGCCCTGTGGGGAGAGTGAAAAGCCAAAATTGGGGGAAAAAAAAGCCAAAAATTAGGGGGGAAAACCAAAAATTGGGGGAGAGGAACCCAAAAATGGGGGGTTGTGGGGGGGACCCCCGAAATTTGGGGGGTTTGGGGTCACAGGGAGGTCACGGGACCCCCAAAATTTGGAACGGGACCCCAAAAATATCGGGGGAGGCTCCGGCCCCATGGGGAAGGTGAAAAGCCATAAATGGGGGGAAAAAACAAAAATTGAGGGGGAAAACAAAAATTGGGGGAGGGAAAACCAAAAATTGGGGGGAAAACCAAAAATTGGGGGGTTTGGGGTCACAGGGAGGTCACGGGACCCCCAAAATTTGGAATGGGACCCCAAAAATATCAGGGGAGCCCCCGGCCCTGTGGGGAGGGTGAAAAGCCAAAATTGGGGGGGAAAAGCCAAAAATGAGGAAGGGGAAGACAAAAATGGGGGTTTGGAGGGAGGATCCCAAAATTGGGACCCCAAAAATGGAGGGTTGTGGGGGCACCCCGAAATTTGGGGGTTTGGGGTCACAGAGAGTCATGGGAGCCCCAAAATGGGGAACGGGAGCCCCAAAATATCAGGGGAGGTTCCGGCCCCGTGGGGAGGGTGAAAAGCCAAAATTAGGGGGAAAAAGCCAAAAATTGGGGGGGAAAAACCAAAAATTGGGGGGAACCCCAAAAACTGGGGGGTTTGGGGTCACAGAGGGGTCACGACACCCCCAAAATTTGGATCGGCACCCCCAAAATCGGGATCAGCACCCCCAAAAAATCACCCCCGGACCCGGGGGGAGGGTGAAAAGACAAAATTGGGGAAAAAAAGCCAAAAATGGGGGAAAAAAGCCAAAAGTTGGGGGGAAACCAAAAAATTGGGGGGAACCTCAAAAATTGGGGGGTTTGGGGTCACAGGGAGGTCACGGGACCCCCAAAATTTGGAATGGGACCCCAAAAATATCGGGGGAGCCCCCGGCCCTGTGGGGAAGGTGAAAAGCCAAAAATGGGGGGGAACCCAAAAATCGGGGGGAAAGCCAAAAATGGGGGGCAAAACTCAAAAATTGGGGGAGAGGAACCCAAAAATGTGGGGCTTGTGGGGGGGACCCCGAAATTTGGGGGATTTGGGGTCACAGAGAGTCATGGGAGCCCCAAAATGGGAAACGGGAGCCCCAAAATATCGGGGGAGGCTCCGGCCCCGTGGGGAGGGTGAAAAGCCAAAATTGGGGGAAAAAGGCAAAAATTGGGGGGGAAAACCAAAAATTAGGGGGAACCCCAAAAATTGGGGGGTTTGGGGTCACAGGGAGGTCATGGGAGCCCCAAAATCGGGATCAGCACCCCCAAAATCGGGATCAGCACCCCCAAAAATATCAGGGGAGACCCGGCCCTGTGGGGAGGGTGCAAACCTAAAATTGGGGGGGGGGGAACCCAAAAAATGGGGGGCAAAACTCAAAAATTGGGGGAGAGGCACCCAAAAATGGGGGGTTGTGGGGGGGGACCCCGAAATTTGGGGGGTTTGGGGTCACAGGAAGGTCACAGGACCCTCAAAATGGGGGTGGGGGGAATATTTGAGGGGGGGTCTTCAGAAATTTTGGCAACCCCAAAAAAGGGTCGGAGCAGAATGGGGGGGGAAAATGGGGGGGGGGGTCCCCACAATGGAAACCCCACATGGGACCCCCTCCCCACCCATAGGACCCCCCCCAAAACCCCATAAACCCCTCAGGACCCCCACCCATGACCCCAAAACCCCCCCAGGACCCCCCTCACCCATGGGACCCCCCCCCAAAACCCCATAAACCCCTCAGGACCCCCACCCATGACCCCAAAACCCCACCCAGGACCCCCCCTCACCCATGGGACCCCCCCCAAAACCCCATAACCCACTCAGGACCCCCCCCCACAGGACCCCATAACCCCCTCAGGACCCCCCCCCAAAACCCCATAACCCCCTCAGGACCCCCCCCAAAACCCCATAAACCCCCCAGGACCCCCCTCACCCATGGGACCCCCCCCCAAAATACCTCATAACCCCCCCAGGACCCCCACCCATGACCCCAAAACCCCCCCAAAACCCCCCCTTAAAATCCCCCCTCACCCATGGGACCCCCCCCCACCCATGGGACCCCCCCCACGACCCCAAAACCCCCCCAGGACCCCCCCAAAATCCCCCTCAGCCCCTCCCAACCTCCCCCTCCCCCCCAAAACCCCCCTTTGGGACCCCCCCCACCCATGGGTGCCCCCCCTGTGCCCCTCCCCCAAACCCCCCCCCCCCTCAGGACCCCCCCGAGCCCTCAGCGCCCCCCCCCCCACCTCACGGGACCCCCCTCAAGGGAGCCCCAAACTTCTCCAGCAACTCCAGGACCCCCCCGGGGACCCCCCCCCCGGCAGGAGACCCCTCCCCAATTTTGGGGGGGGGGTCCCCCGGTCTTGGGGGGGGGGGTCTCCGTGGGGGGGGGGGGGTCCCACTTTGGCCGCCCCCCCTCCCCTCACCTCCCCGCGCTCCCGCAGCTGATCGCGGACTGACCCCTCCCGCCCCCCGTCCGCGCAGGCCACGCCCTCTCCCCCCGCCGCGGCCACGCCCCTCAGCGCTGATTGGTGGAGACGGGGGTGAGAGGGGGGACGGGAGGGAGGGGCGGCACGTGAGGGGGGGGCGGCTTAAAGGGGCAACGGCGCCTTAAAGGGGCAACGGCGCCTTAAAGGGGCAATGGAGGGGGGGAGGGGATTGAGGGGTGTGGGGGGGGCTGCGTGTGGGGGGCGCTCTAGGGCGGGTTGTGGGGCTGTGGGGTGTCCATGGGGCGGTTTGTGGGGTGGTTATAGGGCAGGGTGTGGGGCTGGTTATGGATATGGGGCAGGTTATGGGGCTATGGGGCTGCTCCAGGGGTGTTAAGAGGTTGTGGGGTGTCTGTGGGGCGAGTTGCAGCAGAGTTATGGGGTCTGTGAGGCAAGCTGTGGGGCTGGGCGGCGTCTATGGGGCGGTTATGGGGCTTTCTGTGGGGTTTGGGGGCAGGTTTGGGCTCTGGGACAGCTCATGGGGCACTTATGGGGCAGTTCTGGCGGGGTGAGGCATCCATGGGGCAGTTACGGGGTTAAGGGCACGTTCTGGTGTCGGGTTCGGAATTTTGGGGCCGCTTTTGGGGTTTTTAGGGCCGATTTTAGGACCGCCCCCCCCTCAGGGGGCCCTCCCGGCGGTGCTGGAGGACCGAGAACCATCGAGAGGCGCGGCCGGAGCGGCGCCGCTCCCGCCTTGGCCCCGCCCATTTCCGGGTCCGCACGTCACTTCCGGCCGGGAGAGCGCGAGGCCAGCGCGGGAGCGGAGCGGCGGCGCCATGGCAACGGCGGTGGGGGAGGGGAACGGGGGGGGTCGGCGGGTCCTGAGGGGGTTTGGGGGGTCCTGAGGGGGTGGGGGGGTCCTGAGGGGGTCCTGAGGGTGTTTGGGGGGGTCCTGAAGGGGTTTGGGGGAGTCCTGAGGGGGTCCTGAGGGGGTGGGGGGTCTTGAGGGTGTTTGGGGGGGTCCTGGGGGTGTTTGGGGGGGTCCTGAGAGGGTTTGGGGGGTCTGAGGGGGTTTGGGGGGGTCCTGGGGGTGTTTGGGGGGTGCCCATGAGGGGATGGGAGAGTCCTGGATTCCCTGAGGGGATTCTGGGGGGGTCTCTGAGGGGATTGAAGGGAATTTGGGGGGTCCCTGAGGGGTCTGAGGGGTTTTGGGAGGGGTCCTGAGGGGGTTTGGGGGGGTCCTGAGGGGGTGGGGGGTCCTGAGGGGGTTTGGGGGGGGTCTTGAGGGGGTTTGGGGGGGTCTTGAGGGGGTCCTGAGGGTGTTTGGGGGGTCCTGGGGGGGTGTTTGGGGGGGTCCTGAGGGGGTGGGGGGGGGGTCTTGAGGGGGTTTGGGGGGGTCTTGAGGGGGTCCTGAGGGTGTTTGGGAGGGGTCCTGGGGGGTGGGGGGGTCCTGAGGGGGTTTGGGGGGGTCCTGAGGGGTTTGGGGGGGTCTTGAGGGGGTCCTGAGGGTGTTTGGGGGGTCTTGAGGGGGTCCTGAGGGTGTTTGGGGGGTCCTGGGGGGTGTTTGGGGGGGTCCTGAGGGGGTGGGGGGGGGTCCTGAGGGGGTCCTGAGGCTGTTTGGGGGGTCCTGGGGGTGTTTGGGGGGGGTCATGAGGGGGTGAGGGGGGTTCCGGATTCCCTGAGGGGATTCTGGGGGGGGTCTCTGAGGGGATTGAAGGGAATTTGGGGGGGTCCCTGAGGGGTCTGAGGGGGTAGGGAGGTCTGAGGTGGTCCTGCGGGGGGTTCTGGGGGTGTTTGAGGGGGGTCCTGAGGGTGTTTGGGGGGGTCCTGAGGGGGTGGGGGGTCCCGGACTCCCTGAGGGAATTCTGGGGGGGGTCTCTGAGGGGATTGAAGGGAATTTGGGGGGTCCCTGAGGGGTCTGAGGGGGTAGGGAGGTGTGAGGTGGTCCTGCGGGGGGTCCTGGGGGTGTTTGGGGGGATCCTGGGGGTGTTTGAGGGGGTCCTGGGGGGTGTTCGGGGGGATCTCTGAGGGGATTTGGAGGGTCCTGAGGGGATTGGGAGGGTCTAAATGGGCTTAGAAGAGAATTTGGGGAGTCTTGTGGGGGTCCTGACCAGACAGGGGAGGGTTTGAGGGGGTCCTGGGGGTGTTTGGGGGGGTCCTGAGGCGTTGAAGGGCAGCCCTGTGAGAATGGGAGACCCCCAAAGTGACCCCAAATTCCCTCCCAGACCCCCAAAGTTCCGGAGGTTCGGGATGTGACCCGGATCGAGCGCATCGGTGAGACACAAGCCCCTCATTTTGGGGGGGGTTCTCCCCCTTTTTGGGGACCCCCACCCCATTTTGGGGCTTCAATCCCATTTTTTGGGGAGCTTTAAGTGGCCCCCAGTTGGTGACATGGGATCATAAAATTGGGAAAAGGGGGGTCAGAGTGACTCAGAAATTTAGGGGATAACTCCCAGATTTTTGGGGGGGTTGAGGGGGTCCCCAAAATGTGGGGAGACCCCTTGTGACCCCCCCAAATTCCTCCCCCAGGCGCCCACTCCCACATCCGCGGGCTGGGCCTGGATGATGCCCTGGAGCCGCGGCAGGTACTGGGATCGGGGAGCTTTGTACCTGTTTGGGGGGCTCTGCACCCCCGGAATTTGGGGGTTCACCCCTGTCCGTGCCCCCCCAGGTGTCCCAGGGCATGGTGGGGCAGCTGTCGGCACGCCGCGCCGCCGGCGTCATCCTGGAGATGATCAAGGAGGGGAAAATCGCCGGGCGCGCCGTGCTGATCGCCGGGCAGCCGGGCACGGGCAAAACGGCCATCGCCATGGGTGGGTCACCCCAAAAAACCCCAAAATAGCACCAAAAATATCCCCAAAATACCCCCAGAATATCCCCAAAATATCCCCAGAATATCTCCAAAATATCCCCAGAATATCCTCGAAATATCCCCAGAATATCCCCAAAATATCCCCAGAATATCCCCAGAATATCCCCAAAATGTCCCCAGAATATCCCCAAAATATCCCCAGAATATCCCCAAAATATCCCCAAATCCTTGTGCTGATCACGGGGCACGGGCACAACGGCCATTGCCATGGGTGGGTGACCCCAAAAACCCCCAAAATATCCCCAAAATATCCCCAAAATATCCCCAGAATATCCCCAGAATATCCCCAAAATATCCCCAAAATATCCCCAAAATATCCCCAGAATATCCCCAAAATATCCCCAGAATATCCCCAAAATATCCCCAAATCTCTGTGCTGATCACCGGGCACGGGCAAAACGGCCATCGCCATGGGTGGGTCACCCCAAAAACCCCCAAAATATCACCAAAAATACCCCCAAATGCCACTCAGGAACATCCCTAAATCCCACCCAGAAACATCCCCAAAATATCCCCAAATCCCACCCAAAAACTTCCCCAAATCCCCGTGCTGATCGCCGGGCAGCCGGGCACGAGGAAAACGGCCATCACCATGGGTGGGTCACCCCAAAAACCCCCAGAATATCCCCAAATCCCACCTAGAAACATCTCCAAAATATCTCTAATGTATCCCCAAATCCCACTCAAAAACATCCCAAAAGTATCTCCAAATTCTACCCAAAAACATCCCCAGATCCCACCTGAAAATATCCTTAAAATATTCTCAAGTCCCACCCAAAAACCCCCAAATCCCATCCAGATCAATTACGAAGTCTCACCCAAAAACCATCCCCAAATTCCACCCTAAAAATTCTCAAATCTCACCCAAAAATATCCCCAAAACCCACCCAGAAACATCCCTAAATTCCCCCAAATCCTTCTCCAACCCCCCAAATCCCCCTCCAGCCACCCCAAATCCCCTTCCAAGCCCCTTAAACTCCTCAAATCCTCCTCCAACCACCCTAAACTCCCCAAATCCCCTTCCAACCCCCCTAAACCCCCTTAAAAAGGGGTTTAGGGGGGTTGGAACCCCCCTTAAACACCTAATCCCCCCCAAGCCCCCCCAAATCCCCCTCCAACCCCCATAAACTCCCCCAAACCCCCCTCCAAGCCCCCCAAACCCCCCCAAACCCCCCTCCAACCCCCCCAAATCCCCTCCAACCCCCATAAACTCCCCCAAATCCCCCTCCAACCCCCATAAACTCCCCCAAACCCCCTCCAAGCCCCCCAAATCCCCTTCCGAGCCCCCCAAACCCCCCTCCAAGTCCCCCAAATCCCCTCCAAACCCCCCTACACACCCCCAAATCCCCCTTCAACCACCCCAAATCCCCCTCCAACCCCCATAAACTCCCCCAAACCCCCTCCAAGCCCCCCTAAACACCCCCAAATCCCCCTCCAACCACCCCCAATCCCTCTTCAACACCCCTAAACATCCCCAAATCCCCCTCCAAGCCCCCCAAATCCCCTTCCAAGCCCCCCAAATCTCCTTCTAAGCCCCCCAAACCCCCCTCCAAGCCCCCCAAACCCCCGTTTTCCCCCGCAGGCATGGCGCAGGCGCTGGGCCCCGACACGCCCTTCACGGCCATCGCGGGCAGCGAGATCTTCTCGCTGGAGATGTCGCGCACCGAGGCGCTGACCCAGGCCTTCCGCCGCTCCATCGGCGTCCGCATCAAGTACAGCCCCTTTCGGGGGGTCCCATCCCGATTTTGGGGGTCCCACCCCAATTTTGGGGGTCCCACCTCGCCTTTTGGGGTCCCCACCCCTGGTTTTGTTCTTCCTTCTGGGTGTTTGTCTCATCTGTTTTAAGCTCTGTTTGGTTTTCTCTCTGGTTTCGGGGCGCTCTGTCAGATTTTGGGGTGTGGTGTCAAATTTTGAGGTCTCCATCCCAATTTTGGGGTCCCCAGTTGCCCCATCCATCCCAATTTTGGGGTCCCCACCTGCCCCATCCACCCCAATTTTGGAGTTCCCAGCTGCCCCATTTTTTTTGCTCATGTCTTATTTTTTCTTACCTTTCATTTTTCTTTCCACTTTAGGCTTTCTTGTTGGCTTTCTTTCTTTTCACTTTCATTCTTTCCACCTAATTTTAATTTTTCTCAGAATTTTGGGGTTCCTTGTCCTAATGTAGCTGTTCCCCTTCTCCAAGATCTTTATTAATTTCAGAATCTCCCACTAAATTCCAAAATCTGCCCCCTCATTTTCTGTCTCCACACCACATTTTGTGCTTCCCACTCCCCATTTTCCTGTTTTGAGCTCAATTTCATCTCTTCTCCCCCTGTTTTGGGGTCCAACACCCCAATTTTGGGGTTCCTTCCCAAAATTTGGATTCTATCTCAATTTTGGGGTCCTCCTGCCCCATTTTGGGGTTTCCATATCCTATTCTGCTACTCTGCACCCCACAAATTTCACTCTCCACCCAATTTTGGGGTTCCCCCACCCCATTTAAATGTCCCAACACCCAAATTTTGGGGGTCTCCCCTCATTTTTGGGGTGTTCCTCCCTTTTTTTGCATTACAGGGAGGAGACTGAGATCATCGAGGGGGAGGTGGTGGAAGTCCAGATCGACCGCCCAGCCACCGGCACGGTGAGGGGGGACCCCAAAACCTTCTTTGTGCCCCCAAAATCCTCTTTTTGCCCCCAAAATCTCAACAGGGCACCCCAAAATCCCCTCAAGGACTCCCCCCAAATTTTTCTCTTCCTCGTAGGGGACCAAAGTGGGGAAGCTGACGCTGAAAACTACAGAAATGGAGACCATTTACGATTTAGGGGCGAAGATGATCGAGGCCCTGAGCAAGGAGAAGGTGCAGGCAGGGTGAGTGGGGGTCACCCAAATTGGGAGTCCCCAAAATTTGAGGGACACACAGAAATTGGGGTGGGGACCACAGAATTTGGGGGGTGGGGGCTGGAATTGGGGTGGGAGATGATTTAGGAGCTGGGGGTAAAGAGATGGAGGGGCTGAGCAAGGAGAAGTGGGGTGAGTAGGGGGACCCCAAAACTAGGGTGAGGGGCCCTGGAATTGGGGTGGGGACCCTGAAATCTGTGGGGAAAAAGAGCGGGAAATGTGAGGGGAGAAAATAACAGGAAACATGAGGGGAGAAAATGGCGGGAAACGTGAGGGGAGAAAATGGCGGGAAACGTGAGGGGAGAAAATGGCGGGAAACGTGAGGGGGGAAAAAAGGGCGGGAAATGTGAGGGGAGAAAATGGTGGAACTGTGAGGGGAGAAAATGGCGGGAAACGTGAGGGGAGAAAAGGGCGGGAAATGTGAGGGGAGAAAATGGCGCAAAACGTGAGGGGAAAAAGGGCAGAAAACGTGAGGGGAGAAAAGGGCGGGAAACGTGAGGGGAGAAAATGGCGGGAAACGAGAGGGAAAAAAGGGTGGGAAACGTGAGAAGTGAAAAAAGTACCCGAATTTTTTGTTTCTGTCCCCAGGGACGTCATTACAATTGACAAAGCGACAGGGAAGATCTCAAAGCTAGGACGCTCCTTCACCCGAGCACGGGACTACGACGCCATGGGGGCACAGGTGAGGTTTTTGGGGGGTCTCTGGGGGGTGCAGTGGGGGTTTTGGGGTGGTTCTGACCCCCTGAATTCTCCCCCCTCCCCAGACGAAATTCGTGCAGTGCCCTGACGGGGAGCTGCAGAAGCGGCGCGAGGTCGTTCACACGGTGTCGCTGCACGAGATCGATGTCATCAACTCCCGCACCCAGGGCTTCCTCGCCCTGTTTTCGGGTACCCTCAGACCCCAAAACTGACCCCAAAAACCTCCAACTGTCCCTCACCCAGCTCAGGGCTTCCTTGTTCTCTTCTTGGCTATGCCCAGACTCCCAAAACTGCTCCTGGCGCCCCCATACTGCATCTAACCCACTCCAGGGGTTCTGAGCCCTCTTTCTGGGTACTCTCAGACCCCAAAACTGCACCTGGGACCCCCAAAACAGCCCCTGACCCCCCCAAATCCCAAATCCAGGTGACACAGGTGAGATCAAGCCAGAGGTGCGGGAGCAGATCAACGCCAAAGTGGCCGAGTGGCGTGAGGAGGGCAAGGCCGAGGTCATCCCTGGGGTAAGCCCTGACCCCCAAAACCTTCCTGGGGACCCCAAAAACTCCATTGGGGATCACCAAGAGCACCAAAACCCCCTCGAGGATCATCAAGAGGCCCCCCAAAACCCCTCAGGTGTTGTTCATCGACGAGGTTCACATGTTGGACATCGAGAGCTTCTCGTTCCTCAACCGGGCCCTGGAGAGCGATATGGCGCCCGTGCTGATCATGGCCACGAACCGCGGCATCACCAGGTAGCTGAGCACACCTGGGCAACACCTGGGCACCCCCAAACCTCAGGTGAACCCCCTCATCTCCACGTGTCCCTCAGGATCCGAGGCACTGCCCACCGCAGCCCCCACGGGCTCCCCTTGGATCTGCTGGACCGGCTGCTGATCATCGCCACGGCCCCGTACGGCGACAAGGAGACGCGGCAGATCCTCAAAATCCGGTGGGACACCCCAAAAATACACCTGGGCACCCCTAAATCCTCCTTGACACAGCCCAAACCACACCCTGACACACCTGGGCACCCCAAAAAAAATCATTACAGCTTTTATGGGGAGAAAGAGACCCAGAAGATCTTCAAGATAGGGTGGGAATACCAAAAATTATCTATGACACCCCCAAAATCAACCTGAACTCTGAAACCCACCTGGACACCCAAAATGCCCTGAACCTTAAACATGGCTGGTGTCCCTCAGCACACCTGAGGTGCCCAATAAAGCTCTGCAGGTTACCCCCAAAATCCTTGTCACCCCAAAAACCTCCTGGGGTGCCCCACAATTCTTTCCAGGTGTCCCTTAACTCCCTCAGAGTCCCCTCAGACACCCCAAAACCCCCTCTGGGCCACCCCAAATCCCCACAGGGTGCCCCCCAACCCCTTAAGGACCCCCCTCAGTTGCCAACCTGGGTCCTCATCATCCCCCCTGGGTACCCCATAACTGCATTGGGGTGTCCCCAGGCCCTTTTTGGGTCCCCCCTGGCCCTTTTTAGGGGATCCTTCGGCCATTTTGGGGGTCCCCCTGACTGGTTTGGGGGCGCAGATGTGAGGAGGAGGACGTGGAGATGACGGAGGACGCGTACGCGGTGCTGACCCGCATCGGCCTGGAGACGTCGCTGCGCTACGCCATGCAGCTCATCACCGCCGCCAGCCTGGTGGCCAGGAAACGCAAGGTGGGCACCCCAAATCCTGAGGACACCCCAAAATCTGGGGGATGGGATCCCAAAAGTGGCATCAGGAGGTGGCGTGGGACCCCAAATTTATGGGGCAGCATTGAGGGGCTTAGACACGAGGTGCTGAGGGAGGTTTGGGGGGCTCTGGGGGAGGTTTGTGGTGACAAAGGGGTGGAGTGGGGGGCTCAGTGTGGATTTGGGGTGCTCCTGATGGTTTGGGGTCACATAGGAGGTTTGGGAAAAGGGTGGGAAACATGAAGGGAAAAAAGAACGGGAATCGTGAGGGGAAAAAAGAGTGGGAAACGTGAGGGGAAAAAAGAGCGGGAAACCTGAGGGGGAAAAAGGGCGGGAAACGTGAGGGGAAAAAAGGGCGGGAAATGTGAGGGGGGAAAAGGGCGGGAAACGTGAGGGGAAAAAGAGCGGGAAACGTGAGGGGGAAAAAAGGCGGGAATCGTGAGGGGAAAAAGAGCGGGAAATGTGAGGGGGAAAAGGGCAGAAACATGAGGGGAGAAAAAAGTGGGAAGCTACAGGAAAAAAAGGAAACATGAGGGGAGAAAAAGGGCAGGAAACAGGAGAGAAAAGGGTGGGAAACGTGAGGGGAGAAAAGCGGGAAATGTGAGGGGAAAAGGGTGGGAAATGTCAGGGGAGAAAAAGGCGGGAAACATGAGGGGGAAAAAAGGAAATGTGAAGGCAAAAAAGGGCGGGAAACATGAGAGGAAAGGGCAGGAAACATGAGGAGAAGAAAAAAGGCAGGAAACATGAGGGGAAAAAGAGTGACAAACTGGAAAAGAGAGTGGGAAGCGTGAGGTGAAATATTTTGGGGTCCCTGCTGATGTTGGTGTCCTGGCAGGGCGCAGAGGTGGGCGTGGAGGACATCAAACGCGTTTATTCCCTGTTCCTGGACGAGTCGCGCTCCACGCAGTACATGAGGGAGTACCAGGAGGCTTTCCTGTTCAACGAGCTCCGTGAGTGTCTGGGGACACTGGGGGGAGAGCTGGGGGACACCTGGGGGTCTCCAAAACAGGGTGGGTAATGTGGGGCAACATGGAGGGGCAGAAGGGAGGTGTAAAAATGGGAGAAAATTGTGGTAAACGGCCGAAAATTAGTGGATAGTGAGTGGAAATGAATGAATGGAAATGAAGTGGAAGGAATGAAGGAAAAATAAGAGATTTGGGTAAAACAGGAGGAGAAAAATGGTAAAAATTGATGGAATTTTGGTTAAAATAATGGATGGCAAAATCAGGACAAAAAGGGGCACAACCAGGAGAAGTAGAGGGAAAAATGTGCCAAATGGGGCAAAATGTGAGAAATTTAGTAAAAAATGGGGAAATTGGGTAAGCTTGGGAGAATAAGATAACAGATAAGGAATTGGGGCAAACATAGGGCAAGCTGAGTAGGAATGGATTAAAAATTAGGGGCAATGGAATACAAAATGAAGAAATAGGAGGAAGAGGAAAAAATTGGGTAAAAATAAGAGGAAGATTTAGCCAGGAATTGCATAAATAGGGAAAAAACAGGGTCAAACTTGGGGGCAAACGGGTGGAAGTGGAAGAAATTAGGTAAAAATTGGGAAAACCAAGTAAAAAATGGTAAAATTAAATAAAAATTAAAGAAATGGGGCAAAAATAATTGAAAACTGGATGGTAAAAATGCAAAAAAATGGGAGCAAAAGGGTAAATTGGGGGGACTTGGGGATATTGGGGGGTCCCTGACCCAGCTCCTCTCCCCTTCTTTCCACAGAGGGTGAATCCATGGAAACACCGTGACACCCCCCTCCCACTGTCCCTCTCCCACTGCCTCTCCCCCACTTTGTACAATAAATCTGATTTAGAGCCAAAAATTAGGGGAGGAGCAGTGCCTTTATTTGGGGGTTCAGTGGGGGTCTTCATCCATCGCTGAACTGGAAGAAGAGGCGCCTTCGTTGGGGGTCTGGGGGGTCCCCAAAATGGGGCACAAAGGGGATCTGGAGGATTTGGGAGAAGCCTTCGGAGAGGTCGGGGGCCACAAATTGTTTCCTGAGGGGGAGGAAATGGGGGAAAATCACCCGGATTTGGGTAAAGTGGGAGGAGAAACAGCTCCAGATGGGGGAAAACTCAGCAAAAATGGGACAAACCCACCCAAGATAGGAGAAAGGAGGGGAGAAAGAGGAAAAGGTAAAAAGTCCACCCTAAATGAGGAAGAGTAGAATAGAGAAGAGCCCCAAAAACTGGGAAAGAGGCAAAAATAGGGAAAATGGAACAAAAAAAAAAGCAATGGGGCTTAATAATGGAGAAGAGAGCAAAAACCCCCAAACCAGCCCCAAATTCCCCCAACCCCCCCAAAGCCTCTCTAAACCATCCCTACAGAGCTCCCAAAACACCTCAGATGCCCCAAAATTCCTCTCAGATCCCCCAAAATCTCCCCCAAGCCCCTTTAGATCTTTCCCCAGGGATTCCCCAAAATGCCCCAGAACCCCCAAAATTCTCCCTGGATCCCCCCAGGCACATCCAAATCACTCCAGACCCCCCCAAACCCAGTCCCCTCTCACTTGTAGCTGAACAGAACAGCGTCAGTGACGGGGACGTGGCCACTCTGCGTCATATCCCGGAACTTTTTTGGGGTAAAAACCCAAAGAAAAAGGTTCAGGGGGTGCTGAGGGTTCATCCTCACCCTCGGGAGGAGGATCAGGACCCCCTCAGACCCCTCCTCACCCTGCAGTTGTGCCGCGCCTGCTCCAGGCTCGCTGTGAACTGGAGGCACCGACATGGCACCGCAGCCTCCCGAGCACAGGACAGGAACCTGGGGAAGCAGGGCGGGTCAGGGGGTCCCCAAAACCCCAGAAAGTGTCCCAGTGCCATCCCAGTGCCCTCCCAGTGCCATCCCAGTGCCATCCCAGTGCCCAGACTGGCCTTTGCCGCGATTCAGGGTCAGGGTTGGTGTTGTCGACGACGACGGCGCGGCCCCGAGCCAGGGCGGCCGAGCAGGCAGAGACACAGCGCTGCCACGAGCCCAGCGTGTCCTGGGGGTGACACCGAGGTCACACTGGGCTCAAGGCACAGACACAGCGCTGCCATGAGCCCAGCATGTCCTGGAGGTCACACAGGAACTCACCCTGTTCACGTATTCATATCCTGCCGGGATCAGGTGCCGCTTCACGAAAGTGGATTTGCCGGCTGAGGGGAAAATTGTTTCCTCTCACATTTCCCACAGTTTCCAACCCTTTTTCTCCCCTCACATTTCCCGCTCTTTTTTCCTCTCATGTTTCCTGCCATTTTGTCCCCTCACGTTTCCCGCTCTTTTTTCCCTCACGTTTCCCGCTCTTTTTCCCCCTCACGTTTCCCGCTCTTTTTTTTTCTCACATTTCCCGCTCTTTTTTCCCCCTCACATTTCCCGCTCTTTTTTCCTCTCATGTTTCCTGCCATTTTGTCCCCTCACGTTTCCCGCTCTTTTTTCCCTCACATTTCCCGCTCTTTTTTTCCCTCAAGTTTCCCGCTTTTTTCCCCTCACGTTTCCCGCTCTTTTTTCCTCTCAAATTTCCCGCTCTTTTTTCCCTCATGTTTCCCGCTCTTTTTCCCCTCACATTTCCTCTCAAATTTCCCCTCACGTTTCCCGCTCTTTTTCCCCTCACGTTTCCCGCTCTTTTTTCCTCTCACATTTCCTGCTATTTATCTCCTTCAAGTTTCCCGCTCTTTTTTCCCCTCGCGTTTCCCGCTCTTTTTTTCCCCTCACGTTTCCCGCTCTTTTTTCCCTCACGTTTCCCGCCCTTTTTTTCCCTCACGTTTCCCGCTCTTTCTTCCCCTCACATTTCCCGCTCTTTTTTCCCTCACGTTTCCCGCTCTTTTTCCCCCTCACGTTTCCCGCTCTTTTTTCCCTCACGTTTCCCGCTCTTTTTCCCCCTCACGTTTCCCGCTCTTTTTCCCCTCACGTTTCCCGCTCTTTTTCCCCCCTCACGTTTCCCGCTTTTTTCCCCTCACGTTTCCCGCTCTTTTTCCCCCCTCACGTTTCCCGCTTTTTTCCCCTCACGTTTCCCGCTCTTTTTTCCCCCCAAGTTTCCCACTCTTTTTTGCCTCACGTTTCCCGGTTTTTTTCCCTCAAGTTTCCCGCCCTTTTTTCCCTCACATTTCCCGCTTTTCCCCCCTCACGTTTCCCGCTCTTTTTTCCCCTCACGTTTCCCGCCCTTTTTTCCCCTCACATTTCCCGCTCTTTTTCCCCTCACGTTTCCCGCTCTTTTTCCCCCCTCAAGTTTCCCGCTCTTTTTTCCCTTACATTTCCTGCTCTTTTTCCCCCTCACGTTTCCCGCATTTTTTTCACTCACGTTTCCCTCTCTTTTTCCCCTCACATTTCCTGCTCTTTTTTCCCTCATGTTTCCCGCTCTTTTTTCCCCTCATGCTTCCCGCTCTTTTTCCTCTCACGTTTCCCACTCTTTTTCCCCTCACGTTTCCCGCTCTTTTTTTCCCCTCATGTTTCCCGCTCTTTTTTCCTCTCTAATTTCCTGCTCTTTTTTCCCTCACGTTTCCCGCTCTTTTTCCCCTCACGTTTCCCTCTCTTTTTCCCCTCACGTTTCCCGCTCTTTTTTCCCCTCAAGTTCCCGCTCTTTTTCCCCCTCACGTTTCCCGCTCTTTTTTCCCCCTCACATTTCCCGCTCTTTTTCCCCTCATGTTTCCCGCTCTTCTTTCCCCTCATGTTTCCCGCTCTTTTTTTCCCCTCACGTTTCCCGCTTTTTTTCCCCTCACGCTTCCCACTCTTTTTCCCCTCATGTTTCCCGCTCTTTTTTCCCCCTCACGTTTCCCGCTCTTTTTTCCTCTCAAATTTCCCACTCTTTTTTTCCCTCACGTTTCCCGATCTTTTTTCCCTCACGTTTCCCGCTCTTTTTCCCCCTCACGTTTCCCGCTCTTTTTCCCCCTCACGTTTCGCGCTCTTTTTTCCCCTCACGTTTCCTGCTCTTTTTTCCCCTCACGTTTCCCGCTCTTTTTTCCTCTCAAATTTCCCCTCACGTTTCCCGCTCTTTTTTCCTCTCAAATTTCCCGCTTTTTTCTCCCCTCACGTTTCCTGCTCTTTTTTCCCCTCACGTTTCCCGCTCTTTTTTTCCCCTCACATTTCCCGCTTTTTTCTCCCCTCACGTTTCCTGCTCTTTTTTCCCCTCACGTTTCCCGCTTTTTCACCTCACGTTTCCCGCTCTTTTTTCCTCTCAAATTTCCCGCTCTTTTTTTCCCCTCACGTTTCCCGCTCTTTTTCCCCTCATGTTTCCCGCTCTTTTTTCCCCCTCACATTTCCCACTCTTTTTTCCCTCATGTTTCCCGCTCTTTTTCCCCTCACATTTCCCGCTCTTTTTTCCCCTCACATTTCCCGCTCTTTTTTCTTCTCAAATTTCCCGCTCTTTTTTTCCCCTCACGTTTCCCGCTCTTTTTTCCCTCATGTTTCCCGCTCTTTTTCCCCTCACGTTTCTCGCTCTTTTTCCCCTTACGTTTCTCGCTCTTTTTTCCTCTCTAATTTCCCGCTCTTTTTCCCCTCACATTTCCCGCTCTTTTTTCACCTCACATTTCCCGCTCTTTTTTCTTCTCAAATTTCCCGCTCTTTTTTTCCCCTCACGTTTCCCGCTCTTTTTCCCCTCACATTTCCCGCTCTTTTTTCACCTCACGTTTCCCGCTCTTTTTCCCCTCACATTTCCCGCTCTTTTTTCACCTCACATTTCCCGCTCTTTTTTCTTCTCAAATTTCCCGCTCTTTTTTTCCCCTCACGTTTCCCGCTCTTTTTCCCCTCACATTTCCCGCTCTTTTTTCACCTCACGTTTCCCGCTCTTTTTTCCCTCACATTTCCCGCTCTTTTTTCCTCTCAAATTTCCCCTCACGTTTCCCGCTCTTTTTTTTCCCTCAAGTTTCCCGCTCTTTTTTCCCCCTCACTTTTCCCGCTCTTTTTCCCCTCACGTTTCCCGCTCTTTTTTCCTCTCAAATTTCCCGCTCTTTTTTTCCCCTCAAGTTTCCCGCTCTTTTTTCCTCTCAAATTTCCCCTCACGTTTCCCGCTCTTTTTTCACCTCACGTTTCCCGTTCTTCTTCCCCTCACGTTTCCCGCCCTTTTTTTCCCTCACATTTCCCGCTCTTTTTTCCCCTCAATATTCTTGTCCTTTATTCCCTCACATTTCCCGCTCTTTTTCCCCCTCAGGTTTCCCGCTGTTTTTCCCCTCACGTTTCCCGCTCTTTTTTCCCCTCACGTTTCCCGCTCTTTTTCCCCCCCTCACGTTTCCCGCTCTTTTTCCCCTCACATTTCCAGCTTTTTTTTCCCCTCACTTTTCCCGCACTTTTTCCCCCCTCACGTTTCCCGCCCTTTTCTCCCCTCACATTTCCCGCTCTTTTTTCCCCTCACGTTTCCTGCTCTTTCTTCCCTCACGTTTCCTGCTCTTTTTTCCCCCTCACGTTTCCCGCTCTTTTTCCCCTCACATTTCCTGCTCGTTTTTTCCCCCCTTATGTTTCCCACTCTTTTTTCCCCTCATGATTTCTGCCTTTTCTCCCATTATCTTTTCTTGCCCTTTTCTCCCCTCACATTTCCCACTCTTTTTTCCCTTCTTTTCCTGTCCTTTTCTCATGTTTCCCCCACTTTTCTCCCCTCACTGTTCCCGCCATTTTCTCCCTTCACAGTTCCCACTCCCTTCTCTCCTCACGCTTCCGACCCTTTTTGCCCTTCATGTTTCCCGCCATTTTTCCCTCCATTTTCCTTCCTCTTTTTGCCCATTAGGGCTCAGAACCAGAGCTGGGTCAGTGGCCAGTGCAGGGCTCAGCGGCCGGTGCAGCGGTCAGTGCAGTGGTCACTGCAGCGGTCAGCGGCCGGTGCAGCGGTCAGTGCAGTGGTCAGTGCAGCGGTCAGTGCAGTGGTCAGTGCAGCGGTCAGCGGCCGGTGCAGCGGTCAGTGCAGTGGTCAGCAGCCCGTGCAGGGCTCAGGTCAGTGGTCACTCACCCCCAGGGAAGCCGACGGTCAGCAGCACCTCCGGCCTGTCCGACACCAGCTCGGCCTCGGGCACCTCCTGGGGAACTTTGTCCAGGTCACGCTGCGGACAAAGGTCAAAGGTCAGGATTGGGGACAGGCTTGGGGGCTGCTCTTGGGGTCAGTGGTCATTTTTGGGGTCAGTGGTCACTCACGGGGTCGAAGGCCGGGAGGTCAAAGGGCGCCGGGGCCCAGCCCAGGAACGTTTCCTCAGGAGTCAGGAAGCGCAGCCCCGCGTTGAGAGCGAACTGGGAACACTGGGATCAACTGGGGGAACTGGGGGGCAAATGGGAGGGACTGGGGGGTGAACTGGGAGCACTGGGATCAACTGGGGTCAACTGGGGGACAAATGGGAGGGACTGGGGGGTGAACTGGGAGCACTGGGAGGGACTGGGCGAACTGGGAGGCAAATGGGAGGGACTGGGGGGTGAACTGGGAGCACTGGGATCAACTGGGCGAACTGGGGGGTGACTGGGGGGGTGAACTGGGGTCAACTGGGAGGGACTGGAGGGGCACAGAAGACCCCTGGGTCATGAACTGGGGGTACTGGGAGGGGCACAGGGTGGAGCTATCAGGGATTTGGGGGTGCCGGGGGGGATTTGGGGGTGCCAGGGGGGATTTGGGGGTGCCAGGGGGGATTTGGGGGTGCCGGGGGGGATTTGGGGGTGCCGGGGGGGATGCCCAGGGATTCTGGAGGGTCCCAAGGGGTTTGGGGGGGTCCCCAGGCAGGTTTTGGGGTCGCACCAAGCGATCGCTGCAGGAGAAATCCTTTTTCTTCCGCCCCGGGGCCCAGTTCGGGGGGCGACCGGCAGCGTCTGGGGGGAAATGAGAGGTTGGGGAGGTGCTGGGACCCCAAAAATGCACCCAGGACCCCAAAAATGCACCCAGGACCCCAAAAATGCACCCAGGACCCCCTAAAATACACCCAGGAACCCCCCACCCAGTGCCCCATCTGAGCATCCCAATGCCACTGTAGTGTCCCCAGAATTCCCCCAGGACCCCCAAAACTTCCCCAAAATTCCCCCAGGACCCCCAAAACTTCCCCAAAATTCCCCCAGGACCCCCAAAACCTCCCCAAAATTCCCCCAGGACCCCTCACGTGCTCACCCCCCACGTAGAAACTGTCGGGCACCGACACCGTCACGTCCTCGTTCGCCTGCGGGACCCAAACCAGTGAGCCCAGTTCACACCAGTTCACACCAGTGACCCCCCCACAACAGCTCCCAGTGCTCCCTCCTCAGTCCCCAACAACCTCCCAGTAACTCCCAGTGCCCCCAGTAGCTCCCAGTCCCTGCCAAACCTCTCCCAGTACTTCCCAGTGCTCCCCAGTCCCCTGCAATCCTTTCCCAGTTCCTCCCAGCACCCTCCCAGTGCTCCCCTCAGTTCCCAGTACCTTCCCAGTGCCCCCCAGCTCCTTCCCAGTAACTCCCAGTAGCTCCCAGTGCCCTCCCAGTCCCTCCCAGTCCCCCCCAGTCCCCTCCCAGTCTCTCCCAGTTCCCCCCAGTCCCCTCCCAGTCCCTCCCAGCACTCTCCCAGCACCCTCCCAGTGCCCCCCAGTCCTTCCCAGTGCCCCCCAGTCCTCCCAACCCCCTTCCCAGTGCCCACAGTCCCTCCCAGCACCCTCCCAGTGCCCCCCAGTCCCTCCCAGTGCCCCCCAGTCCCCTCCCAGTCCCTCCCAGTCCCTCCCAGTCCCTCCCAGTCCTCCCAGTCCCTCCCAGTCCCACCTTCTCACACAGGTGGTCCCACATTCCCAGCACAGGTTTCCTGTAAATCCCCGGCCCCGTGGCCACCAACACCTGAATTGAGGGGGGAGGGGGGGTCAAACACCTCAGGGAGGGAACTCCGGACCCTCGAGGGTGGATCCCCGAGTTTGGGGGCGTCCCAGGGGGGTTTGGGGGTCCCCCAGACCTGCAGGGCCACCCCGAGCTGCTGCATCACCGCCTCCACCTTGGCCTGGAACAGCTCCGGGCGCAGCCGGCCCCGGGAGATGCCCAGCTGGTTGGTGAACACCACGAGCTGGGGAGGGGGCAAAAAATGGGGTTTGGGGGGATTGTGGGGGGGTCTTGAGGGGATCATGAGGGTCTGAGGGGGAATTTAGGGGTTTGGAGGAGCCCCTGAGGGGTTTGGGGGGCTTTGGGAGCTCAGGGGGTCTTGGGGTGGAAGCTGGCAGGGGGTTTAGGGGGGTCTGGAGGGGTTTGGAGGAGCCCCTGAAGGATTTGGGGGCTCTTAGGGGGGGCTTTGGGGGCTCAATGAGGTCCTGGGGAGGAACCTGAGGGGGCTTTAGGGGGCTCTAGAGGGGTTCAGTGGGGTTTGGGGGGCTCCTGGGGGGACTTTGGGAGCTCAGTGGGGTCTTGGGGTAGATCCTGGGGGGTCTTTAGGGGGCTTTGGAGGTGTTTGGAGGAGCCCCTGAGGGGTTTGGGGGCTCCTGGGGGGGCTTTGGGGGCTCAGTGGGGTCTTGGGGTGGATGCTGGGGAGTCTTAAGGGGCCTTTGGAGGGGTTTGGAGGAGCCCCCGAGGGGTTTGGGGGTTCCTGGGGGGGCTTTGGGAGCTCAGTGGGGTCTTGGGGTGGATGCTGGGGGGTTTTTAGGGGCCTTTGGAGGGGTTTGGAGGAGCCCCTGAAGGATTTGGGGGCTCCTGGGGGGGCTTTGGGAGCTCAGTGGGGTCTTGGGGTGGAACCTGAGGGGGCTTTAGGGGGCTCTAGAGGGGTTCAGTAGGGTTTGGGGGCTCCTGGGGGGGCTTTGGGAGCTCAGTGGGGTCTTGGGGTGGATGCTGGGGGGTCTTTAGGGGGCTTTGGAGGGGCTCAGTGGGGTTTGGGGGTTCCTGGGGGGGGCTTTGGGAGCTCAATGGGGTCTTGGGGTGGATGCTGGGGGGTCTTTGGGGGGCTTTGGAGGGGCCCCTGAGGGATTTGGGGGGGGCTTTGGGGGCTCAAGGGGGTCTTGTGGGATTTGGGGTGGGGGGTCCTGAAGGGTTTGGGGTGTCCTGAAGTGATTTGGGGTCCCCAGGTGTGGAATTTTGGGGAGGGGGTCTCACCTTATACCCCTCATCCTGCAGCTGTTTCAGCTTCTTGGGGATCTGAGGATACAAAATCCTGTGGGGTGGGGAAAAAATGAAATAAAAAGCGAGTGGGACCCCAAAAACGGCCCCCAGGACCCCCCAAAAAAACGCCCCCCGCTCACCTCCAGTCGTCGGGGCTGGTGGGAAACACCTTCCCCGAGCGGGTGGTGATGAGGGTCCCGTCCAGGTCGAACCCCGCAATCTGGGGGGGTCCCCAAAAAAAATGAGGGGTCAGGGACAGTGGGGACCCCCCCAGAACCCCAAATCCCAACCCAGACCCCCCACGCTGGAACTTTGGGGGGGTTTCAGCCACTTTAAGGGGTTGTTTGGGGGTCTTTGTGAGGGAAAAAGGGGTGATTTGAGATTTGGGGGGGCTGAGGGGTTCTGGGATGGGATTTTGGGTGGTCTGAGAGTGTTTGAGGGGTCCTGAAAGGGGATTTGGGGGGGTCTGAGGGTGTTGAAGGGTTTTGGGAGGGGATTTGGGGGGGGTCTGAGTGCATTGAGGGTTCTTGGGAGGGGATTTGGGGGGATCTGAGAGTGTTTGAGGGGTCTGGAAGGGGATTTGGGGGGTCTGAGGGGTCCTGGGGTGGGATTTGGGGGGTCTGAGAGTGTTTGAGGGGTCCTGAAAGGGGATTTGGGGGGTCTGAGGGTGTTGAAGGGTTTTGGGAGGGGATTTGGGGGGGGGTCTGAGTGCATTGAGGGGTCCTGGGAAGGGATTTAGGGGGGTCTGAGGGGTCCTGGGGTGGGATTTGGAGGGGGTCTGAGTGCGCTGAGGGGTCTTGGGGTGGGATTTGGGGTGGTCTGAGAGTGTTTGAGGGGTTCTGAGAGGGGATTTGGGGGGGTCTGAGGGGTCCTGGGGTGGGACTTGGGGGGTCTGAGTGTGTTGAGGGGTCTTGGGGTGGGATTTGGGGTGGTCTGAGGGGTCTTGGGTGGGATTTTGGGGGATCTGAGGGAGTTTAGGGGCACTGATGTGTCTGGAGTGGGATTTGGGGAGACTTTGGGGGGTTTGGGTGTTTGTGGGCTGAAGTTTGGGGAGCCCCATTGGGGTTGGGGGTCTGAGGGGGGAATTTTGGGGATTTGGGGGGGGTCTCTGAAATGGGGGGGGCTGGGCACAGGACCCCAAATCCATCCCCCCAAAATCCCCCCCGTACCTTGGTGCTGGGCTGGAGCCCTGAGGGGGTGAAGATGAGGAGGGGTCCCAGTTTCTGCCACCCCCCCCGGGAGGGGCTTTGGGGGGCTCTGCGGGCCGGGGGGGGCTCCTCGGGGGGGCTGGCGGGGCGTTTTTTGGGGTGGGGGGTCCCCTCGAAGTGCAGCACCAGGGGGTACCTCCCGTTCACCAGCAGCAGCGTCTGCCCCGGGGTGAGGGTCCCGCAGCCCCCCCGGGCCAGCACCGAGCCCCCCACCGAGCTGGGGTTCACCCCGCGCTGGGGAGGGAAGGGTTAAAGAGGAGTTAAATACCCCCCCCAAAAAACCTACCCCAAAATGAGCCCCAAAATCCCATAAATCCCCCCCAAAATCTGGGGTTCACCCCGCGCTGGGGAGGGAAGGGTTAAAGAGGAGTTAAAGACCCCCCCCAAAAAATCTACCCCAAAATGAGCCCCAAAATCCCATAAATCACCCCAAAATCTGGGGTTCACCCCGTGCTGGGGAGGGAAGGGTTAAAGAGGAGTTAAAGACCCCCCCAAAAAAAAACTACCCCAAAATGAGCCCCAAAATCCCATAAATCCCTCCCAAAATCTGGGGTTCATCCCACGCTGGGGAAGGAAGGGTTAAAGAGGAGTTAAAGACCCCCCCCCCCAAAAAATCTACCCCAAAATGAACCCCAAAATCCCATAAATCCCTCCCAAAATCTGGGGTTCACCCCGCGCTGGGGAGGGAAGGGTTAAAGAGGAGTTAAAGACCCCCCCCAAAAAAACCCACCCCAAAATGAGCCCCAAAATCCCATAAATCCCCCCAAAACTGGGGTTCACCCCGCGCTGGGGAGGGAAGGGTTAAAGGGGGCTAAAGACCCCTCCCCCCAAAAAACCCACCCCAAAATGAGCCCCAAAATCCCATAAAACCCCCCAAAACCCCTTTAAGCACCCCCAATATCTTCCCTAGAACCCCCCAAAACCCCTCCAGGCTCCCCCAGATCCCCCAAGGACCCCCCCCAAATTCCCTCAGGACCCCCCAAAACCCCTCCAGGTCCCCCCAAAATCTCCCCAGGACCCCCCAAATCCCCCCAAGTCCCCCCACCTGTGTGACCCGGGCTGTGCCCTCGGCGTAGTTGGCCACGATCTCCACTGTGGGGAGGGGGCAAATTTGGGGATCCCCCCAAAATTCGGGGAGGGGAAACCCCCAAAAGTGTCCCCAGAGCCTGGGGGGGGGTTTGGGGGGTCCTTTAAAGGAATATTTAGGGTTTCTCAGGTTGAAATTTAGGGGTTTGGGGGGTGAAATTTGGAGGTCCTGGGAGGTGAATTTGGAGGTGAATTTGGGGGTCCTGGCGCAGGAATATTTGGGGGTCCTGATAGTGAATTTGGGGGTCCTGGGGCAGGAAATGTGGGGGTTCTGAGGGTGAATTTGGGAGCCCTGGGGGAGGAATATTTGGGGATCCTGAGGGTAAATTTGCGGGGTGAATTTGGGGGTTCTGAGGATGAATTTGGGTTTCCTGTGGGCGGGGGGTCCCGGTGCCCATCACTGAGGGCACGGCGGGTCCCGGGAGGTCCTGAGGGGGTCCCGGGAGGGTCCTGAGGGGCTCTGAGGGGGTTGCGGGAGGGGGTCCTGACGGGATCCCGGGAGGGTCTCGGGGGGTCCTGAGGGGGGTCCTGAGGGGGTCCCGGGAGGTCCTGAGGGGGACCCGGGAGGGTCTCGGGGGGTCCCGGGGGGCTCTGAGGGGGTCCCGGGAGGGTCCTGAGGGGGACCCGGGAGGGTCCTGAGGGGATCCCGGGAGGGTCCCGGGGGTCCTGAGGGGGGTCCCGGGGAAGTCCCGGGAGGGTCCTGAGGGGGTCCCGCTGGCTTTGAGGGTTCCCCGCACCCACCCTGCTGCCGGGAGCACTTGCGGTCGGTGACGCCGGTGAGCGGCCCGCGGCCCAGCAGCACGGGCTGCCCGTCGGGCAGCGGCACGGGCCCGGCGAGGCCGCGCAGCTCGGCCCGCATGGCGGCGGCAGGACCCGAACCAGAACCAGAACCGGGACCCGAACCCAAACCGGGACCCGAACCCAAACCGGGACCGGCCCCGGCCCCACCGCCTCCTCCCGGCGGCGTGACGTCACTTCCGCCACGCGGCCCCGCCCCCTTGTCGTTCCGTTCCCGCCTTTTTTCGCTCTTGCACGCTGCAAAGCCACGCCCCTTTATTTTAGCCACGCCCCGTTAATGGCCGGGCCACGCCTCTTTTGGCGCCTGCAAGGCGACTTCCGGTGTTGCTACGCCGCCGCTTCCGGTGGGTTCAGCGTCATGGCGCCCTCTGGCGGTGGAGGACTGGGTGGGTCCTCCAAGGGTGGGGGGGAGAATGGGAGGGGACTGGGATGGACTGGGAGGGACTGGGAGGGACTGGGAGGGGTTTGAGGGGCATTGGGAGGGACTGGGAGGGACTGGGAGGGGTTTGGGGGGCACTGGGAGGGGACTGGGAGGGGACTGGTTTGGACTGGGAGGGATTTGGAGGCATTGGAAGGGGTTTGGGGGGCACTGGGAGGGGCTGGGAGGGACTGGGAGGGGTTTGGGGGGCACTGGGAAGGGCTGGTTTGGACTGGCAGGGATTTGGGGGGCACAGGAAGGGACTGGGATGGACTGGGAGGGGTTGTGGGGTGACTGGGAGGGGACTGGGAGAGGTTTAGGGGTCACTGGGAGGAGTTTGGGGGCACTGGGAAAGGTTTGGGGGTCACTGGGAGGGGACTGGGAGGGGCTGGGAGGGACTGGGAAAGGTTTGGGGGTCACTGGGAGGGGACTGGGAGGGACTGGTTTGGACTGGGAGAGGCTACTTCGGGGTCACCCCTCCCCACCCCAAGCTGGGACCCCAAAATATGAACCTGCTGACTCAGCATGACCCCCCGTGACCCCCCTGGGACCCCCCCCCCACGACCCCCGCTGTGCCACCAAGTGTCACCTTTATTGCCGGGGGGGGGCGGGGGGGGGGGGGGGGGTCAGCAGAGGTGGCCTTGGTGGCCTCGGTGGCCTCGGTGGCCTCGGTGGCCTCGGTGTCCCCCGTGTGTCCCCCGTGGGTCCCGACGTGGCCTCGGTGTCCCCATGGAGCTCTTGTGCCCCTCCCCCCCCCCCCCCCCAGTTTGGCTTCGTTCACCCCAGTTCATCCCAGTGCCCCCTCTCAGTTCATCCTGGTGCACTCCCAGTTCATCCCAGTGCACTCCCAGTTCATCCCAGTCCATCCTGGTGCACTCCCAGTTCATTCCAGTGCCCCCCAGTTTGTTCTGGTGCACTCCCTGTTCATTCCAGTGCACTCCCAGTTCATCCCAGTTCATCCTGGTGCACTCCCAGTTCATCCCAGTGCCAACCAGTTCATCCAGGTGCGCTCCCAGTTCATCCTGGTGCACTCCCATTTCATCCTGGTGCATCCCCAGTTTGTTCTGGTGCACCCCCAGTTCATCATCACTCATTCCAGTTCATCCTGGAGCACTCCCAGTTCATCCCAGTGTCTCCCAGTTCATTCCAGTGCCCCCCAGTTTGCTCTAGTGCACTCCCAGTTTGTTCTGGTGCACTCCCAGTTCATCATCATTCATTCCAGTTTATCCTGGTGCATTCCCAGTTTGTTCTGGTGCAATCCCAGTTCATCCCGGTGTACCCCCAGTACATCCCAGTGCACCCCAGTTGATCCTGGTGCAGTTCCAGTGCACTCCCAGTGCACCCCAGTTCATTCAAGTGCACTCCCAGTACACCTCAGTCCATCCCAGTCCATCCAGGTGCACTCCCAGTGCCTCCCAGTGCACTCCCAGTCCATCCCAGTGCACCCCAGTTCATCCCAGTGCACACCAGTCCATCCTGGTGCACTCTCAATTCATTCAGGTGCACTCCCAGTCCATCCCAGTCCATCCAGGTGCACTCCCAGTTCATCCCAGTGCACCCCAGTCCATTTCATCACATCCAGGTGCACTCGCAGTGCACTCCCAGTCCATCCCAGTGCATCCAGGTGCACTCCCAGTCCATCCCAGTCCATCCAGGTGCACTCCCAGTGCACTCCCAGTTCATTCCAGTCCATCCAGGTGCACTCCCAGTACATCCCAGTCCATCCCAGTCCATCCAGGTGCTCTCGCAATCCATCCCAGTGCACCCCAGTCCATCCCAGTCCATCCAGGTGCACTCCAGTGCACTCCAGTGCACTTCCAGTGCACTCCCAGTCCATTCAAGTCCATCCAGGTGCACTCGCAATCCATCCCAGTGCCTCCCAGTTCATCCCAGTGCACCCCAGTTCATCCAGGTGCACTCCCAGTTCATCCCAGTGCATCCAGGTGCACTCCCAGTGCATTCCCGGTCCATCCCAGTCCATCCAGGTGCACTCCCTGTTCATCCAGGTGCACTCCCAGTGCACTCCCAGTCCATTCCAGTGCACCCAGGTGCACTCCCAGTCCATCCCAGTCCATCCAGGTGCGCTCCAGTGCACTCCCAGTTCATCCCAGTCCATCCAGGTGCACTCCCAGTCCATCCCAGTCCATCCAGGTGCACTCCCAGTGCCTCCCAGTGCACTCCAGTCCATCCAGGTGCACTCCCTGTTCATCCAGGTGCACTCTCAGTGCATCCCAGTGCATCCCAGTCCATCCCAGTCCATCCAGGTGCACTCCCAGTTCATCCCAGTCCATCCAGGTGCACTCGCAATCCATCCCAGTGCACTCCAGTTCATCCCAGTGCACACCAGTCCATCATGGTGCACTCTCAATTCATTCAGGTGCACTCCCAGTGCATCCCAGTCCATCCAGGTGCACTCCCAGTTCATCCTGGTGCACTCGCAATCCATCCCAGTGCACCTCAGTTCATCCCAGTGCCTCCCAGTGCATCCAGGTGCACTCCCAGTGCACTCCCAGTTCATCCCAGTCCATCCCAGTCCATCCAGATGCACTCGAAATCCATCCCAGTCCATCCCTGTTCATCCCAGTGCACTCTCAATTCATTCAGGTGCACTCCCAGTGCACTCCCAGTCCATCCCAGTCCATCCAGGTGCACTCCCAGTACATCCGAGTCCATCCCAGTCCATCCAGGTGCACTCGCAATCCATCCCAGTGCACCCCAGTTCATCCCAGTGCACCCCAGTCCATTTCATCTCATCCAGGTGCACTCGCAGTACACCCCAGTCCATCCCAGTCCATCCAGGTGCACTCGCAGTACACCCCAGTCCATCCCAGTCCATCCAGGTGCACTCCCAGTGCACTCCCAGTCCATCCCAGTCCATCCAGGTGCATTTCCAGTTCATCAAGGTGCACTCCCAGTCCATCCCAGTCCATCCAGGTGCACTCGCAATCCATCCCAGTGCACCCCAGTCCATCCCAGTGCCTCCCAGTCCATCCAGATGCACTCCCAGTGCCTCCCAGTACCTCCCAGTCCACCCCCTGACCCCCACTCCCCCCATCCCTCCGCCCCGCCCTGTCACACCTCTGTCACCAACCTGCCCCCGGCCCAGCCCTTCTCTCCGCCGGCCTCTCCGTCCACGCCCCATCCCGGTCCCTGCCCGGCGCCCGCCTTGTCCTCGGCGTCGCCGGCGGGCTCGGGGTGGTGCGGGCACGGCGCGGCGGGCACCACGGCGCCGCTCTCCTCGCCGCGCAGCTCGCGCCGGTAGAAGTAGGAGAAGTTGGAGACGATGACGGGCACGGGCAGCGAGATGGTCAACACGCCCGCGATGGCGCACAGCGATCCCACCAACTTACCGCCCACCGTCACCGGCGCCATGTCCCCGTAACCCACCGTGGTCATGGTGACCACCGCCCACCAAAACGCCTGAGGGATGGACGTGAAGGCCGTGGCCGCGTCTTCGGCCTCGGCGAAGTAGACGGCGCTGGAGAAGAGCACGACGCCGATGAGGAGGAAGAAGATGAGCAGGCCCAGCTCCCTCATGCTGGCCTTGAGGGTCTGGCCCAGGATCTGCAGGCCGGTGGAGTGGCGGGACAGTTTGAAGACGCGGAAGACGCGCACCAGGCGGATGACGCGCAGCACGGCCAGCGACATGGCGGGCTGGCCGATGCCGCGCTGCCGCGCCAGCTCGGTGCCCAGCGCGATGAAGTACGGGGCGATGGCCGCCAGGTCGATGAGGTTCATGGCGCTGCGGAAGAAGGCCGCCTTGCTGGGGCTGGCCACCAGCCGCACCAGCAGCTCCAGAGAGAACCAGCAGATGCAGACGGTTTCCACCAGGAAGAAGGGGTCGGTCAGGCCGGAGCGGTGGGGAGGGGGCGTGGGGGTGGTGGTGTTGGTGGGGGTGGGTGAGGGGGGCTGTGGGGAGAGAGGAGAGAGGTGGGGGTGAGTGGGAGGTGGGGGAAAAACCCAAATCCAGCAGCCAGGACCCCCAAAGTCACCGCCCACAATGGGTTAATTGGGGTTGGAGAGCACCCAAACCCCAGAGTGACCACCCAGAGGGGGTTAATGGGGGTTGGAGACCACCCAAAATGGGTTAATGGGGGTTGGAGACCACCCAAACCCCAGATCCACCACCCAAAATGGGTTAATGGGGGTTGGAGACCACCCAAAATGGGTTAATGGGGGTTGGAGACCACCCAGAACCCCAGATCCACCACCCAAAAGGGTTAATGGGGGTTGGAGACCACCCAGAACCCCAGATCCACCACCCAAAATGGGTTAATGGGGATTGGAGACCATCCAAAATGGGTTAATGGGGGTTGGAGATCACCCAAACCCCAGAGTGACCACCCAAAATGGGTTAATTGGGGTTGGAGACCACCCAAACCCCCAAAGTGACCACCCAGAGGGAGTTAATGGGGGTTGGAGACCACCCAAAATGGGTTAACGGGGGTTGGAGACCACCCAACCCCAAAGTGACCACCCAAAATGGGTTAATGGGGGTTGGAGACCACCCAAAATGGGTTAATGGGGGTTGGAGACCACCCAAACCCCCAACTGACCACCGAAAATGGGTTAATGGGGGTTGGAGACCACCCAGAACCCCAAAGTGACCACCCAAAATGGGTTAATGGGGGTTGGAGACCACCCAACCCCAAAGTGACCACCCAAAATGGGTTAATGGGGGTTGGAGACCACCCAAAATGGGTTAATAGGGGTTGGAGACCACCCAAACCCCAGAGTGACCACCCAAAATGGGTTAATGGGGGTTGGAGACCACCCAGAAGCCCAAAGTGACCACCCAAAATGGGTTAATGGGGATTGGAGATGCCCAAAATGGGTTAATGGGGGTTGGAGACCACCCAGACCCCAGAGTGACCACCCAGAGGGGGTTAATGGGGGTTGGAGACCACCCAAAATGGGTTAATGGGGGTTGGAGACCACCCAAACCCCCAAAGTGACCACCCAGAGGGGGTTAATGGGGGTTGGAGACCACCCAGAACCCCAGATCCACCACCCAAAATGGGTTAATGGGGGTTGGAGACCACCCAAACCCCAGAGTGACCACCCAGAGGGGGTTAATGGGGGTTGGAGACCACCCAAAATGGGTTAATGGGGGTTGGAGACCACCCAAAATGGGTTAATGGGGGTTGGAGACCACCCAAACCCGCAAAGTGACCACCCAGAGAGGGTTAATGGGGGTTGGAGACCACCCAGACCCCCCAAGTGACCACCCAAAATGGGTTAATGGGGGTTGGAGACCACCCAAAAGGGTTAATGGGGGTTGGAGACCACCCAGAACCCCAAAGTGACCACCCAAAATGGGTTAATGGGGGTTGGAGACCACCCAGACCCCCAGATCCACCAGCCAGAGAGGGTTAATAGGGGTTGGAGACCTTCAAATATGGGTTAATGGGGGTTGGAGACCACCCAGACCCACAAAGTGACCACCCAGAGGGGGTTAATGGGGGTTGGAGACCACCCAAAATGGGTTAATGGGGGTTGGAGACCACCCAAACCCGCAAAGTGACCACCCAGAGGGGGTTAATGGGGGTTGGAGACCACCCAGAACCCCAGAGTGTCCACCCAGAGGGGGTTAATGGGGGTTGGAGATCCCAAAAATGGGTTAATGGGGGTTGGAGACCACCCAAACCCCCCAAGTGACCACCCAGAGGGGGTTAATGGGGGTTGGAGACCACCCAGACCCCCAAGAGACTGCCCAAAATGGGTTAATGGGGATTGGAGATCCCATAAATGGGTTAATAGGGGTTGGAGACCACCCAAACCCCCAAAGTGACCACCCACCCACCCACCGTGGGTCAGCAGGGTTGGAGACCCCTCTCCAATGACCAGGGACCACCCAGACCCCCAGGTCCCATGGCAAAGGCCCAGGAGGAGGAGGAGGAGGAGGAAGAAAGGGAAAAAAAGGGCTGAGGATGGTGGGGATGAAGATGAGAATGATGAGGATGGTGGGGATGAAGATGAGAATGATGAGGATGGTGGGGATGAAGATGAGAATGATGAGGATGATGGGGATGAGGATGAGAAGGATGAAGGTGATGGTCAGGATGAGGATGATTAGGATGATGAGGATGAAGATGGGAAGGATGAGGATGATGAGGATGGTGGGGATGAAGACGAGAATGATGAGGATGGTGAGGATGAGGATGATTAGGATGATGAGGATGAAGATGAGAAGGATGAAGGTGACGAGGATGGAGATGAGAAGGATGAAGGTGGCGGGGATGGTGAGGATGAGGATGGAGAGGCTGAGGAGGAGGATGGTAAAGATGAGGATGATGAAGATGAGAATGAGGATGATGAGGAGAGCGAGGACGAGGGTGTTGAGGATGAGGAGGGTGAGGAGGAAGAGGATGAAGACAGGGATGATGACAGCGTGGAGAGGAAGAGGAATGTGAGATCAATGTTCATGAGGATGAAGGTGAGGATGGTGAGGGTGAGGAGAAGGATGAGGAAGATGAGGATGGTGAGGATGAGGAGAAGGAGGATGAAGGTGAGGATGGTGAGGGTGAGGAGAAGGATGAGGAAGATGAGGATGGTGAGGATGAGGTTCATGAGGATGAAGGTGAGGATGGTGAGGGTGAGGAGAAGGAGGATGAAGATGAGGATGGTGAGGGTGAGGTTCATGAGGATGAAGGTGAGGATGGTGAGGGTGAGGAGAAGGAGGATGAAGATGAGGATGGTGAGGATGAGGAGAAGGAGGATGAAGGTGAGGATGGTGAGGGTGAGGAGAAGGAGGATGAAGGTGAGGATGGTGAGGGTGAGGAGAAGGAGGATGAAGGTGAGGATGGTGAGGATGAGGAGAAGGAGGATGAAGGTGAGGATGGTGAGGGTGAGGAGAAGGAGGATGAAGATGAGGATGGTGAGGATGAGGAGAAGGAGGATGAAGGTGAGGATGGTGAGGGTGAGGAGAAGGAGGATGAAGGTGAGGATGGTGAGGGTGAGGTTCATGAGGATGAAGGTGAGGATGGTGAGGGTGAGGAGAAGGAGGATGAAGGTGAGGATGGTGAGGGTGAGGAGAAGGAGGATGAAGGTGAGGATGGTGAGGATGAGGAGAAGGAGGATGAAGATGAAGATGGTGAGGGTGAGGTTCATGAGGATGAAGGTGAGGATGGTGAGGATGAGGAGAAGGATGAGGAAGAGAACACTGGGATGGGAGAGGATGGGGACGATGAGGATGAAGATGGCAAGAAGGGCGAGGATGAGGAGGGTGAGGATGACGATGGTGCCAATGACACCGAGGACGATGAAGATGAAGATGGCCATGATGAGGATGATGAAGATGAGAGGGAGGACGGTGACAATGACACCGAGGACGATGAGGATGATGATGATGAGGATGTTGTCAATGACACCAAGGACGATGAGGATGATGAAGATGGTGACAATGACACCGATGATGAAGATGATGAAGACAAGGATGGTGGCAACAGCACTGACAATGAAGATGATGAAAATGGTGACGACGACACCAATTATGAAGATGGTAAAGATGGTGACAGTGACACCGACGACAAGGATGATGAGGATGAGGATGGTGACAATGGCACTGATGATGAAGATGCTGAAGATGGTGACAATGACACCAACAATGAAGATTATGAAAATGGTGACAATGATGCTGACGATGAAGATGGTGACAACACCAATGATGAAGGTGATGAAAATGGTGACAATGACACCAACAACAAAGATGATGAAGATGGTGACAATGGCATCAACAATGAGGACGATGAAGATGACAATGACACTTATGATGAAGATGATGAAGATGGTGACCACGACACTGACAATGACGATGATGAGGTTGAGGATGGTGACAATGACACCGACAATGAGGATGATGAAGATGGTGACAATGACACCGACAATGAGGATGATGAAGATGACAATGACACTGATGATGAAGATGATGAAAATGGTGACAACGACACCGACAATGAGGATGATGAAGATGGTGACAATGACGCTGACGATGAAGATGGTGACAACACCAATGGTGGAGGTGATGAATATGGTGACAATGGCACCAACAATGAAGATGACGAAGATGATGAGGATGGTGACACCGACGGTGAAGATGATGACAATGACACCGACAATGAGGATGATGAAGATGACAATGACACTTATGATGAAGATGATGAAGATGATGACAACGACACTGACAATGACGATGATGAGGATGAGGATGGTGGCAATGACACTGATGATGAAGATGATGAAGATGATGACAATGACACTGACAATGACGATGATGAGGATGAGGACGGTGACAATGACACTGGCAATGAGGATGATGAAGATGACAATGACACTGATGATGAAGATGATGAAGATGGTGACAACGACACTGACAATGACGATGATGTGGATGAGGATGGTGACAATGACACTGATGATGAAGATGATGAAGATGGTGATGACACTGACAATGACGATGATGAGGATGAGGATGGTGACAATGACACTGATAATGAAGATGATGAAGATGATGACAATGATATTGACAATGAATATGATGAGGATGAGGATGGTGACAATGACACTGATGATGAAGATGATGAAGATGGTGACCACGACACTGACAATGACGATGATGAGGATGAGAATGGTGACAATGACACCGACAATGAGGATGATGAAGATGACAACGACACTGATGATGAAGATGATGAAGATGATGACAACGACACTGACAATGACAATGATGAGGATGAGGATGGTGGCAATGACACTGATGATGAAGATGACGAAGATGATGACAACGACACTGACAATGAATATGATGAGGATGAGGATGGTGACAATGACACTGATGATGAAGATGATGAAGATGACAACAACCCACTCGCCCCACTGACCTCTCCCTCAGCGCCGGAGCGGAACTGTGGCAGCGTCTCCAGGCAGAAGACCACGATGGACACCAGGATGACCAGCACGGACAGCAGGGCCACCACCCGCGCGGCCGGCGAGCTCTCGGGGTGCTCGCACAGCAGCCACGCCCGCCGCCTCAAACCCCCGCGCGGCAACGCCGGCGGCTCCTCCACCGAGAAGCCTTCGGCCTCGCGCAGCCGCTCCTCCGCCTCGTCGCCCAGCTGGTAGAACCTCAGCTCCTCCAGGAACACGTCCAGGGGCACATCCGGGGGTCTCCTCAGCCGCCCCCCGGACTGGTAGTAGTAGAGCACGGCCCCGAAGGCGCCGCGGTGGCGGTCGAAGAAGTACTCGCGGCGTTGGGGGTCGAAGAAGCGGCGCCGGCGCCGGGGGTCGCCCAGGAGGGTGTCGGGGAAGCGCCGCAGCGTCCGCACCAAGGTCTCGAAGCGCCGGCCGGCCACGTTGATGGCCACGCGCTCGCAGCAGCCCAGCGGCTCGCCCATGCCCGCGGCGCCCCCGGGACGGGCCACGGGCGGGGCAGAGGGCACCGAGGGCAGCCTGGGGGGTTTGGGGGTGTCCCCGGGGGTCCTGGGGGTCAGCGGGGTGGGGGGAGCCTGGGGAGGGGGTCAAGGTTCTTCAGCGGTGGTGGAAACCCAAAAATCTTGAGGGACGCTGAAATATTGAGGGGCCCAGTGGGACCTTAAAGATTTGGAGGACCTCGAAAATATTTGGGGTCTACAATGTTGGAGGAACCTCAAGGTTCTTCAGCATTGGGGACAACACAAAAGTCTTGAGGGACACTGAAGTATTTGAGGTCACAATGGGACCCAAAAGATTTGGGGAACCCCAAAAATCTTAGAAAGATTGGAGGTCAAAGATTCGGAGGACCTCGAAAATATTTGGGGTCTACAATGTTGGAGGAACCTCAAAGTTCTTCAGCGTTGGGGGCAACCCAAAAATCTTGAGGGACACTGAAGTATTTGAGGTCTCAAGGGGACCCTAAAGATTTGGGAAACCCCAAAAAATCTTAGAAAGATTGGAGGTCAAAGATTTGGAGAACCCCAAAAATATTTGGGGTTTACAATGTTGGAGGAACCTCAAAGTTCTTCAGCGCTGGGGACAACCCAAAAATCTTGAGGGACGCTGAAGTATTTGAGGTCACAATGGGACCCAAAAGATTGGGGAACCCCAAAAAATACTGGAAAGATTAGAGGTCAAAGATTTGGAGGACCTCAAAAATATTTGGGGTCTACAATGCTGGAGGAACCTCAAGGTCCTTCACTGTTGGGGGCAACCCAAAAATCTTGAGGGACACTGAAGTATTGAAGGGTCCAGTGGGACCTTAAAGATTTGGGAAACCCCAAAAATCTTAGAAAGATTGGAGGTCAAAGATTTGGAGGACCTCGAAAATATTCGGGGTCACAATGGGACCCTAAAGATCTGTAGAACCCTGAAAATATTGGGGGTCTACAGTGTTGGAGGAACCTCAAGGTTCTTCAGCGCTGGGGAAACACAAAAATCTTGAGAGACACTGAAATATTGAGGAGCCCAGTGGGACCTTAATGATTTGGAGGACCTCGAAAATATTTGGGGTCACAATGGGACCCTAAAGATTTGGGAAACCCCAAAAAATCTTAGAAAGATTGGAGGTCAAAGATTTGGAGGACCTCAAAAATATTTGGGGTTTACAATGTTGGAGGAACCTCAAGGTTCTTCAGCGTTGGGGGAAACCCAAAAATCTTGAGGGACACTGAAGTATTTGAGGTCACAATGGGACCCAAAAGATTTGGGAAACCCCAAAAAATCTTAGAAAGATTGGAGGTCAAAGATTTGGAGGACCTCGAAGATATTTGGGGTTTACAATGGTGGAGGAACCTCAAGGTTCTTCAGCGCTGGGGAAAACCCAAAAATCTTGAGGGACACTGAAATATTGAGGGGCCCAGTGGGACCCAAAAGATTTGGGGAACCCCAAAAAATCTTAGAAAGATTGGAGGTCAAAGATTTGGAGGACCTCGAAAATATTTGGGGTTTACAATGTTGGAGGAACCTCAAGGTTCTTCAGCGTTGGGGACAACCCAAAAATCTTGAGGGACACTGAAATATTTGGGGCCACAATGGGACCTTAAAGATTTGGGGAACCCCAAAAATATTCGGGGTCAAAGTGGGACCCTAAAGATTGGGGGAACCCTAAAATATTGGGGGTCAACAATGTCAGAGGACCCCAAATTTCTGGGGGTCCAACCACGGTTCTACAACTTCAGAGGAACCTCAAGATCTTGTGGTGTTGGGGACACTTTTAGGGACTTCTTGGGGTCCCTAAAAATTTGGGGAACCCCTGAATTATTTGGGGTCCAAGAAGACCCGAGGGGTTGGGGATCCCTAAAATCTTGGGGGGACCAACAGTGACTCTACGACACTTGAGGAACCTCAAGGTTGGGGACACCCCAAAACTCTTGGTGGTCTAAAAGGACCCTAAAAATTTGGGGGTCCCCCTAAATTCTCAGGAGTAACGGGGTCTTTGGGGGGGGGTCTACAAGGATCCCCGTGTCACCGCCTGTCCCCAACCCTCCTGACCCTGTCCTGGGGGTGTCCCCAACCCTCCTGACCCTGTCCTGGGGGTGTCCCCAACCCTCCTGTCCCTGTCCTGGGGGTGTCCCCAACCCTCCTGACCCTGTCCTGGGGGTGTCACCGCTGTCCCCAACCCTCCTGACCCTGTCCTGGGGGTGTCACCGCCTGTCCCCAACCCTCCTGACCCTGTCCTGGGGGTGTCCCCAACCCTCCTGACCCTGTCCTGGGGGTGTCCCCAACCCTCCTGATCCTGTCCTGGGGGTGTCCCCAACCCTCCTGTCCCTGTCCTGGGGGTGTCACCGGTGTCCCCAACCCTCCTGACCCTGTCCTGGGGGTGTCCCCAACCCTCCTGACCCTGTCCTGGGGGTGTCCCCAACCCTCCTGACCCTGTCCTGGGGGTGTCACCGCTGTCCCCAACCCTCCTGACCCTGTCCTGGGGGTGTCCCCTCTGTCCCCAACCCTCCTGACCCTGTCCTGGGGGTGTCCCCAACCCTCCTGTCCCTGTCCTGGGGGTGTCACCTCTGTCCCCAACCCTCCTGACCCTGTCCTGGGGGTGTCCCCACTGTCCCCAACCCTCCTGACCCTGTCCTGGGGGTGTCCCCAACCCTCCTGACCCTGTCCTGGGGGTGTCCCCAACCCTCCTGACCCTGTCCTGGGGGTGTCACCGCTGTCCCCAACCCTCCTGACCCTGTCCTGGGGGTGTCCCCAACCCTCCTGACCCTGTCCTGGGGGTGTCACCACTGTCCCCAACCCTCCTGACCCTGTCCTGGGGGTGTCCCCAACCCTCCTGACCCTGTCCTGGAGGTGTCACCGCTGTCCCCAACCCTCCTGACCCTGTCCTGGGGGTGTCCCCAACCCTCCTGACCCTGTCCTGGGGGTGTCACCGCTGTCCCCAACCCTCCTGACCCTGTCCTGGGGGTGTCACCGCTGTCCTGGGGGTGTCACCGCCTGTCCCCAACCCACCTGACCCTGTCCTGGGGGTGTCCCCGCCTGTCCCCAACCCTCCTGACCCTGTCCTGGGGGTGTCACCGCTGTCCCCAACCCTCCTGACTCTGTCCTGGGGGTGTCCCCAACCCTCCTGACCCTGTCCTGGGGGTGTCCCCAACCCTCCTGACCCTGTCCTGGGGGTGTCCCCAACCCTCCTGTCCCTGTCCTGGGGGTGTCCCCAACCCTCCTGACCCTGTCCTGGGGGTGTCCCCAACCCTCCTGACCCTGTCCTGGGGGTGTCACCGCTGTCCCCAACCCTCCTGACCCTGTCCTGGGGGTGTCCCCAACCCTCCTGACCCTGTCCTGGGAGTGTCACCGCTGTCCCCAACCCTCCTGACCCTGTCCTGGGGGTGTCACCGCTGTCCCCAACCCTCCTGACCCTGTCCTGGGGGTGTCACCGCTGTCCCCAACCCTCCTGACCCTGTCCTGGGGGTGTCCCCAACCCTCCTGACCCTGTCCTGGGGGTGTCCCCAACCCTCCTGACCCTGTCCTGGGGGTGTCACCGCTGTCCCCAACCCTCCTGCCCCTGTCCTGGGGGTGTCCCCAGGGTGTCACCGCTGTCCCCAGGGTGTCCCCGCTGTCCCCAGGGTGTCCCCGCTGTCCCCAGGGGTTACCCCCCCGCCTTGTCCCCGGGTGCCCCCTCCCCCCCACGTCACCCGGGTGTCCCCAACCCCCCCCCCCCCCCGCCACCACGGGGTGTCCCCGGCCCCTGTCGGTGTCACCGGGTGTCCCCGGCCCGCCGTCCCGCTGTCACCGCCGCTGTCCCGTAAACAGGGTGACAGGGTGGCCCCGCGGTGTCGGGTTCCCCCCCGCGCTAAAAATAACGGGGGGGGGTGACCGGACACCCGGGTCCTCCCCCGCCCCCCCCCGGGGTCACCGAGTGTCCCCAAGGGGGGGTGATAACCCTGGGGGGGGGTGACCGGACACCCGGGTCCTCCCCCCGCCCCCCCCCGGGGTCACCGAGTGTCCCCAAGGGGGGGTGACATCCTTGGGGGGGGTGACCGGACACCCCCCGGGTCCGCCTCCTCCCCAGGGGTCACCGAGTGTCCCCAAGGGGGGGTGACAACCCTGGGGGGGGAGGGGCGGGGAATGGGTGTCGCCCCCCCCCCACGGCACAACAAGGGGGGGGGGGACACCCCGGTGGGGGGAGGGGCACGAGGGGATCCCCCCCACCCCAAAATTGGGGGGGCTGGGGGGGGTGGTGTCACCCTTGTTGTCATGGCAACGGGACGGGGGGTGTCACCTGTGTAGGGGTGGGGGAGGGGAACATCCCGGTTGCCGTGGCAACGTCATTTTGAATTTTTAATTTTTTTTTTTAATTTTTTTTTCTCCGTTGTCATGGAAACCACGGGGGGGTGGGTGGCAACCTGGTTGCTATGGCAACGAGACGGGCTGTTCCCCTCCCCCGTTGCTACGGAGGGAGGGGGACACCGCGGCTGTTCTCGGTTGCCATGGAAACCCCCGGCCCGGCAGCGAAGCCCCGCCCACGTTGCCATGGCGCGCGGTGGGGGGCGTGGTCACGATCTTGGCCACGCCTCCTCATCAAGCCACGCCCATAGCAACACCCAATTAAACCACGCCCCTAACAACGATTGGTTGACCACGCCTCCTTCATTTACTTGGCCACGCCCCTTGGCCACGCCCCCTCACGGAACCGTTACCGGCCCTTTCCCCGCCTTTCCGCCGCCGCCACTTCCGGTTTCCCCCCTCACTTCCGTTGGCGCCGCGGCGGGCGCGCATGCGCGGGGCCCGGCGCGCGCGGAGCCGGAGGCAGCGCGGGGTCCGTGAGGGCCGCGGGGGCCGTGAGGGCCGCGGGCTCCGGGAGCGGCTCCGGGAGGGACCCCGAGGGGGCAACGGGCCGGGTGGGACCCGCCCGGGGAAGGGGGAGAGCCCCGGAGCGGCGGGGGGAGCACGGGGAGGGTTTGGGAGCGTGAGGGGGGGGCGCTGCCCTGAGGGGTTCGGGGGCTGAGGGTGTTGGGGGGGGTTTGGGGGGTCTGGGGAGGTGTGTGGGGTGGGGTTAGGGGGGTCTAGGGATGTCCGGAGGGGATTTTTGGGGGTCTGGGGGCGGTTTTGGGGGTCTGAGGGGTGTGTGGGGTGGGGTTATGGGGGTCTAGGGGTGTCCGGAGGGGATTTTTGGGGGTCTGAGGGGTGTGTGGGGTGGGGTTTTGGGGGTCTGGGGGTGTCCGGAGGGGATTTTTGGGGGTCTAGGGGTGGTTTTGGGGGTCTGAGGGGTGTGTGGGGTGGGGTTATGGGGGTCTAGGGGTGTCCGGAGGGGGTTTTGGGGGTCTGAGGGGTGTGTGGGGTGGGGTTATGGGGGTCTAGGGATGTCCGGAGGGGATTTTTGGGGGTCTGGGGGTGGTTTTGGGGGTCTGAGGGGTGTGTGGGGTGGGGTTTTGGGGGTCTGGGGATGTGTGTGGGGTGGGGTTATGAGGGTCTAGGGATGTCCGGAGGGGATTTTTGGGGGTCTAGGGGTGGTTTTGGGGGTCTGAGGGGTGTGTGGGGTGGGGTTATGGGGGTCTAGGGGTGTCCGGAGGGGATTTTGGGGGTCTGGGGGTGGTTTGGGGGGTCTGGGGATGTGTGTGGGGTGGGGTTATGGGGGTCTAGGGGTGGTTTTGGGGGTCTGAGGGGTGTGTGGGGTGGGGTTATGGGGGTCTAGGGGTGTCCGGAGGGGATTTTTGGGGGTCTGAGGGGTGTGTGGGGTGGGGTTATGGGGGTGTAGGGGTGTCCGGAGGGGGTTTTGGGGGTCTGAGGGGTGTGTGGGGTGGGGTTATGGGGGTCTAGGGATGTCCGGAGGGGATTTTTGGGGGTCTGGGGGTGGTTTTGGGGGTCTGAGGGGTGTGTGGGGTGGGGTTTTGGGGGTCTGGGGATGTGTGTGGGGTGGGGTTATGGGGGTCTAGGGATGTCCGGAGGGGATTTTTGGGGGTCTGGGGGTGGTTTTGGGGGTCTGGGGATGTGTGTGGGGTGGGGTTATGGGGGTCTAGGGATGTCCGGAGGGGATTTTTGGGGGTCTAGGGGTGGTTTTGGGGGTCTGAGGGGTGTGTGGGGTGGGGTTATGGGGGTCTAGGGATGTCCGGAGGGGATTTTTGGGGGTCTAGGGGTGGTTTTGGGGGTCTGAGGGGTGTGTGGGGTGGGGTTATGAGGGTCTAGGGGTGTCCGGAGGGGATTTTTGGGGGTCTGAGGGGTGTGTGGGGTGGGGTTATGGGGGTCTAGGGGTGTGTGGGGTGGGGTTATGGGGGTCTAGGGGTGTCTGGTGGGGATTTTGGGGGGTCTGGGGGTGCCCAGGGTGGGGTTTTGGGGGTCTCTAATGGGTCTGGGGGTGTCCAGGCTGGGGTTTTGGGGTCTGGAATGGGTCTGGGGGTGGCTGGTGTGGGGTTAGAGGGACCCAGAAAGGTTTTGGGGGGTCCCAGTCGGGGTTATGGGGGTCTGGGGGTGCCCAGGGTGGGGTTTTGGGGGTCTGGAATGGGTCTGGGGGTGGCTGGTTTGGGGTTAGGGGGACCCAGGAAGGTTTTGGGGGTCCCAGGTGAGGTTATGGGGTGCAGTGTGGGGTTTTTGGGGGGTCTGGGCGTGGCTGGTTTGGGGTTAGAGGGACCCAGGAAGGTTTTGGGGGTCCCAGGTGAGGTTATGGGGTGCAGTGTGGGGTTTTGGGGGGTCTGGGGGTGACTGGTTTGGGGTTAGAAGGACCCAGGAAGGTTTTGGGGGTCCCAGGTGAGGTTATGGGGTGCAGTGTGGGGTTTTTGGGGGGTCTGGGGGTGGCTGGTGTGGGGTTAGAGGGACCCAGGAATGTTTTGGGGGGTTGGGGTGGATTTTTGAGGATCCAGCGTGGGATGAAGCGGCTGCAGCGAGGGCGGAATTTGGGGATTTTTGGGGTGGGTTTTTGGGGTTCAGGGGGTCCTGACCCCACCCGTGCCCCCCCAGAGCCTCCCAGGATGACGCAGTTCCTGCCCCCCAACCTTTTGGCCCTTTTTGCCCCCCGGGACCCCATCCCTTACCTGCCCCCCCTGGAGAAGTTACCCCACGAGAAGCACCACAACCAACCCTACAGCGGCATCGCG